TGTGAAGTTGGTAGGAGTGAGATAGCAGCCTCAAGAGGAGAGTCCGCTGCTTTTCTGTTCTCAGTCATCCAGGGAAGTGCCAGGGTGGGTCAGGACTAAGAAAGTTTGCCATGAGATTCTTCCTGGACACTCCAACCCACCAGCTCCTTCTAGCAATGATCAGATTGCACCAGAATCCCATTTTTTCTTCATGGTTTAGGGGATTAATCCCTGCTACCCAACTTTTCAGGGAATCATGAAAAACTGCAGGAAAAGGAAAATAAGTCTGAAATCATGCTCAGATTCATTTTTTTCTTTTAATTTTTATTAAGGCACTGTGATTTATAAAATTGTTCATAATAGAATTGTTTCAGACATACAGTGCTCCAACATCACTTCCACCATCAGTTATCCCCTTTCTCTACCAATGTCCCCTCCCAGCCTACCCCCTTGATATATATATATAGTAACAAATGTATTTTATATTGTTTAAACAAAACTTAAAGGGCCAGCAAATGGAATTATCAGAAAACAAATCAATAAAAGTCCAGTTGTGATAATTAATTGCTAATTTATTGTAGCATCATATAAATAAGATGTTAATTCACTCTTGAAATGTATAAAATGTATAAAATTTTATTTATAAATGTATAAAAATCCCTTACTACGATATGAGTAAACATACCTTTCTTAATCTAGTAGAGAGCAACCATATGCATTGTTAGTACCACATTTGATGTCACATATTGGGAAGTTTGTCCTGTCCTTTAGAGAAGCTCTTTTATTAGTTTCTTACAAAACTGCCTTCAGAACCAAACAGCTTATGAATTCCTTAAACTGTTACCTGTCAGGAGCTCTGTGGTATTCCTTCAAATCTGAATGATACTTTAGTTGGGTAGAATATTCTTGATGAGGCGTTCGTTTTGTTGAGTTTTTAAACTGTATCCCTCTGTGCTGTTCTGGCCCTCATAGATAGATCTGCTGTACATCTTACGGGCTTTTCTTTATAATTTCCTTTTTTTGATTTTGCTGCTTTCAGTATTTCGTTTCTATCTTTGGATTTTGCCATTCTGAGTACAATGTGTCTTGGAGTTTTCCTAATTGAGTTGCTTGGACTTGCGGACCGCTTGAAATTTAGCGCTTGTAATCCTCAACTCGAGGAAATTCTTAACAGTTTCTTTAACTATTGCTTATTCATCACATTTTTCTTTGTGTTCTTCAGGGATTTTGATGATTCTTATGTTGTTCCTCTTGAACTCATTTCATAGTACTCTATAATGCTGTTCATTTATTTTCAAACTAGTTGCCACTTTTTTGCTGTTTCCTAGCAGTTTCTTCTTCCTCATCTTGGAGTTCTGTTTTTTGCTGTTATTCTTCTATTTAGAGCTTCTATTATCTTTTTTTTTAATATCACCTACTATGTCCTTCTATAATTTCTATAATTTCTGATTGTAGTTTTTTCATTTTGATTCTTTTTTAATTTTTATTTTTATTGAATCACCATGAGATAGAGCATTACAAAATTGTTCATGGTTGCATTTCAGTCATACAGTGTTCCAACATCCATCCCTTCACAAGTGAAATTTTTGAGTACCAGTGTCCCCAGTTTCTCTCCTACCCCTTCAAGCCACCCCCATACCCCATCCTGTCTCTGTGGCAGGCACCTCTCTTCTCTTTCTGTTTCTCTTTCTCTCTCATTTTAGGCTTTATGGTTTGCAATACAGATACTAAAAGCTTATTGTATATCCCTTTACCTGTTTTCTAGTCAGTTCTTGTCCAGAGTGATCATTTCCAACTAATAGTGTCATAATGGACCCTCCTCTATTTTAACTACCCTTCATCTCCCACACCATTGACCAGCCATGGAAAATAGGCCAGCAGGACTAGTCAATAGTTTGTCAGTTTGGTTCTTATACTTTGTTGGCTTTTCTTCGAACTTCTTGAACATCTTCATTGTAATGTCACTAAAGACATTGTCTGAGGATTTACCAGTGTTGTTTATGTCTTCAATGAAGTTGTTTTCACTCATTGGGCTTGGTGGGCTTCTACGTCTTTCTCCATTTGTTTTCTAGTGTTCTTGATGGGGTAGGAGTGGAATCTTTGTAGTAGACCCTCTGGAAGATGCTGAGGGATTACCTGCTGAGGTGGTTCCATCTTCTCTGTCTGTCTTCACCAAATGACAGAGAGAATAGCTGAGCAGCATGCAGTTTGTTGGAGATCTGTTGCCCGGGCATGTTAGGTCAGGAGGGAGCTGTGGCGTGGGCCCTTAATATGGCACAGGTCAGGTGTGGAGACACCTAGCTGGATGGGAGAGACTCTGCCTCTGGTTCCGGATTAGCTCCAGTGATGTCATCAGAGGCAAGCCTCCCCTGGGATGGTGGAGCAGCAAGCAGAGGTCAGGGTCTGCCCAGGTTTTTTTATAGGTCTGTTGCTTTCCTTTACAGGAAAGAATTTCAAAAGGAGTTGGATTGTGAGTAAAACGGTTTTATTTAGCGATTATAAGGACGGAAGAGAAGAGAGTAATGCACTTGGGAGAATGTGGGCTTCTCCGGGGGGAGAGGACTGAGAATGTACATCTCGGGTGAATTTATGAACCACCCTCAAGAGTGGGGAATGGGGAAGTATGCTGCTTGCCTTGAGAAGTTGGTATTATTTAGGTTTTCTCCTAAACTGCTTGTAGTTTGGGGCTGTGTAGATGAAAGTCCATTGTGAGGGCATTGGCAAGGGCAAGAGTTTGGAGCTCTGAGTGAACTCCTTCTTGTTCTTGTCACAGCCTTTTGTTCCTGCTGGAGTTTCTTTTTGGTGAGTTCGTCTTCTGGGCTGGGGCTGGTGCCAGTTAAGAGTCATAATGGCTTCAGTTGCAGTGTTTACAAAGTAGGTCTGTCCTGTATGCTTTTTTTTTTTTTTTTTTTTGGCTATTTTAGGGCTAATGACAGAGTAACATCTGAGCCATACCAGGAACTCATTGCCAGGGGCCCTCTCTATCTGCTTGTTTCATAGTTGCGTAATTTTTAAAGGGAGTGGCAGGGTTAAACTCAAGGCCTCATGCATGTAAGGTTTGTGCTTGATCACTGGCCCATATCCCTGGCCCCTGCATTACATAATTTTGAAAAAGATCTCTTTAATCAAATATATTAGTGTACTAGTTACTGTGCAGAGACAACCAAGATGGTTCCCTTTTCATCGTTTCTCAACAGACTCAGGCAGTTATCCACAAGTGAAGAAAGAGTTTTATTGACAACATGCTAGAAAGTTGGAAGACAGAGGACTCACATCCCAAAGAAATATCTTGTTTATATGGTCACAGAAGCAGCTAGTAGAGGACGAGAAGTCTAGCTGAAGAAAGCACAGGTCGTGGGGTGGTTAGAAATTCCCTGTGCCTGCTCCGATGTGCCTCCTGATATATCTGTTCTTTAGATCTACAGAAAGATTCTGGTTAAGGGTTCTGCCTCCTTGTAGTCTTCCTTGTATAAACTTTTGAGGAAAACAAGATAAGGGAAAACTTTACATTTTTCACATGCTCACATACAGTCATGCCCAGAATTGCTTCCTGGCTTTATTTTTATATTCAGCACTCAGCTTTTTGGGGGGGAGGGCTATTACTACATATGTATTTGGTAGATAGCTACATCAAGTTTTGTTGCCATAGGAGGGTCACACCTGGTAGATTTGGGGACCAAACCCAGGCCTTTACCACCTGAGGCACATCCCTAGAACCTCATGTATATTCTTTGGGGAGAAAATTAATAAGTACTTAGTATTTATGACACTTTTTCAGAAATTTCGAGCATTGGAACATTGATCCATTAGACCAGATCCTCTCTGTCCTTATGTATGTTACCCTATCTACTCTGAGCTGGCTTTTGGGTTGTTTTTTTTTTTTTTCTGTTCTCACCCAAAAATTCCAGTGTTGGAAATGAGCTGTAAAGTACTTGATTAACTTGGTGTTTCTAGAAGCAGGAAGTGATGGAAGGGCCAGGCCGGTGGTAGCTCATGCTTTGTGTGCAGGACACCTGGGTTTGCTGACCAGCCTTGCTGGGTGTGAACTCAAAACCCAAAGAGATAAGCAGCGGACTAGAGAGTTATGATAAGATCTCTAGCACCTGTGGTCCCCAAACACAACTGACTGCGGCCCAGGAGGCCCTGAGTCCTCCTAGGTATGGCCCCGTAGGGTCCTGAGTACTGCTGGCGTGACCCGGGTATTTGCCAGCACTGCAAGGCCTGAGCAGTGCAGCATCTTCCTGTCTTCCTGTTAACTGATAATAATTGAGTTAACTGATATCACTTGGGATACACTCCACTCCAGAAGAAAAAAAAGGAATAGGTATATCTTGGAGACAATTAGTTTGGGGGGGGGGGGGGGGCGGATTTACCACATCTGACAGTGCTCAAGGCTATTCCTGGCTGCATACTTGGATGTCACTCCTGGCCGTACTTGGGATAATTGCATGCTGAGGATTGAACCCTGCCTCCTGCATGCCAGGCCTGTCCGCAGTTTTGGAAAAAACAACAAAGGAAAAATAAGTATTCATAATTCCAGTACCCACAACCAAGCATTTTATGATATTTAGTTTTGTAGACTATCATATGTAGACTTTTGTTTCTATCCACAAATACATCCTTACTTAGAGGTTGCATAGTACAGAGAGAGGTTAGAAGCACAGTTCTAGGGTGAATTGTTTATGCATTAGAACCGACAGACATGACCCCTTTGATTTTGGGTAAGTTACTTTGATTTCTGTAGAATGTTTATCTGTAAACTGGAAATGGCAATGCTAAGATTGCTTATGAAAGCCAAATTAGGTGATTGATGTAAAATGCCTTAGATAGTATCTGGTATATTAAGTAGAACTTGAACAGTGAATCCCCTGCTCTATTTCATCTCCCCGTCCTCATTATCAGCAGAGTGGTACTAGTGCTCATGAATTTAATGTGTTGTCATTTGAGTTTATGTGTCCTGAGACCAGGTATGGGTTAGGAATGCGTTAGGTTTAACAGTTGATGTCTCTTTATATTCACAGGGGTCAGGAGAGTGCTGGCATTGTGACAAGTGACGGACATTCAGTACCAACATTCAAAACCCACAAGGTATTTTGTTGCATAAAGAAATGTTGGTTACAGATATAACCTTGGTCAGATGATGCCTAACATGTGGGCATGGGAGAAGAGAAATGAATAATTTGCATTTATAATTAGTATTTTTTGTTTTCCTCTTTTGTTTTTTGGGCCACACCTTGCTGTGCTTGGGCATTATTCCTGGCTTTTGCACTCAGGGATCACTCTTGGTCACCTGGGAAGACCAGATGTGGTGCCAGGAATTGAACAAGGGTTGATTGTGTGCAAGGCAAGCACCTTACCTACTGCACTATTGCTCTGGCCCCTAACTAGTATTTCTTGGGTCAGCATTTCTAACTTATTATCTAGCACTTACTGTATTAGAGAGCATATTTGCTAGTGATAGTTTTCTAGACTGATCAGTCAGTTGGGATGATTATTTAAATACTTTTAATGTGCCTTGATTTTTAAAAAAGTTTAATTTCAACATGAAAACTTATTGCTTAGTACATCTATTGTTAAATTTTGTAACAAAAAGTATCTTGCAAATCCTTCAGAGTGTATTAAATGCCACTGAATTCTTCACTTTAAATAGTTGATCTTGTGTGAAATTTTGAAACTAACCACTGAACAGACTTATAGCTTGATTAGTCTTTTTGGGGGCGGGGGGTGTTTTGTTTTGGTCACACCTGGAAGTATTCAAGACTTACTCCTGGCTTTGTGCTCAGGGATCACTCCTGGTTGGACTCAGGGGACCATATGGGATTCTGGGGATCAACCTGGGTGACCACATGTAAGGCAAACTTTCTGTTAGCTATACTCTCTCTGACCCCTGGTTAGTCTTTTTTTTTTCTTTTTTGCTTTTTGGGTCACACCCGGCGATGCTCAGGGGTTACTCCTGGCTTTGCACTCAGGAATCACTCCTGGCGGTGCTCGGGGGACCTAATGGGATGCTGGGAATCGAACCCGGGTCGGCCGCGTGCAAGGCAAACGCCCTACCCGCTGTGCTATTGCTCCAGCCCTGGTTAGTCTTTTTAAGATTAGAAATCAAGCACAGAAAATTTAAATTGTGTTGTTGCCTCAGCATACTTAGAGCTTCTATTTACTGGTATTACTAGTCTTTTTATCTAAGACGAGTTTTCCCATAAATCTAGGGAATGGGCCTTGTAAATCATGTCTTTACTGAAGACAATTTGAAGAAATTATATGTTTCAAATCTTGGAATTGGACACACGAGATATGCCACTACTGGAAAATGTGAATTAGAAAATTGTCAGCCCTTTGTTGTTGAAACACTTCATGGAAAAATCGCTGTGGCGCATAATGGCGAGCTGATCAACGCTACTCGATTAAGGAAAAATGTAAGTTATTTTAAATGTTTTTTTCATGATTGAGATAAATTAAGGAGAAATATTGAGGATCTTGGTAAAGAATTTTTAAATTGTCTTAACTGCAATGAATGACTATATTTGAGTTACTTGGATCATTTCTTTCCTCTTTTGAGGAGTAGTGGGCTTTGGGCCATACCAGACAGTGCTCAGGGATTATTCCTTTTTGACTCTCTGCTCAGGAATCACTCCTAACAGTGAGTGCTCAGGGGACCATAAGCAGTGTAGAGAATGAGACCTGGATTGGCCACATGCCACACAAATTCCTTTTTAACCCTTAACCTTGAACTTTGTCTTCAGCTGCTACTTGATTATTTTTCATTTCTTAAGATGTCACCCCACACTCTAGGGTAGAGAGTGCTTAGTCCATATTTTATTTTTGTGATTTTTTTGTTGTTGTTGGCAAGGCCTACATGGCTGTGCTGGGGGCTCTCCCAGCTATTCTTGGCAGTTCCCAGAGGCCATTTGCTACTGGGGAATCAGAGCAAGACCTGTAATATGCAAAGTCTGCAGTCTCACTCTTTAACTCAGGGCCTATATCCCTGGACCCTGACTGAATTTTAATATACTTTGTACATAGTTTTGATGCATAATTTAAACAGGGACTTGTGAAAACTGATTTGTTACTGCCATTAGAAGCACAGAGAAATGGGAATTTATTTATTCTTTCTCGCCCTTTAATTTTGTTCCTATAAGGAGAAAATGAAATATAAACTTGAAGATGAAATACTAAAGAAAACTCATTTGGAAATAGTTACAGAAAGTAGCCTGGAAAAAGGACAGAGTTTTACGTTTTCTTCATAGAATATTATTTGAAGCCTTCTGTGTTGCTCATTCCTGTATGTTTGAGCTCTCTTTGTTAATATATATGTCTGCCTTGCCCCATCATTTTATTTTTTAAAAACCTGTTACCTTAATATTTCTAAAAGCTTCTTACTAATCTATCCTTGTTATTATTCACGGTCACGGTCCTCCCGTTGTTCATCGATTTGCTCGAGCGGGCCCAGTAACGTCTCCATTGGAGACTTTGTTGTTACTGTGTTTGGCATATCGAATACGTCACAGGGAGCTTGCCAGGCTCTGCCGTGCGGGCGAGATACTCTCGGTAGCTTGCCGGGCTCTCCGAGAGGGGCGGAGGAATCCAACTCGGGTCGGCCATGTTAGCCTTATTAGTGGATATCAAATTTCTTCAAGTTTCTCAAATAATCTTGGCTTTGTCGTTGTAGAAATAAGAAACTCGGGTATAACTCAGTTGTAAAGTGCATAATGACTTCCATACAGGAGACCCTGGGTTTGATTGTTAGCACTATAAAATCATAAAATCATTGGTATTCCATAATACAGTGTTCAGCCATACATAGTTATGTTCTTGGTGTTCTAGAATCAGGCATTTCAATTGCATGATAGTAAAACGGTGAGTAGAGAATGCTTAGAGTTTGCTCATTTTCCTTAAGTTTTTAATTTTAGTAATTACTCAATTTTGTCCTGTCCTATTTATTTTAAATTTTATTTTCATAAATTGTTCACAATAATTGTTTACATTCAATATTTCAACATCAGTCCCACCATCATTACACCTTCCCACCACTATTATTTTGAATTTTCCCCCACCACCCAAGCCTGGCCCACAGGCATATGCTAAATAATTTATTTTGTATTGCTTGTTTATGAATAGGATGAGATGTTGCTCAGCTGCTTTTGCAGCTGTGAGCTCCTGGAATTCTAACATTTTAAATATCCGAGGTCCAGAGGCATCTCTGCAGCATGCTGCTCTCTTCCAAGATTCATTTGTGAGTCTTTGTGAGGCTATTATGCACTTAAATGGCCCCCAGAGGCAGCTCCAGGGTGTGACTGCCAGGAAACCAGAAAGGTGGGGGAGCTGGGGGGAGGTTGCCATGAGGTACAGTTATGGATTTACAAATTTTTGTGCTTGGGTTTCAGTTATACAGTGATCAAGTGCCCATCCCTCCACCAGCGCCCTTCCTCCACCACCACAGGTCCCAGCATCCCTCCCACCCCCCATCCCCCCCTGCCTCTGTGGCAGGGCATTCCCTTTTGTTCTCTCTCTCTCCTTTTGGGTTCTGTGGTTTGCAAGAGCGGCATTGAGTGGCAATCATGTTTGGTCTATAGTCTACTTTCAGCATGCTTCTCCCATCCTGGGAGGATCCTCCCAAAACCCTTTATTTGTTGCTCCCTTTTCTATCTGAGCTTTCTTTTTCCCTAGCAAGTGTGGCTGGCCTCCAAGTCATGGAGCAAAATTCCTGGTACTAGTCTTGGCCACTCCTGGGTGTTAGTCTTCCATTATGTTACCTTATGTTCCCCACATGAATGCAGTCTTTCTGTGTCTATCCGTCTCTTTCTGACTCATTTCTCTTAACATGATACTTTCCATGTAGTACCACTTGTATGTAAATTTCATGACTTCATCTTTTCTGACAGCTACGTAGTACTCCATTGTGTAAATGTACCAAAGTTTCTTTAACTCATTTGTTCTCAGGCACTCAGGTTTTTTCCAGATTCTGGCCATTGTAAAGAGTGCTGCAATGAACAAACAAATGCAGATGTCACTTTGACTATACTTTTTTGCCTCTCTGGGATATATTCCCAGGAGTGGTATTGCTGGGTCAAATGGGAGCTCAATTTCTAATTTTTTGAGAGTCGTCCATACTGTTTTCCAAAAGGGTTGGACCAGTCGGCATTCCCACCAGCAGTGAAGGAGGGTTCCTTTCTCGCCACATCCGTGTCAGCACCGGTTGCTTTTGTTCTTGTGGATGTGGGCCAGTCTCTGTGGTGTGAAATGATATCTCATTGTTGTTTTGATCGGCATCTCCCTCATGATTAATGATGTAGAGCATTTTCTCATGTGCCTTTTAGCCATTCGGATTTCTTCTTTGCGAAAGTTTCTGTTCATTTCGTCGCCCCATTTTTTGATGGGGTTGGTTGTTTTCTTCTTGTGGAGTTCAACCAGTATTTTGTATATCCTTGATATCAACCCCTTGTCGGATGTGTATTCGGCGAATATCCTTTCCCATTCTGTAGACTGTCTTTGTATTTTGGTCACTGTTTCTTTGGAGGTGCAGAAGCTTCTTAGTTTAAGATAGTCCCATTTATCTATCTCTGTTTTCACTTGCTTGGCCAGTGGTGTGACATCTTTGAAGATACCATTAGCTTCAATATCATGGAGGGTTTTGCCAACTTTGTCTTCAATGAACTTTATGGATTCCAGTCTGATGTTGAAGTCATTAATCCATTTTGATCTTACTTTTGTACATGGTGTTAGGCAGAGATCTGAGCCCACTTTTTTGCATGTAGCCATCCAGTTTTGCCAGCACAATTTGTTAAAGAGGCTTTCCCTGCTCCACTTAACTTTTCTTGCCCCCTTATCGAAGATTAGATGATCATATGTTGGGGGGAGATGTCAGTATATTCAACTCTGTTCCATTGGTCCATTTGCTTTTTGGGTCATACCTGATGGTGCATAGGGGTTACTTCTGGCTCTGTGTGTACTCAGGAATTACTCCTGGCGGTACTCAGTGAACCATATGGGATGCTGGGAATTGAACCAGGGTCGGTTGCATGCAAGGCAAACGCCCTACCCGCTGTGCTATTGCTCCAGTCCCCCACTGCAAGTTTAGTTCTAAAAAATGTGTTCATTCTTTCTGGATGTAAGATCTTACTCAGATGCTAGATTTCACTGCTACACATCTTAACTAAGAAGAAAATGGAATATAAAGTACTGCATGCAAAAAATTTGTCTGGTGTCAGTAAAACTCAGCCTGTATGTACATATTAGTGAATGTCCTTTTTTTCTTCTCTTGCTTAGAATTTCATTATCATCATAGTGTGTGCCCATAGTTTTTATTTCATCTACATCCACTTGTTCAATACTGGGGTGCCTTTATTCTCTTCTGCCAGTGATAATGGCGATGGATAGCCACTCTCATTTCCGTCAACACACCTTGACTGGAACATTCCTGATATAGTTAGTGCCATCCTCATGGAAATTGTGTTCTATTTATCATGAGTGTCCTGTAGAAAAATTTTTTAAAAATCCTAAATCTTACTGCATGGCCACTATTGCGGCCGTGCGACATCATTTAATTCTTGAACCCAGCTGTAGAAAGCAAATAATTTCACAATGCTTTTTCAGCATGTCTGATTTGGGGGGGGTAAACTCTAAATAATAATGGCGCATCTTTTATCGAAACAATGAATCTAGTCAAAGTAGATAGAGTGTTAACTAGAATTCATCTGCCTCACAGGTTTTGGGGGAGGTGAGGGGTGGGGGTTTATTGGGGTTCTTGGTGAAAAATAAGTATTGGTAAAGGGAAATGTGTTTGATATTTGCACAACCGAGACCTAAACCTGAAAGCTTTGTAACTTTTCCCACAGTGATTCAGTAAATAAATAATTTAAAAAATAAAATAAAATTCCAAGAAATTTGCCAACCCTTGAAAAAAAAATCCTAAATCTTTGTACCTTCTCTCTCACTGCTTGCCATTGCAGACTGCATTCTTTCAAGCTCAGGTTTTTGTTTGTTTGTTTTTTTCCAGAAAAATTTTATTGTTTGGGCCACAATTGGTAGCACTCAGGGCTCCTAGCTGGCAGTGCTTAGGGGATGAAATGTGAAGTTGAGGATGGAGTTGGGATAGGCCCCGTGCATGGCAATCACCTTAATTCCTGTACAATCTCTCTGGCTCAGTAAACTTTTCTGAAAGCACTTGTTTTTCCTTCTTATGAAGTGTTAGAAACTTTCTAGCCTCCAGCTTGGCATTCTATCATATAATATCATATATCATATAATAACATCATATAGTAATAGCATTCAATAATATAATAAGATTAATAGAATGAAGGCTCTTCCTCAGCAAGCATCCCTCCCATGCCTGGATGTTTATTATGGGGAGCTATGGTGAAGGGTGAAGTGAAACTTCCTCTCTAATAATTAAACTTTTCCCCCTTCTGACTAGCTTCTGCGTCGTGGTATTGGCCTGTCAACAAGCTCTGATAGTGAAATGATTACCCAGTTATTGGCGTATACTCCTCCTGAGGAGCAAGATGACACCCCAGACTGGGTAGCAAGGTAATTGTGAAACTAGGTTATGCTTGCAGTGGTGATGTGAGAGCTTTGCGTCACAAGCAGTGCAGCTAAAATTGTTCACTGAATTATTTTATTCATTCTAGAATTAAAAACCTAATGAAGGAAGCACCCACGGCATACTCTCTGCTTATAATGCACAGAGATGTTATTTATGCAGTGCGGGATCCTTATGGAAACCGTCCTCTATGCATTGGTCGTCTTATTCCTGTATCTGATATCAATGATAAAGGTAAGGAACTTCAGAAGCAATGTAATGTCATTATGATTGAGAATGGGCTATGTTAAAAAATGTATTTTTCACATATGTGTATGTGTATATAGTGTGTACATATGTGCATACATATATTTATAATGAGTGTACATATATATTTATATAAAAAACTTATACATACTTTTGAGGGTGAGTTACTTTTAATATATTTAGTGGTAATTGTTCCTACCAAAATAAACTGTTCTTATACCCTTGGTTCCACCTTTTTCATAAGTTGGTTTTACTAATTTTTCTTTTAATGTATTGTATTATTTGAAATTCATTAGTTTTGAAGTAATATTTAGAATATTTATTTTATCTTTGGTTCAAGTCAAATAAGGATTCGTGTATACTCTAAGGTCCAGAAATGCATGCTCTGTGAATTCTTTTAAATCTATTTGGTGTTTCATTGTTCCCTTGAAATAGGTAGACTTAAAATTTCTTGAATCCAGTAACTGAATTGATGGTCTTGTGATTTTCAGAGAAAAAATCCTCAGAAACTGAAGGATGGGTGGTGTCTTCAGAATCTTGTAGTTTTTTATCTATAGGTGCAAGGTAAGTTTGATCTCATTTTGAGTATTAGCTTTTTATACATGGATAAATTTTCTATAGATCTTTATATGAAAGTTTTTGCTTTCATATAAAATTTGTAAAGTTAATATTTTTAAATAATATGCTGTATGCTCAGCAGTTGCACTGACTTTAAGTTAATTTTCTATTAATACCTCTAAATCTTAATGAAATTGGCATTATGCTGTCAAAATTTTGATATCACCTTAATTGATTTATTGACATGTAGGTCTCATGCATGTATAGCATAAATTTTGCCATTGAACTATGTCTCTAATCCTCTGTGATAATTATTTTAGGATGAAAAGATCTGTTAAGGAGTAATTGAAACAAACATAATAAAAAAATCTCATAGAAGTTGGGATACAAATGTTCTTTGGCTTGTTCTTTAAAAAATTAATAAAATTAGGGGTTTTAGTCTTTTCGGCAGTATACATTAGAGGTACTGGGGACTGTTTCCAGGTCCATACTTGGGAGTCACTCCCAAAGGTGTTCAGTGGACTATTCAGTGTCAGGTATTAAAGTGGGGTTCATCTGGGTCCGACCAATAGGACAGCGCGTGTAGGTCATTCGCTTTGCACGCGGCCAACCCAGGTTCGATCCCCGACATCCCATATGGTCCCCCAAGCAACGCCAGGAGTAGTTCCTGAATGCAGAGCCAAAAGTAATCCCTGAGAATCACCATATGTGCCCCCCCAAAGCAAAAAAAAAATTGGGGTTTGTCACAAGGAGAGCAAGTACTTTACCCTGTTAAAAAGATAAGAACTATCTTTCCAGTTCCTAGTCTCTTGGATTTCAAGTTAGAATTTAGAAGTAACTGATTCAAGGGAATTACAACTGGAGGAACATTATAATTTAACCTGTATCTGTACTTTATATTAAACCATTATCTCTCTGTAAGGGAAGGGGATTATTGTATACATTACTGCATGTTATTGCAAGCCTTAAGCACTCACCAGCGCAGAACTAACAACAAACTCTTACTTTAAAGTCTTCTTTAACCTTATTTCCTAAGATATTACCGTGAAGTCTTGCCTGGAGAAATTGTGGAAATATCCAAACATAATGTCCGGACTCTTGATATTATTTCAAGATCTGAAGGAAACCCAATGGCTTTTTGTATCTTTGAGTATGTTTATTTTGCAAGACCAGATAGTATATTTGAAGGTAAGTACAATTTCATTAGCTATTAATACAAATCTGTTACGTATTTAACTGAAACCTGAGAGAAATTTCCTGGTTCTGTTCTGTTAAAACATGTGATTATATTTTGTGGACATTAGAAAGCCTGCAATTCAGAAAATCATTGTATTTACCTTTTAAAATTTTTGTTTTGTGGGTGGGAGGCTTGGGTCACACCCAGTAGTGTTCAGGGGCTTTTTCTGGCTCTGCTCAGGAGCAAACTTTGCTGTGTTCGGGGGACCATATGCTGTACTTAGGATTCGAACTGGGGTCTGCAGAAGGCTAGTTTCTTAACCTTCTACTACTCTCCAGCCCCAATATTTTCACCTGTTTTCTGACTGTTAGATTTCATTAACATTTTTTAGAATATGGAGTATGATTTTTAGGTATTTTTTAAAGGTCGGTTTTTAATTGAGGTCACAGTTTTCAAGATCATATGTTTCAGGGGTACCATTTCACATCCTTTCAAAATATGTTGCCATCCCACACCCACCACCAGATGCCCACTATCTATCTTAGTTCCTTAGGCTCCCTTTTGTGGTGAGTCCAAGGCTTTGTTCATTTGCTTGTTTCTTCCTTTGCTTTGTTGTTGTTGTTGTTGTTGTTGTTTTAATTTTTCTATCGAGTTAACATTGCTTTTTAGCAATTTAAATGATTCTAACATGGGTACAATATAATAAACCATGCTTATCTCCAAAGTACCAAAATTTCTCGTGTCTTTTAGCTCATTCCTTTCTCTTCCCCTAATCTTGGCTCTGTGGTCAGAGTTTAAGGGTCTGTTTCTATATTTGCCTTTCTCCTTCTGGCTTAACTTGATCTCCATCCGGTTCCATCTCTGTTGTAGTGAAATACAAGGTCTCATTTTTTCTAGCGGTTGTCTCATTTCATTGCGATGATATTCTATCCATCATCTTTCATTGGGCACTGGGGTTGTTTTCTAATTCTTGGCTATTACAATGAACATAGCTGTGTCTTTGTTTTTGAATTAATGTTTTTTTCGGGGGGGGGAGGACGGGCGGGAGGGATAGACAGACACCAAGGAATAGAGTTGCTAAATCATATGGAAGTTCTGTATTTAATCTCCCAGCGAGACTGGACCAGTTGACATCCCACCAACAGTGGATGACCGTTTTTTTCCTCCACACCCTAGCAGCAGTTGTTTCTGACTGTTTTGATTTAGGTGTGAGGTGGTAGCTCATCTCATTTTTAGTTTGCATTTTTTTCTTTTAATAATAAAATGATAATGAGCAGTCTTTTGTGCCTGTTAGCCATTTGAATATTTGTCTTCTGCTGAGGTGTCTGTTTAATTCTCCAAATGTTTTGCAGTTGAAATAAAATCTGATTTGTTAGAAATCAGAGTTCAGGAATTGAACCTAGGACTTCAGATTTATGAGCTATTTCCTCTGCCTCTGAGCCACATCCTTGGTCCCTTAATTCATTTTGAATTAATGTTGTGTAAATTTAGATAGTGATTCAGTTTCACTCTTTAGCACACGGTTAGCCAATTTTCCCAGACATAACCAATTTTGGGGGGAGGGTTGTCACACCCGGCAATGCACAGGGGTAACTCCTGGTTCATGCACTCAGGTATTACTCCTGGCGGTGCTCAGGGGACCATATGGGATGGTGGGAATCGAACCCTGGTTTGCAAGGCAAATGCCGTACCTGCTGTGCTGTCACTCCAGCCCCGATATACCCTATCTTAAAGGGACTTTTCTTTCTCTGTTATATGCTGTTGGTTCCTTTATCATAAATGGGTTGTTCGTATGTGTGTGGCCCCTCACATTAATTCTGGGACTTCATTTTCCTTTTCGTACTTCTATCTGTAAGAGTTCTAATAAGCTAGTTTCTTAGAATAGTGATAAAATATAAAATTATATGTTAACTAAAATTAATTCATTTATTTGCAAACATTCCAGACCAAATGGTTTATACAGTAAGATTGCGTTGTGGTGAGCGACTAGCAATTGAAGCCCCTGTGGATGCAGATATGGTTAGCACTGTTCCAGAATCTGCCACACCGGCTGCTCTTGGCTATGCAGGAAAGGTATTCATTCTTAATTCTTGCGCGGTGACTCTGCCAGCATTGGAGTTAGAAATCTGTGTATATTAAAAACAGCATGATTTTAAGGAAAAGAGAAAAGTCGATTCCTTTGTCATTGTTATTTATAAAATATCAGCCTTTTAAATTAACTGATGTTTTTGTAGAACCTAAAATGATTCACCTTCATTTAAATGAAGATTGCTTCCTTCATTTAAAAATAATAACACAAGGGGCTGGAGAGATAGCACAGTGGGTAGGGCGTTTGCCTTGCATGTGGCCAACCCAGATTTGATTTCTAGCATCCCATATGGTCCCCTGAGCACTCCCAGGAGTAACTCCTGAGTGCCGAGCCAGGAGTAGCCCCTGAGCATCGCCAGGTGTGACCCAAAATGCAAAATAATAATAATAATAATAACACAAATGGACTTCGATATATTTACTCATTACTAAAATCTACTTTTTGAAGTACTCTCACATGCCACTGATATATTTGTTTCATTTCCTATTCCTATTTCATTTTTCCTAAACAAAAATAAAGTCATTTTTGTTTGTGTAATGTTCTTAGTTGTATTTGGGGGTTTTTTTGTTGTTAATTTTTTAACAACCAGATGGATCATGTAACTTTTGTGATCCTGAGTGAAAATCTCCAACATTCAATGTGGTAGAAAGTTGAGGTTTTTATTTTCATTTATTTAAGAAGAAAGTTGAACTCATTGGTGTTCTTCCTGGTATTTTGGGCTACACCTAGCAGTGCTCTAGGCCTATTCCCAGCTCTGTGCTTGGTGGTTATCCTGACAGTTGCTGGGGGACTGTGCTAAGCTGGGGATCAAACCTGGACCTCCTGAATGCAAAGCATGCAGTCAACCAGAGAGTGGAGTTCTCTCTGCCCCTGATCTCACTAGTTATCAAAGAAATATTATGCACACATTTTAGAGATATGATCTTGACAAATGATGATTGTGTCTCAGAACTATATTTTCTTAGATCATTCTTTTTACTTTTTTTTATAACTTTAAAGTGTTAAACTTTTCTGATTGCAATTTATTCTTATATTCATATGCTTTAATAGAAAAGCATTACAAGGTTTTATTCAGCACTATGAACTGACTTCCCTTCCCATTACATTGGTTTTAATGGATTTTCTTTTTTGCCATTTTTCTACTACAGTAAAAATAATAAAGAGAAATTATGATCTGATGTTTAATATTCCAGAATAGCAACCATGCTAACAAAGTTTTATATACTGGGGCTTGGGATTCAGCTCAGCAAATGAGCACCTGCCTTGTATGTATTAGGCCTAGCTTTGATCCCCTGGCGGCAGCAGTGTGTGTGTGTGTGTGTGTGTGTGTGTGTGAGAGAGAGAGAAAGAGAGAGAGAGAGAGAGAGAGAGAGAGAGAGAGAGAGAGAGAGAGAGAGAGATCATACAGACATACAGTGGAAAGCATCACCAGATAACCTAGAGAAATAGTAACCTAGAGTTTCCTGTGTATTGCTACTCATTGTCCTTTTATTTTTTCTCTCTCAGTGTGGACTTCCATATGTGGAGGTGCTGTGTAAAAATCGATATGTTGGCAGAACCTTCATTCAGCCAAACATGAGGTTAAGACAGCTTGGTGTTGCAAAAAAATTTGGAGTATTATCAGACAACTTTAAAGGCAAAAGAATTGTTCTTGTAGATGATTCCATTGTGAGAGGCAATACCATCTCACCCATAATAAAACTGCTCAAAGAATCTGGTGCAAAAGAGGCAAGTAATATTAAAGTTATATCTAAAAGCGTCAATATGAATTGGGTAGGGCATTTACCTTGCACGCAGCCAACCTGGCTGACCCGAGTTTGATACCTCCGCCCCCCTTGGAGAGCCTGGCAAGCTACCAAGAGTATCTCGTCCTCATGGCAAAGCCTGGCAAGCTCCCCGTGATGTATTTGATATGCCAAACACAGTAACAGCAAGTTTCACAATGTTACTGTTATTTCATCAATTTGCTCAAGCAAATTGATGAAATACAGTGAAATAAAATAAATAGTTCAGTACAACTAAGTGACGTTTTTCTAAACAAGCTGGTTTAGGAAAAAAAGTGTAAAATAATGCAATAACCACTGGTAAACTATTTACTAAACTTTATACTTAATATATTACAATACTCAATATAAAAGCTTGAAATTTTATGACATTAATTAAAAAACTAACAAAACCCACAGAGTAGCCATTTCACTTTTAAAATCTGTAGTATTGATTACTTTCTCATTTTAAAGACAGTCAATTTGAATATAATAAATATGATACATTAGGTATATTTTAAATCTCAAAACTTAATCAGTGTTTAAGAAACTGAAATTATGGGAATGAAATGCTATTTAAAACTGATAGTTGAGAAAATTTAAAAATAAAATTTGTTTATGAGAAAGTGATATTGAAAGCAGTATGACTCTAAAAGGCTTTAAAGATAATTATAGCTCTTTTTTATTGCTGTTATTATAATTTATGATAATCTTACTCTTTGAAATTTTGTAAATCATATAAGAACAAAGAGGCATAAAGAAAATCTGACATAATTGAATGCATAATAAAAGAGAAGAGGCAAAAAAGAAACCAATGAGGGGGATGATTTTAAATGCTGTATATATCTACTAGTAGTGGAGTTTAATGCGGAGCTTCCCTAACTTGGCCTACCATCCCACTTTTCAGAAGAGAGCAAAAACAAATACAAAATACCACACAGCGTCATCCGTAAATCTGCCTTCTTTAAGTGAAGCATCTCTATCTCTAGACTACTGCTGTTCCTCCACTGTCTCATTCATATACCCCCTCTAGTTGCAGGAGTATTACTCATGCTGGGAAACATTGGGTTAGTAAATTTGAACAGTGATGAAGTCGTATACAACTATTAAAATCTATAGTTATGGGCATGAAAGAGTCTTAGCTGTCACAGACAGCAGTTATAGCCATGTAAATATCATTGACCAAAGGCAAGTCACAATAGGAAAAAATAGATACAAATTAGCTCTGTTGTATATAATAGGGTTTTTATTGTAGCTTGATTGTGTTCTCTTTATGAAATGTTAAAAGATATTTCATGCTAAAATTGTGAAACAGACAAATTCTATTAAGATCTTACAAGCTGTCATGCTGAATGAAATGAGTCAGAGGGAGAGAGACAGACATATAATGATCACACTCATTTCCTAGATATAAAGAAACATAGAACTGTAGCACTGTCTTCCTATCGTTCATCAATTTGCTCCAGCGGGTAGAAGTAATGTCTCCATTGTAAAACTGGTTGTTACTGTCTTTGGCATATCAAATACGACAGCCTTGCCAGGCTCTGCCGTGCGGGTGGGATACTCTTGGTAGCTTGCCGGGCTCTCTGAGAGGGGTAGAGCAATTGAACCCGGGTCCGCCTTGTGCAAGGCAAATGCCCTACCCACTGTGCTATCGCTAAGTATTGTATTTCATGCTCGACTACCAAATTCCTTTAAGTGTCATTAAAGTTAATACTGATAAATAAGGGCTCAGAAAGCCTTTCCCGGGTCAAAGATATAATATAGTTGGGTTAAGGTGTTTGCACTGCATTGTGCCAACCAAGGCTTGATCCCTAGAATCCCATATAGTCCCCTAAGCACCACAAGTACTGATTCCGGAGTGCAGAGCCAGGAGTAACCCCTGAGCATCACCAGGTATGGCCCCAAAACAAACAAACAAGCCTTTCCCCTTTCCCCTCTTTTTCCAGTAAAGCTTAATTACAGAATTGTCAAAATTGTATATAATTGCCATTTAAGTACTGTCCCAATAAATAACATATGTTAAAAAGGTAATCATGTTAGAAGTATCAATCTGAAAATAAAAATCAAGTTTACAATATCTGGATGAAGGTTATTCTGAAAAAACTAAACTCCAAATCAAGTGAGTTCAAAATAAATGGTGAATGTTAAAACAGAAAGACATTTCTCACAGTCATTTTATCAATTTCTCGTTATTATGCCTGACAGAAAATGCAAAAGAAGAAAATGTTGCTAGAGTTAGCTCTGGCATTATTCCCAAGGCACTTTGGAGAATAATAGCCAGAGACAATAGAAATGAAAGCCAAGAGGACTGGTTCTTCATAGAAAGCTTGTCACAGTTGGGGGAGAGTGGTTAGGTCTGACAAAGGACCACTATGACAGTGATAATGGGAAGTGATCACTCTGGACAAGACTTGGGTGCTGAGGGCCCAAAGTATGGTGTTTGCCTTGTAAGCGGCTGACTTGAGTTCGATCCCTGGCATCCCATATATGATCCCCTGAACAACATGAAGAGTGATTCCTGAGTATTGCCAAATGACCCAAAAAGCCAAAAAAATAAAAATAGTAAAAATAACTGGGTGTTGAAAGGAGGTAAAGTGAGGCATGAGATGCTTTCAGTAACATTATTGCAAGCCACAGTGTCTAAAAGGGGGAAAAAAATAAATAAAAGTGTCTGCCATAGAGGCAGGCTAGGTGGTAGCAGGGAAACTGGACATTTGTGGAAGGAAATGGACCGTAGTGAAGGGATGGATGTTTGAATATTGCATGACTGAAACTCAGTCATGAGCAACTTAGTAACTTTGTGTCTCAGGGTAATTCAGTTAAAAGATTTTTATAGGAGATAGTGCGGCTAACTCTAGGAATGTAAAGTCATTAAGAAATGAAAGTAGATGAGACATCTTTGTTTATATTATGACAAAGGCTAGCTCTGAAAATAATATTTACAAGTGGCTGAAATTTGTAAGTCTTGCTCAGGTCATCTAGAGTCTAGAGCAGAATTACTCAATTAGGAGTTTTTGGTAGTGAATGAATTCTGTATCTAATACTGGTTGAATGCTGTTTTACTCTATGTACCGCATGGTTTTCCAGGATTCTTTTTGCATATTATTCGGCAAAAGAAATCTGTGGCTGGAAAGTTGTTTCAGGTGGTGGAATACATGCTGAGTATTATCACTGAGATCTTATGATTCCCTTAGCATCACTGAGTGTGGCCTCTTTAAGAAAGAAAAAGAAATCCTATAGTGTGCCTCATTACCTATATATCATTATTAAATAGTCTGCAAATAATAGAATTTTTCGTTATCTTACAGTATCAGAATAATGGATGAAAATGACTTTTTTCCAAGGTACATGTTCGAGTAGCTTCACCGCCAATTAGATATCCATGTTTCATGGGAATAAACATACCAACAAAAGAAGAACTTATTGCCAATAAACCAGAATTTAAGCATCTTCCAGAATATCTAGGTAGGTGCTAAATTGCTGTAAACTTTATCTTGATTGTTAATGGATAAAATCTGAACTTTGTCAGCCTTTATACTTAAAATGAGAAGTATTATTGTTTGTTAGAAGTAGACATTGAGGACCAGAAGAGATAGTACAGGAGATAAGGTGATAGCCTTGCATGTGACCATTGGTTTGAATCCCCAGGACTGCATATGGTCTCCTGAGCACAGAACCAGGAATGGCCCCTAAGCATCACTATGTGACGCGCCCCACCTATCCCAGTCCCAGTAAGATAGAAAGGGAAGTGTTCAGAGAATTGGACCTAGCCATTTGAGGCTGATGCTAAGGTTTAAAAACATGATTAGTAGAAGTCTTTTTAAGATCATGTTATCCAGCTCTTCCATTTCACACACACAGCTAGAGGAAGCCCCAGGACCACCACTGATGACCTCTCTACTGCCCCCCACCCCCAAAGTACATGTTGCTATGCTGTGTCGTTATTGAACAGTGTGCATACCTGCCTCTCCAACCTGTACTCTTACTATACTCTAACTATAGATTAGACATCGTATTAGAACGCTAAGCCTAGATGCAGTCAGGAGGAGGATAGAAGTCGAGTAAAGGACTCTGTAAGCTTATTGGTTAAAACCTCAAAACCTCACAAAGGATAGATCTCAAGAAAAATGGAAATAATTTTATTGCCGAAGTAGAAGAATGATTTGGATATATGTACAAACAAAAGTTTGAAAATCTGGGCCAAAGAGAGAGGTCCAAAGGCTGACCTCATGCTTTGCATGCTAGAGGCCTGGATCTCTTCCCAGGTACCAGGTGCTCCTTCAGACCACTGCCAAGAGTGACCTTGAGCACCAGGCTGGGAGCAACCTCTGAGCTTCAGCAGGTGTGTGGTCATAAAAACAGCAAAAGTGAAGACCTTATGTAGTTTATCCTTATGAGTTCAGGACACTTGGAGATCTGAGATATCCTGGTTAACACATTTTTCAGAATCAGTATACAGGCTATTTATCACATAGATGTTTAGCAGATGTGTTTGGAACCTCCACACTGGTTTCTTACTCCTGTTTTTTGGCCATGCTCAGCAATGCTCTGGACATACTCCTTGCTGTGGTCTGGGGCCCCTTCTGGGAGGCTTGGGACCATATCAGGTGCTGGGGATCAAACTCAGATCAGTCATGTGCAAAAATTAAGTGCCCCACCAGCTGTACTATCTGTCTCTCTAGCTTTTTTTTTTTTTAACCAGTGAAATATTTTAAACTTTTCCAATATTTGAAAATATAAATAATTGGGGCTGGAGGAATAGCACAGCGGGTTGGGCATTTGCCTTGCATGCTACCAACCCAGGTTCAATTCCCAGCATCCCATATGGTCCCCTGAGCACTGCCAGGAGTAATTCCTGAGTGCATGAGCCAGGAATAACACGTGTGCATTGCAGGGTGTGACCCAAAAAGAAGAAAAAAATGTATATAAGTACTTAAATTATTTTCCTGATAGGATATTATTAATGAGCACTCTGCCAGAAGCACATAGGCGTTTTAATAACATCACAAACTCTCTGCGTCAAACAGTTTTGGAATCCCAGTGATAATTAGCTTAAGTTTGAACCCAGGTCTTCTTGAAGTCCATATCTGTTCTCTAGATGAAAAAAGTTACTCCTGGACTAGAAAAATTGTTCAGTGGGCCGGAGCACATTATTTACATGTTAGAGGTGCAGGTTCAGTCTCTGGCACTGCTTGGGTCCCTTGAGCACTGCCAGGTGTGCCTTGAAACCAAAAAACCAAAAAAAATTACTCCTGAAGTTTCTGAATCTATTTCTAGACTTGAAGCTTGCACCATTTAAAATGTATTTCTCCAAAATTCTAATTTTAGATTTTAAATAAAATTCCTGAGTTTCATTGATTCTCTCTCTCTTTTTTTTTAAGAAAAAGAGGGATTGAAGTAGAATTTATTTGTGAAAAGTTTTCTAGGCAAATGTATTAAAAGTTTATTCTGGAAAAGCTTGTAACTACCATCTGTTGGGCCAGGTTTTTCTTTACCAAAGACTTTTTTTTTTAACATCCCCTTCCCTTTCTTTTATAGGAGCAAACAGTGTTGTATATCTGTCAGTAGAAGGACTGGTTTTATCTGTACAAGAAGGGATAAAACTTAAAAAACAGAAAGCGGAAAAACGAGATATTATGATACAAGAAAATGGGAATGGTCTGGAACGTTTTGAAAACAATGGTCATTGTACAGCTTGTCTCACTGGAAAATACCCTGTGGAATTGGATTGGTAGCTGGTTTGGCATTCTTGTTCTTTCAAGATAAGAAGTTGGTGAAGATGTTACAGTTGTTATACGTTATGTATTTACTGTTATTCTGTTGGTACAATGTAAAATGCCACCTGCTTTATAAGCTTTGATAATTTTTTTCTGAAGAGTACCAAAGTACAAAGTTTTCGAGACTAAACCCTAGATTGCTGTTTTGGCATTATTTGGATGAGTCTTTCATTTTATTTAGTAGGTTAGTGCTTTGAAGCTACTAATGGTGAGACTTCATATTTAATTTCAGAGCATTGAAGTGTAATACAAAAGAACAGGTAATGTGTTCCCAAGTAATGTACCTTTTGTGGAATGTTTTTTGGGAGTTATTGAACCTCAGTTGTGGAGTATCTTCAGAATTGATCTTTGCTAATTGCTTTTTTTCAAAAAGCAGCAGTATGTGTTATTTCTTGACTAGCCTTCCTCATCTCTTCAGCAGAGGAAGGAATTCATGGCATTTGCCCAGGACCATGTTTCAGTTATCAGAGGGTAGACTAAGTTGGTACAAACAGGTAGGTGAATTAGATAGAATATTTCCTGTGAAGCTCAAATCTATTATACCTCAAAGGTGTCTGTCCCCTAGTGTTTCTGTTTGTAGTTGGGACCTTGTCTTCCCTGTGTACCATGATAGAAATACTACAGGGGGGGGAAATCTATCTTTAGGTGCCTCACTTTGCCCACCAGTGTAATGGGGTACTTAAGTGATTAAGTCAGATGATAGGGACGTGTATAAGTGTCAGGTTTTCATTGGTTACAACCATTACTTCACACCTACATTTTAAAGTAGCATGATACTTGGCTTTGGAAATATTGACTATTCGTCTGTAATTATACTATAGTAGTGGAGAGCAGAATTCACTGTGCCTTGCTGTCTCTTTTTTAAGCAAAGCAAGGTGTTTTTACTGAATGAAACTTGCTTAGAAAGATGTGAGAAGGGAGAAAGAGGGGAAGTGTGTTCAAGGGAGCAGGCTTCTCCAGAGTGGAAATAAGCAAGCCAGGAGAGAAAGAGCCCTAGCCGTCTTTTCTGAAATGCCTGAAGAACAGTTGTTGTGAAAGCATGTCTGTAGAAGATCTTTTCCTACACTGGAGTGAAAGAACGCCCCGTCCTGCCTCAGTGTTCTTACAGTAGAAGCCCAACAAATAACTGTGTACGTTTTGAGATAAAACAATTTTTTAGATTCTAACAAGCAACTTTTATGCTTAATTTGGTTAACTGTATGTTTTTGTAAAATGAAGTCTTTGATCACTTAAAAGAAAATTTGCATATATGTTCATCTGTGGACATATATTGTTCAAAATTAAATGATCAAGTGAAAACACTGGGGACCAATATTGTTTAAGGAATAAGAAGACTTTTTTGGTACTTTGTAATTAGCATACCCATCAACTGCCAATTGACAAGTTGCCTTTTTTCTTTCAGTACTGACTTATTGGGAGCTAATGACTTAGATCTTTTGGAAGGTTTTTTTTTTTACATCTAGGATTTAAGATTTTTTAAGACACCTTACCCCATCCCTTGTCTTTGTAAGATTTTCAAAACAAAGTTGATTTTTGCTTTGCTATCATAATCTGATGTATATTACATTCAGATCCATTTGGAAATTAATATTTATTAACAGTTAAAGTCTTTTCATTTAGTATATTCTCCCATGTGTTTTATTCCAGCAGGCTGAGATAAAATCTTGGCAGCTCTTTTGAGCCTTTTGCAGTCCACAGCAGTGGGTCATGTGACCCCTGGCAGTAACACAAGTAAATTAGCAGATGAATTGAGCCCCTGGACCATTTGTGTGTATTAGCCTCTTGTCTTAAAATGTATTCCTCAAAGCAGCATGGAGGAGGCAAGACCAGTGGGTCAATTTTGAACTAGCCTTACTCACTTTGGATTTTTAAAAACAAGAAACTCAGGGAAAGTACTAAGTCAAAATTTCTAACTTGACTTTTGTGTTTTTCATGCATTTTATTTTCCATAGTTTTTACTTTGCTTTATTGAGATGATTTAATAAAAGAATATTGTACTGTCACAGTTTGGTATTTTTCATTCCTTCCTCTACTTAATGTTTCTGAAGTTTGAATTAAATTATAATTTTTTACCAACTTCATTTCGGTTGTTAAGTGCTTTAAATTTATGGATATTGTACTGCAGAAAAGATAAACACTTTCATAGGACTTAGTGTCAAGCAAACTCAGCCTACTTTTTTGTGATTTCATTGTGATGTGTTGATGACATATAATTAGTCTGTTTAAGTGAGTCTTTATAATTTTTTTTCTTTGGTGTATTTGTGCTTTGGGGGTGAACAACACAGCAATAATCACATCTATACTCTACTGGCATCAGCTAGTCAGAGCCTAATTAAATAATTTACATATTTAATTTAATTAAATAAATGAATTTATTTAATTAATAGCCAAGAGAGAAAGAGCTCCCTGACATGTTGTGGTCCCCTTTGCAGCATTGGAAGTAACCCCCAAGCACAGAGCCAGGAGTTAGCTTCTGAGCGCTGCTGGGTTTTCTTTCCCACCCACCTAATTAAAGGAAAAAAGGGGGCTTTTACCAGAATGTTGTCATTCATCAGTTACCCAGGCCTCCCAAGTCCCACTGTGGGAATGAGGCAGAAATAGATGTCTCAACACACAGCTCTTTGCTTCATAGGAAAAGAATAAGAGGTGGGGGATTTGCCTCTTTGATAGGTAAGTGAAAAGAAGTCCGCTCTTCAGGGAAATGTTGCCTCAGCTCTGAAGATTGATCACACCCAAAAAACTAAAAAATGACCTAGATGAATAGCAGCCAGAATCTTGTATCCTTGCTGCAGTCCACAAGAATTTGTGGAGACACTTTAGATGCATTGCTGACTAGGCCTCCCAGTTTGATACTATATTTCTGCTTTGGAACTTGAAAGAGCATGGCCATGTTCTCACACAAGGATTGAAGAAAGACACTAAGGATGGAACATTTGAACTGTGGAGTAAATTCATCTAGCAGGCAAGGGGAGACAGTATTTTAGCACAAGACTCAATGGAGAGCAGGCGTTGAAACTTGATAAGGATGTCATCTGTGCAGAAGACTGTGCAGATCCCATTATAACTGGAGCCCAGAGTCCAAATACCAAGTGAGCAAAATGGAGCTGTGGGAGATCAGGCTGGATGATGATGTGCTAATTTGGGTACCTTGTCTAAGGTTTGAAACAACAGCCTACGGGACAGAAAGATGGTTTAGTTCAGCAAGGCACTGTCCTTGTATGTGGTCAACCTGGTTCCATGCCCTGAACTGCATATGGTCATCTTAACAGAGCCAGGAGTAAGTCCTGCACACCTTCAGATGTGCTGCGCACAACAAATGCAGGCAATAAGGTGCCACTGAAACATAAGCAGGAGAATGCTGTGATTTATGACAGGTTAACCTTTAGGTTAACACGCGGCCATAAACAACCCATACTTCCCTTCTCTTGTTTTGCTACGAATCAAACCCAGGACCTCACACATGCCAGGCCTTTACTCTGTACCATGGAGATACATGCCCAGCTCAACATTTACTTCTTCCTAAAACCCCATGAAAAGAAGAATAGAAGGGCCTTTGTTGTTGTGTTGGGTCCACACCTGGAGAGACTCAGGGGTTACTTCTGCCTCTGCACTCTGGGATCAATTCTGGCAGTGCTCATGGGAGCATTTGGAATGCCTGGGATCAAACCTGGGTCTGCTGCAGCGAAGGCAAGCGCCTTACTGATTTTATTCTCTGTAGTTCTAAGAGGGGTTTTTATGAGGTTGGGGGAGGACTGTGCCACACCCAGTGACTTGGGTTACTCCTGGTTCTGCACTCAAGAATTCCTCCTGGCATTGCTCAGGGAACCATATGGGATGCTGGGGATTGAAGCCAGTTCTGCCACATGCAAGGCAAACACCCTCTCTGCTGTGCTATCTCTTAGATCATGGGGGGTAAGATTCCATATCAGTTGGCTGGGTTGGTAATTGCCTGAGTATTTTCTTTCACCCCAAGAAAATGAGAGTTCAAATAACCTGCTCTGCATCCTGGGGCAAAATCAAGGTTGAGTGGTTAAGACTTGGATTACTTTAAGGCCTGCTTGCCCCTGAGAATATTGGGACAAACTGCATTTCCACGGATCTTGTAGAGCGGGTTGCTTTCTCAGTCCTCTCGCTCATCAAAATAAAGATCAACTCCCCTGATCCTATCTTCTCTACCCCACACAATAAAAGTAGAAAGTAAAGTAAAGGCCCTCCCGTTGATCATCGATTTGCTCGAGCGGGCCCAGTAACGTCTCCATTGGAGACTTTGTCGTTACTGTGTCTGGCATATCGAATACGTCACGGGGAGCTTGCCAGGCTCTGCCGTGCGGGCGAGATACTCTTGGTAGCTTGCCGGGCTCTCCGAGAGGGGCGGAGGAATCCAACTCGGGTCGGCCAATTGCGTGCAAGGCAAACGCCCTACCGCTGTGCTACCCCACACAATAAAAAAAAAGAAATCAGTGTCAGAGTGAGTGCAACAAGACAGGTTGCGTGCATTCAGGCTGCCCTCAGGTATGCATTGTATTCCAAACAAATCCCAGGGTAGCCCCTGAACATGGTCCAAAACAACCACTGCGGCAGGAGAAAAAGTACTGCCACTAAAATGCTCCACTAAAATGCTTGTCTTTGCATCCAAAAGAACAACTGGTGCCCGCGCAGATGCGGGGAGAAAGGGACTAATTCATAGTTGGTGGGAATGCCGACTGGTCCAATCTCTTTGGAAAACAATGCACTGTTAGCACTGTCCTGATGTTCCATCTATTTGCTCGAGCGGGCATTAATAATGTCTGGTGAGACTTGTTACTGTTTTTGGCATATTGAATATGCCACAGGGAGCTTGTCAGGCTCTGCTGTGTGGGTGGGATATTTGTGCAGACGGGATATTCTCGGTAGCTTGCCGGGCATTCCAAGAGGGACAGAGGAATCAAACCCCAGTTGGCCGCGTGCAAGGCAAATGCCCTACCTGCTGTGCCATCCAGCCTAATATGGAGAACAATATGCTTGAAAAAACTGGAAATTGAGCTCCCGTATTACCCAGCAATACCACATCTGGGAATATACCCTGAAGGCACAAAATCACAGCAGAGCTGCCATCTACACTTCTATGTTCTTTGAAGCACTCTTCACAATAGCCAGAACTTGGAAACAGCCTGAGTGCCTGAGCACAGAAAACCAGATAGAGAAACTTATTTACACAATTGGGATGCTACACAGCTGTTAGGAAAAATTTTTAGGTTATAAAATTCACTTATAAGTGGATGGACATGGAGGGTATCATGCTGAATGAAACAAATGAGGAGAGAGACAAGCAATAAATGCACTCATTTGTGGTACATAAAAATAGTATGGGATTAATACCCAAGGACAGTAGAAACAGGCCAGAAGGATTGAGCCACGGGTTGGAAGCCAGCATTGGGTGATGAGGAGAATGCACTTGGGATAGAGAAGGAACACAGCATTGGGTGCTGAGGAGAATGCACTTGGGATAGAGAAGGAACACTATGGCAATGATAGTTGGAAATGATCGCTCTGGATAAGAACTGTGTGCTTAAAGTAGGTAAAGGAACAAACGTGATAAACTCTCTGTGTCTGTATGGCAAACTATAATGCCCAGGCGGGGGTTGGGGAGGGAAAGTGAGGTCGTTGGTGGTGGGAAACGTACACTGGTGGAGGGATGGGTTTTGGAAAATTGTATGAAACCCAACCATGAACAGCCTTGTAACTATCTCATGGTGACTCAAAAAAAAAAAAAAAGAGAGAGGAAAAACCCTTGGTGTCAAAGCGATAGGGTGTTTGCCTTGCACAGGGATTATCTGGGTTCTCCAGCATCCCATATGGTTCCCGAGCCAGCCAAGAATGATCCCAGAGCACCACTGGGTGTGGCCCAACCTGACCTCACCGCCCTCCCCCCATTTTCATCCCCCCTTCAAAAGGAAAGAAAAGCGCTTGCCTTATACACTCCGACTCCAGTCATCCAGTCATCTGAGCACAGCCAGAACCGATCCTAGTGCACTCCCAGATGGGACCCCAAGCAAAACCAATATAATACTTCCTTAGACACTCGTAATAGGTAACATATATCTCCTATCACTAATCTTGGAAATAGGTCATTATTATTTAGGTTTAAGAGCTGTAAACCTGTCCCGCAGAACTTTTCCTTTTAACTATCATGGCTTTTAAGTCACATACCTGATGCAGTCTAGACAGGTTCCTAGAAAGAGAATTGTCTACACCCTAATATTTCACAATGGTTTCATTTTCCTCCACAGCAATCTTAGTTTCTTTATCCCTTGCTAAAAGAAGTCTCAAAGTCACTCTGGACAAGAGCTGCAAGTAGGTGAAAGGTTATACATAGTTTTCAGTACCTATATTGTAAACCACAATGCCCAATGAAGGGTAAGAAAGAAAAAAAAATAGTGCCTGCTGCAGAGGTGGGGATGGGGAGGTGGGAGCGGGAGTTGTGGGTGGGAAACTGGAGACATTGGTGATGGGAATGTAAACCGGTGGAGGGGTGGGTGTTGGAACATTGTATGACTGAAACCCAATCATGAACAACTTTGTAACTGAATATCTCAGTGATTAATTTTTTAAAAAATATTTTTGAAAGCAAACTCAGTTTTCCAGGGTTTCCATGCAAAGGAGATTTCCTGGTAAAGCTCCAAATCTGTCACAGGTCCCAAATAGCGTAAATGCAGGCGCCTGCGCACAACGAGTCAGCCAACACGTGCTTCCTCCTCCCGAATTGTGGCCGCAGCTTCCGCGTGGGGCGGGGCCGGGCCGCTAGTGATGACGTCACCCGGAGGCGCAGCCGATTCACGGAAGTACCGTGCAGTTCGCCTCCCAGCCCCGCACGCTTGCTTTATTCCTGGTCAGTAACTGATCCCTCTGCGTGTGGAGAGAGGAGGGTATCGGGCTTTCGGGAGGAAAGTCCGGAGGAAATCGTGATCGGTCACCTCGTATCACTCCTCCAGGCCTTTCCGAGGGATTCAAGGCTGGAGGTGGGTCCGGGCGGGATGCTGCGTGAGGTTAGCACCTGAATCCGGGACCTCAGGCTGGCGCTCTGCAGAGGTTTGCATGCTTTCTAGATCGCCCGCTGGCCAGGGATTTGAGTTTGGTGTAGGGTGTGGAGCAAAAACTACATTGTATCTGGGTTGTTTCTGTCGAGTCCTCTATCCCAGCCATCTCAAACCTGCGTTCCTAATTGTAGCGTGGTTTTCAAGCGTGAGTGGAGGAGTATTTTGGAATCCCTCAAGTGCAGTTTCTTAAAAGCAGTTGCATGATGAAAGAAGCCGTAGGTTACTGGGAAACAAATAATTTGCTCTTAATGTAAAATCACTAGTAATCTAGGGCAAGTCCTCAAAGCAATAAAATTTGTTGGGCTGGAGCAGTAGTACAGCGGTTAGGGCGCTTGTCCTGAACGGGGATGACCCGGGTTCGATCCCTGGCACCCCGTATGCTCTCCCGGGCATCACGAAGAGTAATTCCCGAGTGAGTGAAGAACCAAGAGTAACCCTTAAGCATCTCCGATTGTCTCCCCCAAAGCAAAAACAAACCGATAGAAAATGTTAACATATCGAGCTCTGATGACTGGCGGCAATGCGCTGGGCAAAGAAGTGGGGTTCTATATCCCTCGCACCTCATCGTATCCCCAGAGTCACCCCCAAACAATAACAGAGTTCTGACGACTAAAAAGAAGCCTCTACAATTGTAAAATAGCAAATATCTTAATGATCCCGGTACATATTGTTTGCCTTGTTTTGTTTCATACATTCACAGAAATGTATAGGCACCCAACAAATATAATTTGTATTGGAAGTCATGTATTTGAGATTCAGCTAATGAAAATAAAACTGTTGGACAGCTGCAAGACATTCTGCCTTAATTTTCTGTAGCCACCACTGGGAGACTGGCCATTAGAAGTTAAAAGTCAATTGTATAGGTATGTGGCATAATTTGTCATAAACATGACATTTTCTCTTGTAAGAACTAATTTTATAACCTTGCTCCTTTGATGTCAACTAATTTTAGAATGTAATGTGTCAATTAGATTGTCCTATTAATTTATTTTGCATTTAATGCCCATATATTAATCTGGTGGGGTGAGGGCACCCTCTCCCCCAGTGTTTGGGGAACCCTGGGTACCATGGATCAAACCTGAGACTGCTATATAATACAGTCTTTTGAACCATCTCCATAAGCCAAATTTTTTGAGGAATACCATAATATCATGCGACGACTAGAATGGGAAAACATGGGAGTGAAGATAGATGGTCGGCAACTACACCACCTCCGCTTTGCTGATGACATCGTTCTAATAACACCAAACATCAGCCAAGCGGCACAAATGCTTGCGGACTTTGACCGTGAGTGTGGAAAGGTTGGACTACAGCTGAATCTTACGAAGACAATGTTTATGAGAAACAGCCTTGTTCCTGACGCTCCATTCGCTCTCAACGGAACCACCATCTCCGAATGCAACAGTTATATATACTTAGGTCGAGAAATCAACATGATGAATGACCTGGCACCTGAGTTACGCAGGAGGAAGAGAGCGGCTTGGAATGCCTTCAAGAGCATTGAAGAAATAACTAAAAGGACAAAGAACCTCCAACTACGAGCACATCTCTTTGATTCCACTATTCTTCCTGCATTAACATATGCCTCAGAGACCTGGACCCTACGAAAACAGGATGAGAACACTATTCGGGTCTCTCAAAGAGGAATCGAAAGAACTATGCTTGGAATATCACGATTCACTCAAATGAGAGATAGAATCCGGAGTTCTGATCTTCGTCAACGCTCAAGAATCAGAGACGCTGTCTCATTTGCCAAGACATCAAAAATCAGATGGGCTGGACATGTAATGAGGTTTACAGACAACCGCTGGACTAGAGCCATTACTGATTGGATTCCACGAGACATCAAAAGATCACGTGGACGCCCACCTATAAGATGGTCAGACTTCTTCGTCAAGACCCTAAATGATCGGTTTGAGGCTCTACATGTTCCTAAAACGAACAGATACCATTGGGCTACGCTAGCACGCAACCGGGATGAATGGAGACGTTACTGGCACCCGCTCGAATAAATCGATGAATAACGGGGATTAAGTGATTAAGTGACCATAATATGATAACAATATAGAGTTTAGGTCATTCGTTATGCACGTTGTGGAGAGGATAGCAGAAGGACCCCTTCTGCATTAACTAAAATCCTTGGGTGATGGAACTGGGGGCCCGCCACTGTTTCAGAGTGTGCTTTAATTACCTCCTTGCCCCAACCTCCAAATTCAGTTCTTGAAAGTAGACTTTATGGGACCCTAGAGATAGTACAGAATTAAGGTGCTTCTGCTTTGCATGCAGCTTCTTCCAATTTGATCCTCAGCACTGCATATGGTGCCCCAAGATGAGCACAAAGCCAAGAGTAGCCTCTGAGCATCACTGGTTGTAGCCCAAATCCCAGTCCCTCCCGAAAAAGGTAGACTTTATGCTCATTAATCTGTTCAAAATAATTTAATATAATTATAAGTTTAATTATTTAAATTAAACTTAATTTGCAACAATACGTGTAGAAAAATGATAAAAATGAGAATATCCTACTTTAAAAATTATTATTTTGTTTTGGGGGGCACACACAGTGATGCTCAGGGTTTACTTCTGGGTTGTGCTCTGGGGACATATGTGGTACCAGGGATCAGACTTGGGTCTGCCATGCAAGGCAAGCATCTTATCTTCAATACAGGCACCAACCATGCCCTACTTTTCATTTGACTTCATTGGTTAAGATTTTAGTAATTTTGACATTATATGCAAATTAGAGAATTGTTCTTACCTGATTAATTTTCATCTACGTGTACCACTCTCTTACCAAATTATTTTCCAGCATGCTTTCCAGTGTTAGCTTGCTTGTATCAGATTAATTTTCAGCTGTCATGGTAAAGTTGTAAGATCAAAGGCTCTTTATGTATCCTTATATGATTTTGTGGGTAGTAAAAGTGTGTTTCTCTTCCTGTACCCCTGACATACCCGTGTTACAGGTGGAGTTCTCTGCAGCCGGTGATGCTTAAATTTCAGTGACATGACTCTTCAGGAATTGGTACATCAGGCTGCTTCTCTTTATGCAGATGAAAAAGCTGTATGTTTTGATGACTGTAACAACCAGCCTCCAGTATACTATACTTATAGAACTGTAGTTACTCTTGCTTCAGAATTATCACATTTTCTATTATCACACTGTGACTTTCAAGGATTTCGGGAAATTGGCCTCTACTGTCATCCTGGAATAAACTTACCTTCTTGGATTTTAGGGTAATATTTTCTAGAACTGAAATTTTATGTTATTGTAATATAATTTATAATTCTCTAGATCATTATAAATTTTTGTTTGCTTAACTATTGCATTTTCCTATGTTTTTCGGTCAGTTCTAGGTAAGCTAAAGGATTTGTATTTCCCCTGGAGTATAGTAGCCATTAAAATTAATTAATCTGGCATTGTTTCGGAAGGATTCAAAAGTTTTACAAATTGCAGAACTTATAATACCTCTAAAATACAAGATCTGCTTCTAACTGCCAAAGGAAAAAGTAATAAATTCTGTTGTTAGATTAAAAAATCAGAAATAATGATTGATTTCTCCCCTCCCCTCCATACTGAAGTTTTGGATACTGAAGTATTCATACTTCAGTAAATGAATGTATAAATGAGTTTTGTGGAATAGTCTTTAAATATTTGGATGTGAAGTGGGAGAACATTTTCATTCAGATATTTGCAAAATATCTAGTCATTTTAAGTTATTTTATAATATTATCTCCTCATGATGATTGGTTTTCTTTATGTGATGATTTCTTCATCAGGATTCTGTAAATAAAAGATGCTTAAAGAAGTAGAGAAATTGGATATTTATCTCATAACATTAGTTAATTGAATAATTATGCATACATAAAGGAAAAGTTTGAATGTTTACTTTTATTCAATGATTGACAAAAATGTGTTGAGGATTTACTATGTGCAAAGATCTAGTGTCTTCGGAGTATACATCAAGTACTTTTATTTGAAATGATTACTTTGTGTAAGGGGCTGGAGCGATAGCACAGCAGGTAGGGCGTTTGCCTTGCATGCAGCCAACATGGCCAACTCCCGAGTTCAATTCCTCTGCTCCTCTCAGAGAGCCTGGCAAGCTACCAAGAGTATCTCGCCTGCACGGCAAAGCCTTGGCAAGCTACCCGTGACCAATTTGATATGCCAAACACAGTAACAACAAAGTCTCACAATGGAGACGTTACTCGGCCCACTCGAGGAAATCGATGAACAATGGGAGGACAGTGACAGTGACTTTGTGTAAGGGGCAGAGAGATAGTGCATAGTTTGAGACCCTTGTTTTGATTGCAGCCAACACCAGTTTGATTCCTGGGACTGCATTTGGTTTTTTGAGCACTGAGGGTGTGGCCTAACCCCCTTCAACCTCCCAGCCATAAAGAACAAATAAAATGATTACTTAGATCTTACACAAACATTGCAACAATATAAATTTTTCCCCTTAAAGTATTCTGGGTTTTTTTTTTTTTTGTAAAGTATGTATTTGAATAATGTCTGCTTGTGAATACATTACAGTTTAGTTTGTTTTATATTGTCTGATAGAGACAGATAAAGAAGTAATACTATATGTTCGGTATTTTAGGTATATTATACCGTAATATATAACTTTGTTTTTTGGGGGGGGCACACCTAGCAGTGCTCAGGGATTATTCCCGGCTCTGTGCTCAGGGATCACTCCTGGAGGGACTTTGCACAATATGTGGTACTGAGGACAGAAATCGGGTTGGCACTATGCAAGGCAAATGCTCTTATGTGCTCTATTATCTCTCCAGTCCTGTACAGCATGATTTTGAAAGAAAATTGAATTTCTCTAAGTCATGAGGATTTAATCACTGTCCTCCCATTGTTTATCGATTTGCTCGAGCAGGCCCAGTAACATCTCCATTTTGAGACTTGTTGTTACTGTTTTTGGCATATTAAATACATTACAGGTAGCTTGCCAGGCTTTACCGTGCAGGCAAGATACTCTTGGTAGCTTGCTGGCCTCTCTGAGAGGGGTGGATGAATCGATCCCAGCTCGGCTGGGCTGGCTGTGCGCAAGGCAAACGCCCTACCACTGTGCTATGGCTCTCAGCCAAGAGAATTTAATATAGTAAATAATTAGAATATTCAATCTTGAGAGGAAGAAGTAAAACTAAAATGTTAGCCAAAGATGAATCAATAAAAACATTGAAAATTCCGGGTAAATTCAATAGTAAATTACTTAGAGAAATCGGAATGTTCAAAGTCAGAACATTCTCAGAAGATGTTTTATGTTGATGTTGTACTTCTGTTTCTTCAGAATTCTCCAGGTTCCTGCTGCTTATGCGCCAATTGATCCAGATTCACCACCCACCTTTTCAGCACAGTTCATGAAAAAATGTAATCTAAAATTTATTCTTGTTGAAAAACAGCAAATCAATGTACGTGTATGCATTTAATGATTTGTTTTTGTTTGGTTTTGTTTTTAGGCCACACTTGCAGTGCTCAGGGGTTACTCCCAGCTCTGCTTGGGGGTTACTCTGGGAGGTGCTCTTTGGACTTTGCATTGATGACAATTTAAACTCTGGCTGCCCTTTGAGCTATACCTCCATCCCTTATATATTAAAATTGTTGGAGGGGGTTATTTTTGGATTCCATTCATTTTTTATGGTTTTTTTTTTCTTTTTTGGTAACACCCGGTGATGCACAGGGGTTTCTCCTGGCTCTGCACTCAGGAGTTACTCCTGGCAGTGCTCAGGGGACCATATGTGATGCTGGGAATCGAACCCAGGTTGGCCGCGTGCAAGGCAAACGCCCTACTTGCTGTGCTATCTCTCCAGCCCTGGTTTTGTTTTGTTTTCTTCACCATACTCAGCAATGCTCAGAGGCTGTCCCTGGCTCTCTGCTCAGGAGTGACCTGTGGGGGAGCCTAGGACAGCATGTGTGGTAGGTACCAGGAATTCAAACCAGGGTCAACGAGATGTAAGGCAACCTCATCAAATCCTTGGCTATTCTCTGACCCCTTCTTACATTTATCTCTCTCTCTCTCTCTTTTTTTTCTGCTTTTTGGGTCACACCCAGCGGTGCTCAGGGGTTATTCCTGGCTCTACACTCAGGAATCACTCCTGGCAGTCTTAGGGGACTGTATGGGATGCCGGGGATTGAACCCTGGCCGGCCGCTTGCAAGGCAAATGCCCTACCCACTGCACTATTGCTCTGGCCCCTTACATTTATCTCTCAATCACAAAGGATCCCTCTTACCCACTTTAGTATCTAAATTTACTAATTGGGCAGAGTTTCCCAGTGTCAACACTACAGGCATTTTAGGTAGGGTAATTGTTGTGAGTGATAAATCCTCTGTACGTTATCGGCTCTTCTGCAAGCTTTCTCTCCTTAAAAATCAGAAAACTGGCTGGAGCATTAGTGCATTGGGTAGTTGCCTTGCACACATTTCGACTCCCCAGCACCAGGTATGGTTTTCCAGGCCCAACCCTTAGTACCACTGAATGTGACCCCGCCCCCCCACATAAAACATAGAGGGATGTGCCCTCTACGTTGATCGAGTAGATGAATGCCCCATATAGCTTCTGTGTTTTAAAATAAAATGTCTTTTTACATAAATAATTACAAATGTTATTTCCCATCCAATAGAAATTCAGATCCTCCTATGAAGCATTATTGACCTATAGTAAGACCACCCTAGAACATAATGACCTAATACTCTTGAAACTTCACTGGGAAAATATTGCGTTGAGCTTGGAACTAAATGATGGAAAAGGAAAATGTGGGAAAGACAAATTGGACAGTTCTAATGCTGAGAACAGCCAGGGAGAAAAGTTCGAAGAGCACATGGATGCAATGCGAAAGGAATGCCTGGCCTATGTGCTTCATACTTCGGGCACCACTGGGACCCCTAAAATTGTGAGAGTACCTCATGCATGTATCTTGCCAAACATCCAGCATTTTCGGTAGGTGCTGTCCCTCTGTCCTTCAGAACTCTGTACTTCATTGTTATTAATTTCGGGTGGGGAAGCATTGCACTGCATCCAGTGGTCCTTAGGGCTTATTCGTGACTCTGTGTTCAGGGGTCACTCCCGGCAGTGCTCAGGAGACCTCATGGATGCTGGGGGTGTGTGCAAGGCAAGCTCCTGACCCACTGTATTCTTTCTCAGGCCCCAGCTCTTAAAGACCTTCAACTCAGTAAGCCCAACCAACCCAGGATAATATCCCTTGGATTACTTGGTGGTCATCTGATTAAGGGTTCTAACTATAGCTGTGGGAATCCGTTACCGCTGTGCCTACTTAAGTGTGTGATGAAACAACTAGACCAGGGGGACACACAACAGGCTGTACTGTGGGATTTGCATGCAGGAACCCTGGCAGCCTGCACTGCCCAGTCCCTGAGCGTGGCCCAGTGTTCCCCATACAAACAAAAATGGTTCAGTGACTGAGAGAAGCTCTATGTGCTTCTCTCCTATCAGGACTGCCGCTCCTATCCTCCAGCTTCCAGAGGCTTTTTCCTCTCTGCCTTCATGGGAAGCATGAGAAAGGAAATTTCAAGAGCTTTTCTTCAGTCCAATGAAGCTGACACATCAGAGAGCCTCAGAGATAAAATGAGTCACAGTGGATGTGGCTTTCTAAGGCCAGGGATGTAGTTCAAAAGCCTCAGGCAGGAGTAGCCTCTGTGCACTGAGGTGTGGGCCCAAAACGCACCTCCCACATACACAGTGAATACTGCTTTAAGTGACCTTGATCCTCTTTCTATAAAGAAGAGTTCTGGGGCTGAACTGATAGTACAGTGGGTAGGGTGCTTGTCTTGCAGCTGACCCAGGTTCAATCCCCAGCATCCCATAGGGTCCCCCGAGCCTCTAGGAGAGATCCCTAAGCTAGAGTCAGGAGTAACCCCTGAGCATCACCAAGTGTGTTCCAAAAGTGGGGGAAGATAGGGAGGACAGTGGGGTGGGATAGGGAGGAGTAGAAGAAGAGTTCTAGGATTAATAGCCCTATTTTGATTACTTCGAGTAGAAGGAAACGGATTTGAACAATGTTTAGAAAGTAGAGGCCATACACAGGGTCATAGGTGGGATTTTTTTTTTTAAAGAATGTGTATTGAGGGGCTGGTGTGATAGTATAATGGGTAGGGCATTTGCCTTGCACGCGGCTGACCAGGGTTCGATTCCCAGCATCCCATATGGTCCCCTGAGCTACCGCCAGGAGTAATTCCTGAGTGCAGAGCCAGGAGCAACCCCTGTGCATCGTCGCCAGGTGTGACCCAAAAAGCCAAAAAAAAAAAAAAAGAATGTGTATTGATTTCAATGGTAGCCATTTTTTTTCCTTTTGGGGTCACAGCGATGCTCAGGGGTTACTCCTGGCTCTGCACTCAGGAATTACTCTGACAGAATTACTCCTTGGGAGACCATATGGGATGCAGGGATCGATCCCGGGTTGGCTGCGTGCAAGGCAAACGCCCTACCCACTGTACTATGGTTCTGATTGTGTCAGCCATTTCTAACTGCTCTGTTTTGTTTTGCCTTAGGGAAATTTTTGAAGTCACACAAAATGATGTTTTGTTTCTAGCTTCACCTTTGACTTTTGACCCTTCTGTGGTGGAAATATTTGTTGCTCTGTCAAGTGGTGCCTCTCTGCTTATTGTACCAACTTCAGTCAAAATGCTCCCGTCAAAATTAGCTGCTGTTCTTTTTTCCCGGCACAGAGTGACTGTTTTGCAGGTACGTTTTGAGACCAAGTGGAATGTTTTGTCTTTGAGTAGTTCATATTTTAAGTAGATTTTGTTTTTGTTTGGAGGCTACCCCTGGCAGTGTTTGGCAAACAGTATATAATGATGCCAGAGATCTAACCAGGGCCAGCTACGTGTACCTTGCTTCTCTCTCTCTCTCTCTCTCTCTCTCTCTCTCTCTCTCTCTCTCTCTCTCTCTCTCTCTCTCTCATCCTGTAGCCTTAAAAAATAACAACAACAAAAAACCAAACAAACAAACAAAAAAATACCTTTGTATGCTTTTTCTGCAGAAAGATAATGAGATAGGAACTATGAATTGCTTTTACAGATTTTTTCCCCTCAGTCTTGTTGCCTATTGTTGTAATATAAGAGCATTTTTGCTTTCACATTTGTTTTCTACATTTAGAAGATAAGGCTGCTGGTATAGGTTTTTTTTTTCTTTTTGGGTCACACCCAGCGATGCACAGGGGTTACTCTTGGCTCTGCACTTAGGAATCACCCCTGGCGGTGCTCAGGGGACCATATGGGACGCTGAGAATTGAACCCGGGTTGGCCGTGTGCAAGGCAAATGCCCTTCCCGCTGTGCTATTGCTCCAGCTCCTGCTGGTATAGTTTTTCCAAATAATATTTACCCTTTGATAGACACAGTGTTCATTTCCACGTGGGCTCCCCAAATTAAGCTTTTTAACCTTTTACGTTTTTATTAAAGACTTGGAAGAAAGAAATACATTGTTTTTCATGTACTTGCAGGCAACACCAACTTTGCTTAGAAGATTTGGGGCTCAGCTTATCAAATCTACAGTTTTATCCACCAGTACCTCTCTCCGTGTGTTAGCCCTCGGTGGGGAAGTGTTTCCTTCACTGGCTGTTCTCAAGAGCTGGAGAGGAAAAGGCAATGGAACACAAATATTTAATGTTTATGGTATCACAGAGGTGTCAAGTTGGGCAACATTTTACAAGATCCCAGAAGAGATTCTTAACTCCACTCTGAAGTAAGGGTTTGTTTTAATTACTGAACAGGATAAAAGAAGCATTTTCTCCCCGCCCCCCCCGCTACACCCCCCAAAAAAAATTTTTTGGGGGGCACAAACCCAGTGCTAGTACTCAGGATACTGCCAGCCCTGTGCTGGGGGAGGTCCATATGATGAGCCAGGCCTCCTGGTTGCAGAACCTGCTTTGCCGCTTCTCAGTCCATTGTGTCTCTCCAATGCCTTTCTAGAATCTTAATAACACTTTTTATAAACTCTGGGTAGTGATTTTAGAAATAACTTTTTTTCCCCTTTAGTGCTGGAGATTGAATCCAGGACTTCGCATGTGCTGTGCCTGCATGTACTCTGCCTCTGAGTTGTATTCCTCACTCTAGAGGAACTATTTTATCTAGAATTTCCAGCTGGGACTCCGGAGCCCTATTATACTAGGTGCTACAGAACCTCCGGCAACTTTTTGACACCAAACAGCAATGAAGAACATAGGATAAAGTTTCCACTTAACCTTTTCTTCTAGGAAGTCTTTAAATTATAGCATAACAAAATTAATTTTCTTAAACCTTTGTTTTATATAGTGTTAAATGTATTGTCACTGTCACTGTCCTCCCATTATTCATCGATTTGCTCAAGGTGGCCCAGTAACATTGTGAGACTTGTTGTTACTATGTTTGGCATATCAAATATGTAATGGGTAGCTTGCCAGGCTTTGCCGTGCGGGCGAGATACTCTCGGTAGCTTGCTGGGCTCTCTGAGAGGGGCAGAGGGATTGAACTCAGTCAACTGGGTCAGCCGCGTGCAAGGCAAATGTCCTACTCACTGTGCTATCGCTCCAGCCCAAATGTATTGGAAAGTGTTAATAGTATTTTCTGTAAGAATGAATGAGATGCTTACAGAATAAGATGCTTTTCTTAAGATGCTTAAGAAATGAGATCTTGGGGGCTGGAGCAATAGTACAGCGGGTAGGGTGTTTGCCTTGCACGTGGCCAACCTGGGTTCGATTCCCAGCATCCCATATGGTCCCCTGAGCACCACCAGGAGTAATTCCTGAGTGCATGAGCCAGGAGTAGCCCCTGTGCATCGCTGGGTGTGACCCAAAAAGAAGAAAAAAAAGAAAAAGATCAAAAGAAATGAGATCTTAAAATTCTGATTAGAATGGTTGTCTTGTCTTTTATGCAGATGTGAAATGCCTGTACCACTGGGACTTCCCCTGCTTGGAACAATGATTGAAGTCAGAGATTCTGATGGTTTCACAATTCAGGAAGGCACTGGCCAAGTATTTTTAGGTGGGTTTTTACATTTATTGATTGGAATTTTTAAAATTATTATTAGTGTTATAATCCAGAGGTCTTTATTTTTTGTTTCGAACCCCACTTAAGCCACAGATTCCTAGGACTGGGCTCCCCGTTCCTCACGGGGGCTTCTCTGCCCAAACAGGCTTGCACTTCCCCTGAACCCGGGTACCTTTCTCTCTGGCTTCCTTTCTTTTCTCGTCATTTTCCTTCCCACATTCCCAGAAGCTGTCTTTGACTCTTTAGAGTGCTTCATATTCCTAATATGCACATTGTTTCTCCTGGCAAGAATCTTGCCCTTATTCGTTTACAGCAAGGCTGGTGTCATGCTGGCGAACGCTGCACACTCTCCTAGTTCTGCTGTGAACTGTGGATTTGTTCTGTTTTGAATGTCCTCAGTGTCAGCTTTTTTTTTTTTTTGTAGATCCCCTTGTGTGTGGCCCAAGGAGCAATTCCGTATTTTCTAAAAATTTAAAACCACTTTTTGGTCATTTTGACAGTATCCTGGAAGATGGTGGTGCTGGCTGAGAGGTTACAAATTCTTCTTAAGTAGGAAAAAATAAATAAATCTAAAGCAAAGGAAAAACTTTGATCTTTTCATTTTCTATTTTTCCAATTTTCTTATACTCACTTTTCTTTTAGTGATGACTTTTTAATTTCATCCTCATGGTTATGAAAATAGTTAATCAGTTGCCATAATTATTTCAGTTAAAAATGTCTTATTGCCTAAGAGAAGGTAGAAAAGTAATTTTAAAATGACCTTCTTTCCTTCCTTCCATGCCAGGGATCGAACCTGGGTCTGCTGCATGCAAGACAAGTGCCTACTCATTGTACTATTTTTCCACACCTGTGTATTTGTAGCCAAAGTCGTTTTTAATCACTAACCTAATCAGTCTCTCTTCCCCCTTTCCCAGAGGTGCTCTGTAGGCCTGGAGATGGTCCCAACAATTCTGACATTAGGCCCAAGGACAAAGCACCTCCAGCCCTGTTCATAGTGCTGCGGTGCAGGGTGGGTTGGGGGATGGAGGCACACAGAGCTACTAATTTGGGGGGTGCACACAACAGTGACTAGAGGATCCTGTGGTGCTGGGGATTGAACTGGAGTCAACCTCATTTGAGATATGCTTCCCCCCCCCCTTTTTGGGTCACACCCAGCAGTACACAGGGGTTACCCCTGGCTCTGCACTCAGGAATTACTCCTGGCGGTGCTCGGGGGACCATATGGGATGCTGGAAATCAAACCTGGGTCAAAGCAAATGCCCTACCTGCTGTACTATCACTCTAGCCCCTTGAGAAGTGCTTTAAACCCTGTGCCTTTAAACATGCCTTAAACCCTTAAGACCTGGACTATTTCTCCAGCCCCTGAAGAATTTTTTAAGCCACATATATTTTTTAAAAAATAAATCTTGTTTTATCCCTTTGCTTATTTACTGAAGTAACTATCTTTTAATCAGACCGCTTTTCCTAGCGAGCACCCCTTTCCCTATTAGCGTTCAAAAAATTGAAACTTCACAGCTGAACATTTGGTGATACTCTATGTTTGGTGGTTTGTGATACGGTTTCTCTCTAATTGTTTCAATGGCCATGGCCTTTCTATCTTGTGAAGGCGGCAGAAACAGAGTATGTTTTCTGGATGACGAGACAACCGTGCCATTTGGCACAATGAGAGCCACGGGAGACTTTGTGACTGTGGAAGGTGGACAGATGTTTTTCTTGGGACGGAAGGACAGTCAGATCAAACGTCATGGCAAACGCCTTAACATCGAAATTGTACAACAGGTAGAACTTTAAAGTATTTGGCTTGGGGGGGACAGTGAGGCAACACCTGGCCGTGCTGAGGAGTCAGTCCTGGCAGGACTCAGGGGACCATAGAGGGTGCTGAGGATTGAACCCAGTTCGGCCACCTTCAGGGCAAGCTCTCTTCCTGCTGTTCTGTGTCTCCAGCCCTGACTCCTTGCAGGTGTCCCTAAAAGATGCCAGGGATTGAACCTGGTTGGGGGCGCATGCAAGGCAAGCTCCCTGCCTACTGTGTTATCTGTCCAGTTCCTATTATAACAATATTATCATTATTTTAAATCTTCAGTCCATTTCCAAATTATTTTGACTGTTGACTCAGATGTAATAAGTTTGAGCATTTGAACAGTGTGTTTTTCTACAATTGTTGGTAAATTTGGGTACCCTCTTACAGGTTGCCGAAGGAATTGAGCAAATGGAGGCTTGTGCTGTGATCTGGTATAATCAGGAAAAGTTAATTCTGTTCACCGTGTCCAAAGCTGATTTAGGAAAGGATTATATCTTTAAAGAACTGCAGGAGCAACTTCCAAGTCACGCAGTCCCTGATGATCTCGTGCCAATTGATGCACTACCATTTACCTCTCATGGTAAAATAGCTTGAAGTAGATCTGTGAGATGTCAGATGCAGAATGTATTTATAACTGGTTGAATGCCCACTTAAATTATTACTGTTATCATTATTGCCAGTATTTATTGTGGTAGACAGTCTTGTGAAATGCTTTGCATAATTAACTTACTTTATCTCCAGAAGATCCTGGTGGTTTTCCTATTTGCAGTTGTGGAAAGCTAAAGTGGAAAAGAGATTAACTAATAGGCCTCATATCACACTGCTTGTAAATTGATGGAGATGAAATTCTGTCTTGGCCTGTTTGATTCCAAGACATAGACTGTTGATCACTGTATGATACTGCTTTCCCAGTTTTAATATTTTTCCAGTGCCAGGGGTCGAGTTCAGTGCCGTAGAAATGTAAAGGATGCTTTCTATCTGCTGAAATAGACTCTGGTCCTGTTGTCTTCCCAATTTTATCTCTGTTTAATTAGCCATGCCAGGCATGGAAGCCAGAGCCTCTTGCTTACAAGGCATAAACTTTGCCAGTGAATATAAGAAGAAAATAAATAAATAAATAAATAAAATGATGGGGAAAAAAAAGTAAGGTGGAGTTCATGCCCAATTCAATCAGCTAATCAATGGCTGAATAAATAACTATACTCCTACATAAAACAAACCAAAAAAAAAAAAAAAACTTTGCCAGTGAGCCACAAGCCGGGCCCCTTCATATATATTTAAGATGCCAATTGTTAGAAGTGCAGTAATTACTTATAGTTCTATTTCTTTAGTCTGTTAAGTTTCCCTTTTTCCTCTTATCTATTGCCCACTATTCTTTATAGCGTCCGGTTGGGTTGACTTTTTTAGAATTGACTATGACAAATTAATTTATAGAATTTCTGTCCTCTACAATGAAAAAGATTTTATATTCTTGAAAAATAAGAGATTGAGGTTGAATTATTTTTTAATTTTTATTTCTCTTATATTAAGGCAAAGTTGATATTTCACAGTTAAATAAGATTTATTTGAACCACATAAACTTGAAGTCTGAAAGTAAGCTTAATGGAAAAAAGGAACTATGGGGGAAATTACAGCATTTGTGGAAGGTACAATTTTTAAGATACAAATTTGTTACTTTAAAGAGGTCATTTTATACAAAGGGAAGGCTAATATTCTAGGAAGTCTGATAGGATTTTATTTATTTGAGATTTTTGGAGGGGAGTTGGGGGCTCAACCAGATGTGCTCTCAGGGCTTCCTTCTGGCTCTGCACTCAGGATCACTGCTGGTGGTGTTTAGGGGACCATCTGAGCTACCGGGAACTGAACCCAGGTCAGCCATGTGCAAGGCAAGCTCCTGCCCGCTGTTCTATCTCTCTGGCCCTTATTATTATTTTTTTATTAGTGAGACATATGAGGTACAGTTGTAGACTTACAAATGTTTGTGCTTGGGTTTCAATTACACAATGATCAAACGCCCATCCCTCCACCAGTGCCCACTTCCCACCACCACGGATCCCAGCATCCCTCCGACCCCCCATCCCCCCCACCCCACCCTGCCTCTGTGGCAGGGCATTCCCTTTTGTTCTCTCTCTCTTATTGGGTGTTGTGGTTTGCAAAAGAGGCAATGGGTGACAATAATGTTTTCTGGCTCTTATTTTTAATTTTGGTTTTGGTTTTGGATCATACCCAGCTGCACTCAGAGATCACTTCTGTCTGTCTGACAGGGTTTGGGGGACCATATGTTGTGTAAGGAATAGAACCTTGGTCAAGCTGTGTGCAAGGCAAGTGCCTTATCTGCTGTATAGTCTCTCCAGCCCACCCTGCTAACATTTTCTAAGAATGTCATTGTTACCTAGATGCTGAGTAGTAGTAGTTGAATTGATTTGATTTGATTTGATTTGAAATACATGTTACTATAACCGTGGGTCATTGCAGTTTTTCCCTAGAATAAATGCAGAATTTTCTAAAGGGTTCTAAAAAGGTATAAATTTTATAGTTTTTTCTGAAAGTAGAGTATATATATTCAAAGTCTTATCTATTTCATTTTCAGATACTTCAAAAGTAATTTTATATCTAATATTACTGAAATCCCAATATTAGTAAAATCAAATTTTCTTTTTTGTCTTTTTATTTTGTTTTTGGACACAGCCAGTGGTGCTAATGGCTTACTCTCGGCTGTACACTCAGGAGTCATTCCTGGTAGTGCTCAGAGGGCTTTATAGGGCGCCAGAGATTGAATCTGGGTCATCGAACTTGGGTGCAGGGGATGTGCCCTGCCCACTGCACTATTATTACTCCAGTCCTATTTTTATAATCTGTTTCTTGTTTTATGTGTAGAAAAGCTGCTTAATGGGAAGTATACTTTGTAGTTTTAGAATAGGTGTGTGACAAAATTAGTGGCATGGTCATGGTCTCCTTTACTTTATTTAGAAAATACTTTTTATTATTAAAAATGTGTGTCCTGTGTTCATAACGTTAGTGTAGGTATTGTATCTAAATATTACCTGAAAATGTTGAATTCTTTTTATTTTAGACCTTTACGTATTTCTCCCTTCTCTTTTCTGTAGTCTATTCTGAATCTCTCAGAATATCCTTCAAAGATTTCTGACGAGTCATTCACAAATTGCGGTGGCGATTCCTTAAAGTCCATACGGCTCCTCAATGAAATTGAAAGTCTTGTTGGCAAATCAGTACCTGGGCTTTTTGAAATTATCCTTACCAGCTCCATTTTAGAAATTTACAATCATGTTGTTCAAATGGTGTATCCCGATAAAGAAGTGGAATTTAGCAAGAATTGTGCCACCAAAAGAAAATTCAGCAACGTGGATCAAGAGGAAAGCAGCAGGAAATCTCGCCACCAGATATCAGCCAGGCCTTTATCTCCTGATGGTGATGATGAGCAGAGACGTTCCTTCATCGCCCTAAGCCGCGGGAATCAGATATGGTCGCTGAGTACCACTGGCATTGTAGCCAAATCAGGCCAGTGCTCTTCCACCCATTCTTCTGATTTAATTTCACAAAGGAACTCTCCAAATGTACCACGCTCCAGTTCTCCAGCTCTCATTGCCACGTTACCAGAGCCAGCCTGCGTTGCCAAAGGTTTTGGAGAGCAGATGGAGTTTCGGGTGCGGTGGGGGTCAGACACCGGCAAATGTGTAGACGCCTCACCGCTTGTGGTGATAGCAGAGGCCGCTCCAGCATCTGCAACTGTGTACATTGGCTCTCACTCTCACAGGATGCTGGCAGTTGACCTTTACTCTGGGAAGGTGAAGTGGGAGCAGATTTTGGGGGATCGGATCGAATCATCAGCCTGTGTATCTAAGTGTGGAAACTTGATTGCAGTGGGTGAGTTTCAAAATTTAAATTGAGTTCCCATAAGAAAATAGTTCCCGGGGCTGGAGCAATACCACAGCGGGTAGGGCATTTGCCTTGCACGCGACCAACCCAGGTTCGATTCCCAGCCTCCCATATGGTTCCCCGAGCACCGCCAGGAGTAATTTCTGACTGCATGAGCCAGGAGTAACCCCTGTGCATCGCCAGATGTGACCCAAAAAGCAAGAAAAAAAAATTTTAAAAAATAAAAGAAAGTAGTCCCCTCCTTGGAGTGTGCTCACCGCTGACTCCACCCATGCTGGTCAGGACTCCTGACTGCACCTTACCTGTTGCAGCAGCTTAGGGGACATGGGCTGGAGCAGAAGTTCCAGAACTGAACTTCCCAGGTTCTGATCCTAGTTCTGCCGTATATTTATTAAGTCGTGTAGTTTTGCCTTAGTAACTTTCATCCTTTCATCTATGTCATGTTAGCATTGTGGCTCTGCTTCACCACAAGGATTGCATGAGCTAATAGACGGAGGAATTTTAGCATAGCACCCTCCACAAGAAGATATAAGGCTTAACACTGGCTGTTGTTAACGTTAGCATTTCTGGAACATGCTAAAAATGAGCGCTTGGCCATATACTATCCACATTACAAGAATCCCCCTAGGTGGGTATACCTGTGTTCAGCAGAAGACTGAGGCTTTGCAGTGCTCGTCACATGCCTGTAGATGATCAGGACAGGTTCTCAGCAGGCCTGCCCAAGCTTCTCTCCACTGCAGCGTGCTTCATTGGTCTCTTGGTAGAAAATGAGAAACAAGGTTTATTTTAATTTTACACCATAGGTGTAAAGCACTCTCAGTGGTGATTTTATAAACTGTTTGAATTCTGCTTTTCATTGCTGAAGTTTAGATCTGAGCTGAATGTAGTGACTTGTTATACATTAAGAATATCAGATGTCATGTTTGCCTCTCAATGCCTCTTTTGCAAACCACAACACCCAAAAGGAGGGAGAGAACACAGGGGATTGCCCTGCCACAGAGACAGGGGGGATGGGGGGATGGGGGTGAGAGGGATATTATCCATGGTGGTGGAAAATGGGCACTGGTGGAGGGATGGGTATCTGATCATTGTATAATTGAAACCAAAGCACAAAAAATTGTAAATCTACAACTGTAAAAAAAAAATAAAATAAAATAAAGGGGAAAAAAAAAGAATATCAGATGTAAATTCATGGTTTACATATTTATATCTGCCTTTTGGCTTCCCTAACAGGCTGTTACGATGGATCAGTTTATGTTCTGAAAAGTAGTAGTGGAGAGAAACACTGGGTTTTCACTACCCAGGATGCGGTCAAAAGCTCAGCCACCCTGGACCCGACCACAGGACTCCTGTACATTGGCTCCCATGACCAACGTGCATACGCTCTGGACCTTTATGTGAGACCCCATCTCCTCAGCTCCCCCCATAAATGCAGATGAGCAAGAAGCTGTCCCATGCCATGGATTAGACGGCAGGGGTTCACAATTTCCCCAGTTGTGCATGTTTGTAGGAAAGAATAAGGGGTTAATTTGCCATTTTACCAGTTTAATATTTGTTTTTCTTCCTTACCAAATTTACACAAATGCAATTGCTACTCAGACTTTTATTTCATAGGGGCTAGAGCCATAGTACATTGGGTAGGACAGTTTCCTTGCACACTTGACTTGGGTTCAATCTTTGGCACTGCATATAGTCTGTCAATCCTCTAGAAATAATTCCTGAGTACAAAGTCAGAAGTAACCCCTGAGCACAACCAGGGGTTATTTATTTTGAACACACACACACACACACACACACACACACACACACACACACACACACACAATATTTTATACATTTAATAATGAAAGTGATAAAAATTAAGAACTATAGAGAAACAACTGATATTAGAATGATAATTTTAAATGTAGATGAGGGGACTAGAGAGGTAGTATGGGGCTGCAGGCAGCCAAACCCTGTTCAATCCTGACACCACTGATGACCCCTCCAAGTACCTGCGGGCCCAATGTGAATGAGAGTTACAACTTGGCCGGCCTCTGAGAAAAGAAATTTCATTACTTTGTTTTGATTATGTGCAACCTGGCAACATAATCAAAACCATAGACATATACACCAAGATTGTCTATTTATGACTTGTTAATAATATCAAAAAATAGTTTCAAACAATTTCCAGTAATAGGAATTTTATGCATTAAAGATCAGTTTTTAGGGGCTGGAAAGATAGCACAATAGGCATTTGCTTTGCACATGACTAACCCAGATTTGATGCTCAGCATCCCATATGGTCTTCTGAGCACTGCCAAGATTAATTCCTGAGTGCAGAGCCAGGAGTAACCAATGAGCATCACCAGGTGCGGCCCAACAACATATATATATTTATATAATTTTTAGTTTTACAAAGTGAGCTCAGTTAGATGCCAAGCATCTTTTCAGAATGATCACATCTGTATTATTAAAGAGTGTGTGTGTGTGTGTGTGTGTGCGCGCGCGCGCGCACGTACCCAAAAAATGAACAGGGAGAATGCTAAAACATTCATAAACATTTAAGAATTCTTTGTTTTCTTTATAACAAATAGATTCTCCTTAGCGAGCATGTATTTTATACTAAAACCAAACTTAATTAAAGAGATAATACTATGAGGGCTGGGAAATGTGGATTTGGTAACTACCTGCAAAACCTCCTCATTTGCTTTCTCGTTCGCAGGCAAAGAAGTGTGTTTGGAAGTCTGACTGTGGAGGCGCAGTCTTTTCTTCCCCGTGTGTGACCCTGACTCCACATCATGTATATTTGGCTACGCTGGGAGGACTTTTAGTGGCTGTAAATCCTGTAAGCACAAGAGACTATCTGTTATTTTACTACCAACTCTTATTTTCACTTAACTCTTTCCCTTCGTTTCTCTTTGCTGTCATTGTGCTGATGGGGCTCAAATACCCCTGCTTGTGTGTGGATTTTCAGCTTGTGGAACTGGCATGGGATCACGCTGCAGTGCTCCCCACCACCCTGCAGTGCTCTCCAAAGTGTGCATTCCTTAAGTGACAGGGTTTGTGTGTGCTCCCTAGAGCTCGCTCAGAGGTGAGGCACTCAGGTTCCCTCACCATCCTCCCTGGGGCTCACTGCAGTGCTCTCTCGTGTGCTTGCCGGGGTTTACATTTTGGTGGTGGCCCTCTGCATCTTTGTTTTGTTGAGTTGTGTTCACTGGTTGCCAACCCCCATATGTGGTACTTACACATACCTGGCTGTGCTGCAGTCAGAAATTGCTAGCAGTGCAAAGGCCCACAGTTAGCTGAGCTCCCGGGATCATGCTTGGCACATGGGGGACACAGGGAATTCGAATTAGGGGACCATTTGCTGGCTTGCACAGTGGCATTTTAAGCCCAGGTACTGTTTCTCCAGGCCCCCTTTTTTTTTATTTACCAGTTTTTAAAACTACAGAGTTTTGCTTTGGATTCAGTAAGTTTAAAGCTGTTTACATTAATAGTCCAGCTCTCATGGAATCAAAACTCACTATGGAGAGAGGGTGTGGGAGGTAAGGCACATGTCTCGCGTGTGGCTGACTATGTTAGTCTCAGGCACTGCATGTGGCATTACAGGCACCTCCATGGGACACTCCTGAGCACAAAGCCAGTAGTCCCTGAGCAGCACTGGATGTCACCCCCACCCTACTCCCCCCACCCTTCTCAATAGAAAACTCACTATAAATAGAGTCTGGAAAAATGAAAATCCCAAGTTCCCTCTGTATCTCTGTCACCCTCTGTTTGTTTGTTTGTTTGTTTGTTTGTTTTTGCTTTGGGGGGATACTCAGAGGTTACTCCTGGCTCTGCACTCAGGAATTACTCCTGGCAGTGCGTGGGGGACCACGTGGGATGACGGGGATCTAGCCCAGGTTGACTGCATGCAAGGCAAATGCCTCACCCACTATATGCCACCCCAGAGGTTTTTTAACTGGCATAATTTTTATAATCATAAGTTTTTTTTTCCATTCTAAAGATAAATTTTTGTTGTTGTTTGTGTTTTGGGTCCACACCCAGTGGTGCTCAAGGCTTAATCCTGGCTCCCTGTATCACTCATGGTGGTGCTCCGGGAACTATATGCGGTGCCAGCTTGAACCACGTTTGGTTCTGTGCAAACCAAGTACCCTAACTCCAGTTAAGTCCACTCTCTCCAGCCCTTAGGATAGACCTCACGTGATCATGATTTCCTGGATTCTCTGTGAGTCTTGACCTTGGCTCACATAAATTGCACTGATTAGTTTTATAGCTGTGTAGTTGTGTACTTGCCTCATTTATAATGTCAACATGCCACTGAAGCACTTTCGGGTGCTTGTATCTTAGCCTCTGGGAGTCTAAGGATGTGTTATGGGGGTGATTGATTAGTAGGGTGATTTAAATGCTCCAAATTGCTTTTTGCCTTTGATAGGCCACTGGGGACAGACTCTGGAAACATGTCTGTGGAAAGCCACTCTTCTCTTCTCCACGCTCTTGCCGAGAGTATGTCTGCGTTGGCTGTGTCGATGGGAATTTACTCTGTTTTACTCACTCTGGAGAACAGGTAACAGTTTCTAGTTTTATTGTGAAAATATTGTGTGCATGTGGGGGAAATGTATTTTTCACAAAGACTTAATAGTTGATGACAGTTGAAATAAAAAAATTAAGTAATTACTCAACTCATTGTGCTGAAAGTAACTTCTGTTTTTTTTTTTTTTCATACCATCGATTTCCCTTTGAATGAGGCCATAGTGGATTTAGTAAAAGATTCTTACACTTTGCCATCTCCTTCCCCCAGTTAAAAAGTGTAGCACAAGTTTAATTAGAACTTCTGTTAGGGTTGTGAAATTGGGAAGAAGCCCTTGCTTTATTATTTTCTTTTAAGGGGTGCAGTTGGGCTACACCCAGCATTGCTCAGAGGTCACTCCTGGTGGTGCTCAGGGGATTAGTCATATGTGGTGCCAGGGACTGAAAGCGGCTCAGTCACATGCAAGGCAAGTGCCTTAACCCCTGAATTACTCTCTTGCCCCAAGCCCCTGCCTTATATATGAAATGTACAGTTTGATATGGAGCTCAATTTTCATTGTATGGTGGTCCCATCTTCAACTTCAGGTCTGGGGAGGTAGGCTCCTGTGGGTTACATTTGATTTTTTGTTGAGAACATTCTGTCCACTTAAGTTCCCACAAGTGATTGATTTATGGCACACCTTCTGCTGTACCTGTTTTGTTAGTACTTTAGCTGTAAAATAAGTGTTCCCAATTATGGGTTGGGCTGATTCTGGATGCTTTCTAAACTACATTCAAGGATTGGAGCAACAGTACTGTAGGTAGGATGGGTAGGATGTTTGCTTTGCAGGAGGCTGACCCGGGTTCAATCCCCAGCATCCTATATGACCCTCTGAGTACTGCCAGGAGTAATTCCTGAGCACAGAGCCAGGAGTAAGCTCTGAGGACCACTGGTTGTGGCCCCAAAACAAATTAAAAAACACATTTATTGTGCATGAGCTAACCATCCCTTTTGTTTCACTTGACAGTTGCTTTTTAATGAAATATTTTATTAAATTCACTTTTAATTTAGAAAGTAGTTTGAATTATTCTTACCTTTAGATTATAAACAATGGGCAAATACTAATATGTATGTATACATATATATATGTACATATATATATAACTTTTTGTAAGGAACTTCAAAAAGACTAGTGTTTCAGCCCAATCGAGACTGACAATATTACACATCATATTTCATAAACAAGCCCACTGTACTTTTGCTTTTCATTGTTTATCTATGAATACTACCTTAGATTTTGGGCTTTTCTTGTGCCTTGTGCCCAGAATATTGACCAGCAGTTTTTTCTGGTAGCTTTGAAATAAGCAAATACTATAGGGCAGATGTACGACTCATAGCTTTTTGTTAAAACTTTCAAATAAACATTGCCTGTAAACCCTGCCTTTTGTTACACCTTCTTTTTACATTAGGAGAACAGAGTAAGATAGTTTTTCAAAATCCATTAAATAATCGGTGCAGTTTTCTGTGCAGTTTAACTTTGAACTATGTTTCTAAACATGCAAATAATCTCTCTTGGAGTTCAAAATTAATTTAACTTTCTGGTATTACTCGTGGTAAGAGTGCTGCAGTGGTTTTTGTCCTAGAATTGACCACCAGGACCGAAGCCTAAGGACATTTTGGAAAAAGCCATGGAGCTAGTATTTCATAGCTTACATCTTTTTACATTCTTACTAAAAATGCCATAAAATTTAATTGGCAGAGAGTTGTTTAAGTGAGATGAATGATTTTTTGTGTGTGCTTTTTTTTTTTGACCTTTATCACCCTTCAGGTTTGGCAGTTCTCTACCAGTGAACCCATCTTTTCATCTCCCTGTCCATCAGCATCAGAACAAGAAATAATTTTTGGTTCCCACGATTGCTCTATCTACTGTTGTAGTGTGGAAGGTCTCCTCCGGTGGAAATTTAAAACCTCTGCGAGGGTGTACGCAACCCCATTTGTGTTCCCGAATCGTGGTCAAGGCAGCGAATCTTTGGTGGCCGCAGCCTCCACTGACGGCAAACTGTGGATCCTGGACTCTCGGAGTGGACAACTGCGGAGCATGCATGACCTGCCCGGAGAGGTGTTCTCGTCTCCTGTGGTCTGGGAGTCCATGCTCGTTATTGGCTGCAGAGACAATGTTGTTTACTGTTTGGATTTATTGTGTGGCAATCAGAAGTGATCAAGTACAGTCTGTACTGGGATATCTGTGAGAAGTTTGGAAATAACTTATCACGGTTAAGTTTGTAAATAATCTTACATTAAAGATTAGATTTTGCATAATAAACTTGTCTGCTGCACTTTTTGGGAGGACAACTATATTTTACTTCCAAGAGGAACAAATACTTTTTATTTATTTATAGTTTTTTTCTTTCATTACTCCTGGCAGTGCTTGGGGAACCATATGGGATGCCAGGGATTGAACCCAGATTGACCATGGGCAAGGCAAATGCCCTACCCACTGTACTATTGCTCCAGCCCCAACAAATACTTTTTAAAAGGAGTTGCAGAATCAAATACATCACTTAGTAGTACTGTCATTTCATTTTATAGTATTTTAAGCTATAACTGTTCTAATTTGATTTTTTAAAATAGAAGAACTTGTTCAGGAAAGGGGAAAGATCAGAATATACTTGGGTGAAAAAAACCTAACCTGTGATAAAATATACCATAGTGGGAAAATGGGACTTATGCTGGTTTTAATTTTTTTTTTAAATAGTTCATTAGGAAACTGTCTTGATTATAGGTTTCTGGGGCCCCAAGGCAAACTTTCCCATCACTCCTCGCTTCTATGGCTCAATGAACTATTAGTATTGGGCTTTCTACTGTGTCTCTCTGACTTTTCTGCTCCAGCCGTGTCTTTCTTTCTCATAGTCCGTAAGTTGAGTGAACCATCGTTTTGTCGGAGACATAGACCATTCAGTTCCACTTTACAACTGAAGTAAACATTTTATTTACCCCATTTTTCCCCTCTGAAAACACCTTGTGAAAATTATAAGGCACTATATAAAATGCCTGGAAGTCTTTTTTTCAATAAAAACTTGTATGTTGATGGTAACAGAAATTCAAAAAAACAAAAAAAAACTTGAAAAAGAAATTTCATCAGTACCAAAGATCTTGTGGGTATTTTTTATTGAAAGGCTTTTTTTTTTCCTTCAATAATGGACATTTTTACATTAAAACTTTATACAACCAAAGATCTCAAAATAATATTAAAATCACACTTCAGGTATTTCATTATTAAGCCTCTACTTAGTTTTATTGTTGGTAAAAATATTGCAAGACACTTGTAACTCTAATGTTTCTGCTTTAAAATAAGCAATTAAATTAAATGTCACAAGAAGAGACAATGAATACATACTATTATTTGCTGATAACTGGTAAATTTAATAGTGATTAACAATGCTGTATAAGAAAAATTGCACTTGAAAAATTAAAAAAGTAAACAAAAACCTCTAATTGTATACGTATGCCTATGAACAGAGGTCAATCATCTATTACCTTGCCAGGAGAAATGTATGTTTACTTGGTTTTGGGTTTGTTTTGTTTTTTTTTTTTTTAGGAAAAAAAGTTTAAGCTTGTGTATTTAACATAGCAATCATTCATTTAAACAGGTCTTGAATTTTTTGTGTTTTAACAGATTTTCCCCATATTTTGTTGACTGCACCACAGCTAAAGCAAAATAACACTTCATTGGTATTGAGTGCAAGGAAGAAGAGATTTTTTTATGAAATAATAAACAGGTACCTCTAGGAGTAATTGCTGTGACTATTCTTTTCTCAGTACACTCTTCCTAAAGACTTTAATGGAAACTTTCTGCAGTGCTGGATATTGAGCCCAGCACCTCACATCTGCAAGGCAAGTGCTGTGTCACGGAGCATTATCCCTACCCCCTCTATGGAAACTTCGACTGAGGCACTTGCTCCAACCTGGTATGGCCTCAGTGGCAGGTAAGTTGGTACAGAGTTGGTTCATTCTTTGTAAACGAACCGATTCTTGCATCTGTTATGTCATTACTACTATCAGTGTAATCGAGGGCTGATAGGAAGAAAGAAGATTTCAATTCAGAGGAATTACTATAGCACTTTAATTCCAGGATTCTGGATGGAAAGACTGCCATTGAAGTGTTATTCTCACTGAAGAAGTCCATTAATTAAGGTGAGTCAATCACTGGAACTAAAAACTGCCTACAGACTCGATTTGGAAAGGAGCATCAGGTTAGGAATCGTGCAGTGGAATATTCGTTGCCTCCCATAGCAATTTGAAAGATTCAAGTTTCATTGATACTTAACAGTCTGAAGGTCCAATATGTATGATAACAAACTCAGCTTACAAGAGTACAACTATCCATTTGACCACTCTTGTCAGATATATCATGAGGCTGAGCCATTGTTCCCCCACAAAAATGCTTCTCATAGCACGGCCATCTTTCTTTCTTGAAAGTAAATAATACACTAACATTGCATACTGAATAAGCAAAAAAGAAAACAGCTACAGACACTAATAAAACCTGCTTTTATAGGAGAGAAGGAAAGGATGTAATTACTCCTGCACTAGGTCAAGGATTTGGACTTGTATTTTGGAGTCAGAGTAAGAAACATGCTAACACCACGAAATACAAAGTGAGTACCAGCACTATGGCAATTGACTGGCATGTCTGTGTGTCACAAAAAGCAAATTCAGGAGCATCAAAGTGGATAAATGTGGATTTTATATGCCATGCCCCTTCTTTGTAGATAACAAGGCCACTTAAGACTCTGAAATGCAGGGTTTTTTTGTTTGTCTAAAGGTATGGTGTGGACACTGTAAGTTGTAAATGCTATTAAACTTTTAACTTTAAGTAGGAATTTGATTCTGGTAGAGGAAAGCTTCCTGCAGGAAGTTCTTTGTGCCGATTCTCCAAATCTCGGCTTCTGTTAACTTTTCCTAAAGATGGAGGGAATTTTCAGAGACCTATAATGTCAGCTGCCTCTCATAATGCTGCAATAAATGGCTTGATTGGGAGCTATTTTTTTTAGGGGTGTGTGTGTGTGTGTGTGTGTGTGTGTGTGTGTGTGTGTCTCACTTTTGCTTCTTTGGGTAAAATGAGTCTCCCCCTCAGAGCTTTAAAAATTAGATTATACTAAAAGCAGCTTATTCTAAGCTTCTCAACCTTTGAGGTGATTCTGAATTCTTCTAAAGAATTTCTGCAAGTGTACATCTTTGCCCCACGAGGAAAGGTGGAATGGACCCTGGCACTCTTAAGAACCAATGCATTGATGGGGAGGGATTTTGTTTTAATTTGTTTGGGATCCACATCTGGAGGTGCTTATGGCTTACTCTGGGATTGCTCTTGGTGGGAGTTGGGGAGCCATATGGGATGCTGGAGATGGAGCACAGATCACGTGCACCTTACCCACTGTGCTATCACTCTAGCCCCTAGATGGGGCTTCTTAAAGACAAAAAAAGAATTTGTAGCTTGCTTTTTTCACCATATTATATAAAAATGTTTCAAGGAATGTGGGACGGAGCAATAGCACAGCGGGTAAGGCATTTGCCTTGCACCCGGTCAACCCAGGTTTGATTCCTCCACCCCTCTCAGAGAGCCTGGTAAGCTACCAAGAGTATCTTGCCTGCATGGCAAATCCTGGCAGGCTACCCTTGACATATTCGAAATGCCAAAAACAGTAACAAGTTTCACAATGGAGACGTTACTGGATCCTGCTGGAGCAAATCGATTAGCAACGGGAGGACGGGAGGACAGTGCTACAGTACTACAGCGTTTCTAGGGATGTAAGTCAAGTGGAAGAGACATGCCTTGCATTTGTGAGGCCCTGGGTTCAAACCCCAGGACTGCCTGAACACCATCCTCCCACCCCACCCTCTGCCGCCATAAAAAAAAGGGGTGGCCCTAAAAACAATTTTCTAAAGATGTTCCTATGAAGCCAAGTGGACCAAATACTTAACATGTCCATAAAGGAGAGAAATGGCATCAAATCATTTGTGTGGTGGGAATGAGAATGAATTTGCATCTTGCATAACAATTACAAGCTGGGGAAATCTTATGAAACCTGGACACAGAGTCAAGAGGGTTCCCTGCCATGCGCTGCATTCAGGAGAAGGGCATGTGGCTTCCAGAGCTGAACTTTCCACCAGTACAGCAGGAAAACCCTGATGCTGGGTTAAGTCAATGTTGGGATACAAGAAACTGGAGCGGAGAATCTAAAACCAGTATAAAGATTGGCAAGAGTTCGTGTTCCGATGACGCAGGGGTGAGTGGGAGCGCCATGGGCGGGCACGGCGAGCTCTCCCGAGTTCTCGGCCTGGAGAATCCACGCCACGATCCCGCAGACGGAACTCTCTCTTTCAACTAGGAGGAGCTCAAGGCACCAGGACCTAGGGTTGTGCAAATACACTCTTTACAAGGAACAACACAGTTCAGTTTCTAAACATTATTTTAGAGCCTAGAAAACATGCTGCTTTTCCCTAGCTTGATTTCTTTACCTTATATAAAAAATAAATAAAAAGGGCAGGAGAGGCCTGCGACAGCCTCTGAGGAGGAAAAGAGAGTCCGTCTACTTAATAATTTGTGGGCAGTCGCTCCAGGCCTTGGCTTTCCTCTTGGCCAGAGCCAGCCAGGCGGGTTCCGTGGACACGGGGGCTGCGTCTGGGGTGGAGAGCCTCTTGGTCACTTCTTTCACCAGTGGCGCCGGGGGAGCCGAATCCGAGATCTCCACTGGGTCGTGTTTTGAAGGAAAGAGAGAAAGAAGTAAGTTGGGACAAACCACACACTTTGTCTGAAGTAGGAGATTAGGGGGAGAGGTGGGCGAGCAGATCCACTCAGGAAGGATGCACACTCCTCACCACCACACACACACACACGCACGCACGCACACACGCATGCACGCACACACACACCTCTCAGCGACAGACTTTCTAGACATCTGGTTTTCTGTCCCTTGAAGCTAGGTTTGTGCACATATATGAAACATGAAGCACGGCCAGTCACTTCCATGAGAGACGCTTCCACACAGATGCTCATTTGATCCGGCTCCGAGTTCAGAGCCAGCCCCTCCATCCCAAGCCCAGCTCGCTCCTCTTCCATTCCCATCCAACAGTTCTTTGGCTTCTTGTCACTTTTAATTTTATTTTAAGACCTTCTAGGTTCCTTCAGGTGAGAGCTGCCATGTTACCTTGGCTACATTTCCTGCCAGTGGCAAGAGCCTACTACTCATACCTCGTCACTCAGAAAATCCTGAAGGAAAAGACAAATACTCCAGAACGAAGGCTTACTTTATTGAGCTAAGACTGGTCTGAATTGCACTGACACTTTAATACTTCCAAGAAATCGGGCAGAGAGGTGTGACCTCTTTGACTCTGAGGTCAAAAATTTTTCAAGAGTTCCAAAAGCCAATAGTGTCTAGAACTCGTAGTTTCAGCTTACATCAAAGGATCATGAAGGCTGTTGGAAAATTTGACAGCAGGTCCAAGTGGGTTTTTTTGTCCAATTTTGTGTGTTTGATTTGGGAGACATACCCAGTGGTGCTCAGGGCTACTCCTAGCACTCTGCTCCCAGATTTTCAGGGGTTACTCCTGGCTCTACACTCAGGAATTACCCCTAGCGGTGCTCAGGGGACCATATAGGATGCTGGGAATCGAACCCAGGTTGGCTGTGTGAAAGGCAAACACCTTACCCCTTGTGCTATTGCTCCAGCCCCAGTAAATACAGCTTTAATAGCGAGACCTCTTCGTATTTCCAGATCTTGGCTAGCCTGTAACCAGGGCACAAAAAAGTCTGAATGTGGAATGGGATCAGAGCTGCCTCGGGGGAACAGCAAATGCCCTGTGAACCCCAGGAAAGGGACTCTGAATGTGATCTTCCAAGTGATTTGTAACTAGGAAATCACTGGAGGGGGCATGGTGCCGCCAACAGGTCAGCCTGTACCTGCGGAGTGAGTGCATCAGCAGCCTGATGTTGCCTTCAGGCTTCCTGATACCCTGAAATTGTCATTGTGCCTTTGGTCAGACCCCAACAACTTGGGAACAAGAAATTAAACAGCCAAAAGTTAGGTATGTGGGAATCACACCCACAAACTACCTCCGGCTCAGCTATACAAGCTCAATCAGAGTTGGGACGGGCTACCTCCCCCACTTCCCAGTACATATGAAAGAACTGGCAGTCACCCCCACAAACCAACTCCAGTGCCACCCTGTAAGCTCTACTATTAACCTTGCCTCAGAGACCCCTAAATAAATCTCAAAGGAGATCAAAAGCTGCAGTTAAGCTCAGACCCATACATGGCTGAACAGTCCAGAGTAAATTGGAGGAGGCAGGTAGGCCTGTGCTCACTCAAGCAGAATCCCTGGCAGCCACTTGCTTCCACAATCCAAAATTGCCGCCATACCCCAAGCCTGACTGCACCATCTCAGGATGAACCTCACCAAGATATAATCTGCTGAAAATTTTGTAATGTAGTTCTTAACACACCAACAGTCCTGGCCCAGAGACACAGCAGCAAGTCCCAGAAGACACCAGTACCGGAGATCTCCCCGGGCCCAATACCGAGCCAATATCACCAGGATGTCCCAGATGGAGTAGGTGCAGTCTCCCCACCTACTGCAGATGGAATCCTGGTGACCAAGAGCTTCCACAAGCAAGGCCCAGGTATGCCGTTTCCAGGACTACATCTCCAGGCTGCATGGCAGCAGAGGACCTGGGCAGTCCCTCCCCGGGTCCTGCCCAAAAGACTGGCTATTATGCCCACAATTAGCCTCCTGGCACCATCTTAGCACACCAACAGCCCTGGCCCAGAGGCTCCCAGTTGAATCCCAAAATGGATTAGTGCCATACAGAGATGTCTCTGGAACCCAGCCATTTACAATCTAGAAATTTACATTTACAATCGTGCCTGCGTGAGCTCTCGTGATATTCTAAATGAGCTATGGAAAATATATTATCTAGTGTCTGCCTCTGGCAGGTAGGCTTGAGTGGTGGTGGGAAAATTCGAGCAAAATTAATGCCCCAAATTAGAGAGAGAGTATTGGGGAAATTGTCTGCCACAGAGGCAGGGTGAGGACTGCAATGTGTATGTGTGTGAGGGAGGGGTGATACTTGGGACAACGGTGGTAGAAAATGTGCCCTGGTGGAGGGATGGGTGTTTCATCATCGCATGGCTGAATCTCAAACATGAAAGCTTTGTAACTATCTCACAGTGATACAATAAAAAAGTAATGTGGAGTTCATGCCCAATTCAATCTGCTTAATCAATGGCTGAACAAATAGCAGTACTCCTACATTATGTAAAAAAAAAAAAGAAAGAAATTACTGGAAACATTGGATCATACCTTTGAACAGAATAAAAAAAATTTTTTTAATGTGGCTGTGTGAACTTAGTCCTATACCAAGTTCCTCCCCAGCTAGTGAGTTTCTTTTCCATTTTTTCCATTCCCTTTTACTTTCTAATAAACCTATTAAAAAACAAACACAAAAGGCATACATATGGCTGTGTCTCCTCAGTGTTAGACACATTTAAGAGCCATCTGTAGAAGGGTCAGAGAAATAGTACAGTAGATAAGGCATTGCCTTGAGTGCGGCTGCTCAGGTTCAATCCCCGGCACCCCATATGGTGCCTCGAGCCTGCCAGGAGTGATCCCTGAGTGCAGAGCAATGTAAGCCCTGAGTATGGCCAGCTGTGACCCAAAAACCAACCAAATAACACAACAAAGCTGTAGATCTTAATGATCAGCAAGGATCCAGGGTGGAAACTGGTGGCTTTCTGGTGTCATAGGTGCTGAGACTGTGGCGCTGTGGGGAATTCTGTGAGGCAGGACAGCAGCTTCCAACCCAGAGCTCCGGGCATGTGGTTTCAAATACTGCTGGATTCCACACACTTGTCTCATTTTGATGGAATTTTCTTTTTGGGCTGTGCTCAGGGCTTGCTCCTGACTCTGCACTCAGGGATCACTCCTGGTGGGGCTAAGGGGACCATATGGGATGCAGGGACCAAATCTGTGTGGGCTGCATGCAAGGCAAGTGCTTTAACCCCTTATACTATCTCTCCAGGCCCCACATTTTGTCCTTATTGTTTTCTCCTTGCTGGTGATTCCTAATTGTGGTGGGGTTCAGGATTGCTTAAATGAATGGCACTAGGATCTCACACTTGCCGGGGATATTTATTCCCTCCTACCTTCCCTCCCTCCCTCTCTCTCTTCCTCCCTCCCTCCCGCCTGCCTGCCTGCCTTCCTTTCTTTCTTTCTTTCTTTCTTTCTTTCTTTCTTTCTTTCTTTCTTTCGCTTTTTGGGTCACACCTGGTGATGCACAGGGGTTACTCCTGGCTCTGTACTCAAGAGTCACTCCTGGCGGTGCTCAGGGGACCATATGGGATGCTGGGAATCGAACCCAGGTCGGCCGCATGAAGGCAAATGCCCTATCCACTGTGCTATCTCTCCAGCCCTCCTTCTTTCTTTCTTGAGTTTACTCCTGACTCTGGGCTTAGGAATCACTCCTGATGGGACTCGGGGGTCTTGTGATGGTGGGAATTCAGCAGTGGCCAGTCAAGCTCCTTCCTTCCTGTCCTGTCCCTCTGGCCTAACCTTTTGCTTTCTAAGCCTCTAAGCCATCTTCTGGATCCTGCTAATTGTGGGTCACAAAGTCTCCTTGTGAGAGACTCTCCTCAGTGCATAGGTCAGTCATTGGGGCAAGCACCGTAAGGCCCTGAGTCACCTTCTGTGTCAAAGGAAGTGGCCCCTGAGTCCACTCTCTGCTCAGGCTGGATGCTAGACCCTTTGGTGCACCCCAAGTCACCTCCTTTGCTCTGGGCCTGTTAAAACACCGATTCACCTAAATGTTGGTCCAACTTGACCCTTTCTCCCCACATCCTGTTTAGGTCTCTTTGATGTCACCTGCCTATAGCAAGTTAGGAAACCTTAGTTTGGTTAGGCGCATGATCGGGGGTTGTTAAATGCTCCACACTTGGCAGATCAGTTACCAGCACCTTAAAGCCAGCAGGAGTGGGAGCATTGCACACCATGAGAAATGCAAGAGCTGGAAGTCAGATAGCGCCACTCCCTGAGGGTCGGAATATCAAACAGGGACCACCACCTCCCGGGGGCAGAGGGCACCTCCTGGTGGTCTGGCAGAGGACGGGGAGCACCCGCCTAGGGATGGGCATGTGCCAAGCCTCTACCTGTCACGGACGTGGGGAGAGTGTTGGCCTTCTTCAGGTGCTCTCTGCGCTCCAGCCTGGACGCTGCGGTGTCGGGCTTCAGCTCCTCGGGCTTCTGTGGCTTCTGCGCTTCAGGCTGAGTGACGGGTTTGTGCAGGGACCCGCCTCTGCTGATGCTCGCCTGCGTGGACAGACAGAAAGATGCGATCTCAGAACCTCGGAGCCCCGGCTCTGTGCTCCCTCTGGGCTGCTGGGCCAGCACCGCCCCTTCCCTAGTGTAGTCAGTTGCAGGCTGAAAGCTTCCACCCCAGGGACTCACTGCAAACGCTGGAAGGGGGAAAAAGATGCCTGGTCTCCCCAACCCCCTGCTCACATAAAAGCCCTTTCCCACTTCTCACAGAACTCCTGTCAAATTAGATCAACCTAAGTAAAAACACCTGGAAACCAAAGCAAATCTTCAAGTGAAAAAGCCCTTTGTTTCTTGGTGGTCAGTTTACTGATCGACCTTGGTTTGGTTTTTTTTTTTTCTTTTTTGACTTTTTGGGTCACACCCAGCGATGCTCAGAAACTACTCCTGGCGGTGCTCAGGGGACCATCTGCAAAGCTGGGGATTGAACCCGGGTAGATTCATGCCCTACTCACTCACTGTACTATTGCTTCAGGCCTGAACTTGATGTTTTTAAAAATTCATTTATTTTTGGTTCTGGGGCTACACCTGGTGCTTTGGAGCTACAAAGTTCCCAGTTCTGTGTTTGGGAAGTCGTTCCTGGCTGCGGATACATATCCCAGGTCAAACCAGGTCTTCTAGACACTAGCCCCTTGAGCTATTTCTCTGACGTGTGTGTGTGAGTGTGTGTGTGTGTAAATCCGTGTGACAAACTAAAGGTTCTCAAACCTATTTCTCTGACCTGTGGGGTGTGTGTGTGTGTGTGTGTGTGTGTGTGTGTGTGTGCGCGCGCGCGCGCGCGCACGTGTTTAAATCCTTGTGACAAACTAAAGGTTGTCAAAACTTTCTTCCTATCAAAATCACCTGGATAGCTTTTAAAAAATTCCTCATTTCCTGATAGCATAGTGGAAGGCAGACCATAACCAGGACGTGAATCAGAATCGCCTCCGAGGGTGGGTCCCAGCTGCCGGGATTCTGAACCTGCTCGGTCGGGTTGAGACTTGCGAGGCGTCCCAGCTGCAGAGAGGCACCGCTACCGCTGCGGGCCCGGCTACTCACATTGTCTTTGGAGAGCTTTTCCGCCTGCCTGGCCTCCCGGGCCTGCCTCCTCTCCTCGCGGGTGGCCTGCTGCTCCCGGAAGCCCTTCTGCTTCTGCAGCGCGAGTGTGATCCACAGCGGCTGTGCCGGCTCCCCCTTCTCCGCCAGTCGCGAGCCATCTAGGGAGTGTCTGCTCTGGAGCACAGGCTTTTCTGTGGGAACACGGGGACAGGTCATGAAAGGACGCATGGTCTCTGCCTGTGGCACACAGCTCCTAACCCCCCAGGCATTTCTAAATGAGCCGGGTATCACAGTGGCCTTGGCTAAGCTGGTGAGGTGTCAGGGGAAAGGAGCCAAGCCAAGAGTGGGGGGCAGGTGGTCGGTGCTTAGTCGACACCCCCCGGAAGGGAGAGGACTGAAGGCTGAGGTCAGTCGCCAGAGCAGGCCCCGGTTCTATCCCAAAACCACATGGTACCCTCATCACTAACACATGTGGCCTTCAAGCACTACCCGATGTGGTCCAAAAACAAACAGAAAGTTACCACTAGCCCCATAGTTAATCACCCATGGCTCTAAAGTTATAAGGGGAGCTGGAGCAATAGCACAGCGGGTAGGGCATTTGCCTTGCATGTGGCTGACCCGGGTTCGATCCTCAGCATTCCACACGGTCCCCTGAGCACCGCCAGGAGTAACTCCTGAGTGCAAAGCCAGGAAAAACCCCTGAGTATCGCCGGGTGTGAACCAAAAAGCCAAATAATAAAGTCATAAGCATTGGGGTCGGAGAGAGAGCCCAGGAAGGAACTGGCACCACGTATGGTTCCCTAAGAACCACCAGGGGTCCCTCGGGGAGCACCATCAGGTATGACACCACAAACCAAAGGTCAACAATTGGAAGGTTTTGCCGATACACAAAGTACCTTACCAGTTAGGGCTCTCAGTACCAACTGGGCTTTATATTGAGGAGAAAGATGAAAATAATTTCAAATTAGGATTTAAACCCCATAAAAGGGATATTCTGCTTAGTTTTCTGTACCCTTCATCCTGACGACCATCCTGTTATTCGTCGATTGCCTCGAGCAGGCCCCAGTAACGTCTCCTTCATCCAAGCCCTGAGATTATATTCAAGGCTCTTTAGGAGAATGAGACCCATCACTGTTACTGGTATTTGGAATACTGGGTACGCCACGGGGAGTTTGCCAGACTCTGCCGTGGTACCCTTCATAACGCTGCACAAAAGATAACTCACATGTTAATATGCCTTATTTATTACAATTTCCCTAACTGTCGAAGATTCAAATGTGATCTAATGTAAAGTTTTAGAAGTATCTAAAAAATAATATGAAAGGAATTTTAGACTAATCTTTAACTGGAGAATCAAAAAAGCATTCACCACGATATCGAGCACTGGGGTCCGCTGATGCCCAGACACACGATGCAGCTAGCTGAAGGGGTTTCAGTTGTCCCTCAAGGGCTCTGTAACTCTGGTTTATAAAATGTCTCAGAACCAAATTTCCAGTATCTTTATGATTTCTGTTTATAGCTCTGATGTAAAACGGAGTCCTAGACTAAACCTTTCATCTGAACTTTTCTTGGAAAGACCATTAATTCAAGTACCCAGTTTCCTTAAGGACCACTGTGGTGTTTATCACAAGGCTCAAAATGCCTCTGGGGCCAGAAGGCTGATAGTTCACAGGGCAGGGCCCCTAACTCTGCATGTACAAGTCAGGAGTTCAGCCGCTGGCACCACACCATCTTCTGAACCTGGTGTGACCTAAAAGCAGCAACAAAAACCTTTAAAGTGCAGTTGCTAACATTTAAAAAGGATGAAAACAGAAAAGATAAGTCTCTGGACAGGAAGACAGTACAGTGGGTTCAATCCCAGCACCCCATATGGTCCTCTGAGCACTTCCAGGTGTGACCCCTGAGCACAGAACCAGAAGCCCTAGCACAGTTAGGTGTGGCCCGAAATTAAATAATTGTTCCTAACACAGTGTATGCACAAGGTCCAACAGGTCAAATTTGTAGTTTGGGATCAATACACAAGACAGCAGGGCATTAATATGGGACTCAGCCAAGGATGCTCAAAAGGCCTTGGAACTGAATGACCCAGGACAGTTGTGCCCGCATTCTGATGGAAGCTCTAGATCACCTACTTGGAACTGGCCCGTAAGCTAATTCAAGATTGTAGACAACTTAGAGTTGAAGCAAAATGCAATGGAGAGAATTTTCTTTGGAAAGGAGAGTTGGAGGGTGATGTGTCCATGCCTTCTCTCCTGACAGGGTCCCAAGCCACATGAGAGTCTTGAGGAGACATCTGAGAGCACCCAGCTGTGTCCCCTGGGCCTGCAAGAAGGGGAACCTGTGTGGATGAGACACCGGCTCTGGGCTGTGACCACATGGGGTTCCAGTGTGGTCCTGTGGGGGATGGGACAGGCTGTAGTGGGAAGAGGGCCCGGGGGGGGGGGGAGAGGGGGGAGGAGGAGGAGGAGGAGGAGGAGGAGGAGGAGGAGGAGGAGGAAGAGGAGGAAGAGGAGGAAGAGGAGGAGGAGGAGGAGGAGGAGGAGAAGGAGAAAATGCCCAAGTGGCAGATGAGGGTCTGAGAAACACTCAGGAATGTCAGCGCTGGACAGCAAGTGCCAGAGTCTCCCTCTCCCCTCCTTTCCCTGCGACTCTGCCTCAGCCCCTCAGCCCCAAGAAAGCCACCCCACCAGAGCCTGAAACCCGCCCAACAGGAAGGGAGTTGCTTCAGCTTGAAGCAGGCACGCGGGCAGGCAGGAAAGAGAACCCCGTGGGCAATGAGTTTTTGGGTGTAATAAAACCAACTAGTCCTAAGGCTGCCAGGACCCACCTTTGGACACAGGAACTAAGGCCTGATAAGACTACTACGTACGGGGTGCCAGCACAAACCCAGCACAAACTCTGAGAGAAGCTCCAGCAGGAACAAAGGCCAGGAAAGGAATTTCAAAGAAGACCATCAACTATTCCCATCTACCTGCTTGGCAACCCCCCTAGCAACGGACTTACCCAGAGAGAAAGCCACTCGCAGGCCAGGCTGGGAGAAACCCTATACTTGGGGCAAAGGAGGTGCCCACACCTGTGGCCAGAGCACAAGTGTTCCTGCCAAGTGCACCTGGTGCTCGAGCACATGTGTCTCTCCCATGTCCCCCCTGGAGATCTCGGATGTGTAGTTTCATAACTTCATGCTTTTTTAATGCTGGGATGTGTTGTGGGGCTCTCTGTCTCTCTCCACTTTCTTCCTCAGAACTTCCAGAGATAGTAAAACCGATAGGGCAGCTGACCTGGGTTCAATTCTTGACATCCAATATGATCCCCTAAGCACTGCCAGGAGTGACTCCTGATTGCTGTGACAGGAGTGACCTCTAAGCATGACCGGATGTGTCCCCCTACCCCCCCCCAAAAAAAAAATCAAACTTCCAAATAAAACCTGTTTTTACTTCATTGCTGGTCTCCTCCTGAAATTCTTTTCTGTGAGGTAAAGGTGAGGACCTAAAAGGCTTGCCTAAAGTCTAGAAATAACTTCTAGAACTAAACTTTCCTGCAAAGACCAAGGCCCACCGCAGACGTTATCTGTCCTAGATTTCCCCAGCCCTCCCAGGGTGACAGTGACAGACAGAGAAAGTGGTAGATTTCTCTCGAGACTGCCACCCCTCCTCCCCGCTTCACACAAGTCACCCGGGGACTTCCACTGGCATCAAGCTTGAAACAGGGAGCACGCAGGGTTAAGGCACTTGTTTTGCACATTGCCAACCCCAGTTCTATGCCTGGCAGTACTTATATTCCCCCCAGCATCACTGGGTATGGCCCAAACCATGTCCCCTCCTCCCCCAAAATAAAGACATACACTAGCAACAAATAGAGCAGCTCCCCCTGAAAGAAATCAAAACCATGGGGCTGGGGCTCTTGCCTAGCATCCTGCTAACCCCACTGTGATCCTTGGCACCCCACAAGGCCTCTTAAGCACCCTCAGGAGTCACTCTTGAACACAGCCAGAAATAGCCCACCCCCCAGCATTACTTTGGTGTGGCCCCCAAACCAACTAAATGTATACTAAAAAAGAAAACCAGAAATCAACAGTGACTCCTGCGCATGGGAGGGATAAAGAGAAAACCTACGAAGTTAAGTTGAGACACAGTCTCCCGACAAAACCCCATCCTCATGGAAGGATGCACAGCCCCTAGCTGCTTCCTGCGGAGCAAAGGGCAGGAGTCACCTTCTAAAACCCTTGAGCACCCACAAGACCCACAGCACTCCCAGGGGAGGTGATGTAGGCAGGCAGGCAGATAGGGAAGGCCCCTCCCCGGGCGATGGCAGTGAATTTCCTGGGAAGTAATAGCTCTGAAGTTGCAAAGGCCAACCTTGCAGAAAAACAGGAACTAAGGCCTGATAAGACCCTCACCTATCTACAGCAACAGACCCAGAGTAGCTCAGGCAGGAACAAAAGGCCAGGAAAGGAATCTCAAAGAAGACCATCACCACTCCCAACCTCCCTGGTAACCTCTTTAACAACAGACTTTGACCTAGGTAGAAGCCCCACTTGGGGGAAGATTGGAGAAACCCTAGAAAGGCACCTAGAACAAAGGAAGCACGTGCATGAAGTGCCCGAACACATGTGTCGTCCACATCTCTCGTCTTGAGATATGTACTTTCATGTCTGATGCTGGGATGTGTGTAGGGGCTCTCTCTGCCCTTGGAGAAGCCCGGGTTCTCTCTTAAGCACGGTACTCTCCACTCTCTCCCACTTTCTCTTCATCCTTCCCTTCAAAATCTCCAAATAAAATCTGTTTTAATTCACTGCCTGTCTATTCCTGAAATTCTTTTCTGCGAGGCAGGACAAGAACCCAGTAACCCTGGATCCCAGGTGGCAGAGGCAGGTGGGGAGAAAGTTTGACCGTCTTTCTCCTCTCCACTTCACATAAGCCAAACGGTGGGGGCACCCCTAACATCAGAGGGACTAGGTGGTTCTTCCTGGGATTTAGGGGAGACAGTGACAATCCCCTCCAAAACCTAGCACAGATGCAGGAAAAAATAAAACAAAAACCTGAAGGCTGGGACGGAGGCTCCAAGGACAACTCGGGAGTGAACCCCGAGGCAATGCTGGGAGTATCCCCTGAGCACCCCCAGTTGTGGTCCAAAAACAATGCTGGGAGTAGCCTCCACCCCAGAAAAAAGTTAAAGGGGCTATCTCGGTGGGGCCAGCAAACCAGTTAGGGAGGTAGGGCCTGGAAAGAGCTCTGCAAAAGCCCTTCCTCCAAAACCTGGAGCACAGTGAGTATGACCTTCTTCTGTGAGCAATGACTCCCTGCAGACAGAAGAAAGCCTAGTGTTAGCCCAAGGAGCCCGTCTACACTGAAACTGCCCTGAGGTAGCTATGGTTTGGGGGTGAGCGCAGATGACAACCAGGCCCACGCCTGATGATAGTCAGTCAGTATGAGGCCCCCGTAATACTGAGGAAGGGATCTTGTTTCCTCTTCCGTTTCATAGTTGAGGTTTGGAATGGGTTTTACAGAGGAGAACTTTGGGGTACTGCTGGCTTGGCCCCCATCCTGAGGAAGCCACTGTCCACTACTGTCTGCCTTCCAAGCATTGCTGGGGCCCAGGGGGCGAGGTGGCCACTGGGTTCCAGGTACTGAACTCGGGGTGGGGGGGCATACACATTCAAAGAGAGCTCCCCTAATCCCAGAGCTCTCTTCCCATGCCCAGAAGGCTTTTTCTGGAGAAGGGCTGCTCAGAGGCATGCTGGTGGGCTGGGCATGCCGTGATCAAGTATTTTGTAAAACCTGGAGAGAATTACATACCCAAAGGCTCCCCACCACCACCATCACCACCACCACCAGCAAAAGCACAGACAGCGGTCCTGGAAATGTTAGTCATTCTCAGCACAACACAGCACCTACGGGACGAGTGGTGACATCGTCCACTGTCCACAACAAGCAAATGAAGTGAGCGGCCCCTTCTTCCTCGTGTGAGGGAGAACCCGAGTGAGAGCTGGGGGCGCAGAACAGAGCCCCTTGGCACTTCCCGCATTAGTTCTCTTTGGCTGTGGTGCTCCTAGCTCAGCCCCATATGGGCTGGGGTACCATGTGGGGTGCCAGTGATTGAACACAAGTCGGCCACGTGCAAGACAAGCACCATACTAGCCATACAACATCACAGTTTTGCAGCCACACGTGGTGGTGTTCCGGAGACTATGCAGGGCTGACCCTGGAACTCCTCTATCCGAAGCATGTTTTGCATGAACTTGGCTAAGTTGGGCTAGCTCTCCAACTCACATTCAAACATACTTTTTTTTCTGGGGGGAGGTTGTTTGGGGAGGTGGTGTTGGGCCATACCTGGTCATGCCAGGGCTTACTCCTGGCTGCGTTTGGGGGACATATTCCAGGCTGGCCCCTCTTGGAGAGCCCAGCAAGCTACTGAGAGTATCTTGCCCACACGGCAATGCCTGGCAAGCTACCCCTGACACATTTGATATGCCAAACACAGTAACAAGTCTCACAATGTTACTGGGCCCGCTCGAGCAAATTGATGAACAACAAGAGGACAGTGACAGTGACAGTGACTCCAGACTGGGGACCAAATAGGGGTCTGGCCCTCAGCCGATATTTTATTTATTTATTTATTTTGCTTTTTGGGTCACACCCGGCAATGCTCAGGAGTTACTTCTGGCTTTGCACTCAGAAATCACTCCTGGTGATGCTCAAGGGACCATATGGGATGTTGGGAATCGAACCCGGGTCAGGCCGCATGCAAGGCAAACGCCCTACCTGCTGTACTATCACTCCAGCCCTTTATTTATTTTAAATAATTTTTTTTTCTTTTTGGGTCACACCTGGTGATGCACAAGGGTTACTCCTGGCTCTGCACTCAGGAATTACTCCTGGCAGTGTTCGAGGGGGACCACATGGGATGCTGGGAATCAAACCTGGGCTGGCCGCATCCAAGGCAAACGCCCTCCCCGCTATATAGTGCTATATAGCCCCAATCCCACATCCCCTATTTTAAAGAACACAGACCCAAGTAAAGCCCCCGGCTCTGGTAAGATGCTCGGCTCAGCGCACCCAGCGCAGCCTCCTCCCTACCTCTCCTCTCGGGCTCCGGGCTCGGCGAGGGCTTCTCCCGGCGGCTGGCGGGCCGGGCGGGCGAGCCGGGCTTCCTCTCGGACCCGCGCTCCTCCTCGGGCGGCGCCTGCGGCGGCGGTGGTGGGGAGGCCGACGATGACGGGGCGGCCCGCGGTCCTGGCTCCTTGCTCAGCTCGCCGACCTCTGCGTCGGGCTTCCCGGGCCGCCGGCACAGCAGCTCGGCCAGGTAGGGCCGGCTCAGTTTGGACAGCGGGGAGGACGGCGGGGTCTGGCTGCTGGGCTTGGGCGCCAGGGCTGGCTTCTGCACCGTTGGCATTTTGGTAGGAGCCCGCTGGTGCTCGGGCGTGGGGCTGCGGCTGCTGGCGGGTGCGGGCGCGGGGCCACTTTCCGCCGACGGGGCGGCCGCGCGGGCCGGACCGGGCCGAGCCGCAGCGTCCTTGTCTGCACCCGCGCCGCTGTCCCCGCCGCTGCCGGGCCTCTTCTTCCTCTTCTGCTCGGCCTGCTGGTCCGAGTGGAAGCGCAGGGAGTAGTTGGTCCTTCGCAGCTTGATGCCAAAAGGCGACGCCGCCTTCTCGTCCCCGCCAGCCGCCGCCGCGGGCTCCGCTGTCCCGCCGCCGTCGGGGCCGCTCCCGGGCTCCGCGACCTGCAGCGGCGGCGGAGGCAGCGGTGGCGGCGGCGGCGGTGGAGGAGGAGGAGGAGAGGGCAACCCCGGGACCAGGAACGACGGCAGGTCTTTGGCAAACTGGCAGCCGTCCGTGGCATCGGCCGAGCGCTCCCGCGGTGGCGCGGCTCTCTCGGGGGCATCGCCCGCCGCCCGCCTCCGCCCGCCCTCCCCGTCGCCGTCGGCGAACTTCTGCCAGGCGGGCTTGATGCAGAACTTGGCGCCACCCGATGATGATGACGACGACGACGACGACGTTGATGATGTCCTGCGCGGCGCGGCCGCCGCTGCCTCGTCGCCACCCTCGGGTCCCGGTGGCTGCGGCGGCTCCCGGTCCCCCCGGGCGCGGCTCGCCGTCGCTGCCGCGCAGGATGCGGGACCGGATGGACACCCACTCGGCCTGCTGGCCCTCGCCACCGCCCGGCGCGTCGGGGGCCGGCCGGGGCCTCCCCGCGCCCTCGGCGGGCCGCCGGTCCTCCGCTGCCAGGCCCAGCAGGGACCGGCAGGCCGAGTCCTTGATCTGGCTCAGGTTGACGGCCGGGCCGCAGAGCTGCGCGCCCGTGACCAGGATGGCCGTGTGCGGGACGCCGAGCCCCGACGGCGGCGGCGCGGGGCCGGGCCTGGGGGGCTGCGGCTCCGGGGACGGGGACGGCGCCGAGGCCTCCTTCTGGGGCGTCACCGGGCTCAGGTTGACCCTGGGGAAGAGGATCTGCTTGCCCCCCGACGACACCTGGAACGTGTAGGGCCTTGGTGTGCTCTGCCGCTCGTCCAGCTCCCGCCACCGCAGCTCGTCCCCGCTCCGGGCGGCCGGCGCCCGCGGTGGCTCTTCCGAGGGCGCGTCGGGCTTCTGGGCACGCGGCGCCCGGACTCCCTCTCTCGTCGCCAAAGATCGCCGGTCCCCCTGCGGCGCCTCCCGGCTGCGCGCTTCCTCACCCTCTCTGGGCTGCTCCGCCGGCTGGGGGCCGTCGGCTTTCTCTGCAGTGTCCATCCGACGACGTGGGCTCCTGAGGCCCCTCTGGTGGGCCAGCTCCAGGGAACCTTCCTCTTCCCGAACCTTCTTTTCTGCTTCCTGTCGCCTCTGAGCCTCCATCTCTGCCCGCTTTCTCAGTGCTTCCTTTCTCTTTTTCTCTTCCTCCTCCTCCTGTCTCTTGAGCTCCTTCATCCTTTCCTCCTCCTGTCTCCTGAGCTCCTTCATCCTCTCCTCCTCCTCCTGTCTCTTGAGCTCTTTCATCCTCTCCTCCTCCTCCTCCTCCTTCTGTCTCCTGAGCTCCTCCATCCTCTCCTCTTCCTGTCTCCTGAGCGCCATCCTCTCCTCCTCCTCCTCCTTCTGTCTCCTGAGCTCCTTCATCCTCTCCTCTTCCTCCTTCTGTCTCCTGAGCTCCTTCATCCTCTCCTCTTCCTCCTTCTGTCTCCTGAGCTCCTTCATCCTCTCTTCCTCCTTCTGTCTCCTGAGCTCCTCCATCCTCTCCTCTTCCTGTCTCTTGAGCGCCATCCTCTCCTCCTCCTCCTCCTTCTGTCTCCTGAGCTCCTTCATCCTCTCCTCTTCCTCCTTCTGTCTCCTGAGCTCCTTCATCCTCTCCTCTTCCTCCTTCTGTCTCCTGAGCTCCTTCATCCTCTCCTCTTCCTCCGCCTCCTTTCTCTTGAGCTCCTTCATCCTCTCCTCTTCCTCCTGTCTCCTGAGCTCCTTCATCCTCTCCTCTTCCTCCTGTCTCCTGAGCTCTTTCACCCTCTCCTCTTCCAGTCTCTTGAGCTCCATCCTTTCCTTCTCCTCCATCTGTCTCCTGAGCTCCTTCATCTTCTCCTTACCCTGTCTCTTTATCTCCTTTATCCATTCCTCTTCCTGTCTCATGATCTCCTCCATCCTCTCCTCTACCTCCTGACTCAAGAGCTCCCTCATCCTCTCCTCTTCCTCCTCCCGTCTCTGTTCCTCCAGCTCTTCCTGCCTCCTCTCCTCCTCCCTCTTCCTCCAGAGCTCCTGCTCTCTCTCCTCCTCTTCCTGCCTCAGCTTCTCGGCCTCCTGCCTGCTCCGTGCCTCCAGCTCCTGCTGCAGTTGGCGTCTCTCCTTCATGTGCTTCTCTTCCTCGGGGAACCTGTCTTCCCTGGGCTCTGTCCACTCTGTCCCTCTGGACTTCTCCAGCGGCATCTCCTGCTCCTCCTCTCCTGGCAGGTCCTCCGTCCCCTCCTCCAGGCGTGCCGCCGGCTGCCTGTTCTCCTCCAAGAGCCTGCGCTCCAGCGCCTGGAGCCTCTGCTCTTCCAGGCGTCGCTTCTCAGCGGCTTCAGCCTTTTGCTTTTTACATTTGGCCTCCAGTTCCCGCCAGTATTCCTCATGGCATCTCTTGTCTTCGGGGGCCAATGGTTCTGGCTCCTCTTCATGCCAGACAAGCTTGTCTTCTCCAGAGTGCCCGTTCTGGTCCAGAGACAGCGGGTGTGGAAGGCCGCCGTGTTCACCGAGTGAGTCCTAGCATTGGGAAGGCAGAAAGGATTAGAAGTTTGTTCCCCTCGGTGCACGTCACCATTCCTCCTCCTGGTCATGGGGAGGTGGCCTCCTTGGTCTCCATCGGAAGGGGGAAGACATGCTACCCAGAGACAGCGGAACTCAGGCTGGCCTGCTAACTGAAGGGGTGGGGGTAGAGGGAGCAAAATGCATCTATATATCTGCGGTTCTCTACCCCTTTCTCAAATTCTTCTTTATATGAACGAATAATTGCAGGAAACCCATGGGCTGCTATTAGAAAAGGGAGGGCAAACAGAGAGAAATGTTTCAGCAGCGTTCCCTGAAATGTGTATTTTCCAAGTTCCCCTAATTAAACTCAAGAATGGTTGGCCAAACCCAAGTCTCCCAAAGTTATTTGGCCTCCTTCTCAAAGGAAAAAAAAATCACTCTATGCCCTCCATCCAACTATGCCCAGCTTTACTAATACCCCCTTGGATCTTTCTAGCACTGGCACAGGGGTTCTGTCAACTCTACGGAATGGCTGAGACACGACAGAGGAGACAGTGTGCTTTCAGCTGCAAGCAAGCCCCAGGTGGCCCCTCAGCCCTCGAGGTGTGTCCACCCACTTCTCCCCACCTCGGGGCAGTATGTCAGAAAGGGTGGGGGCAGGAAAAGGTCTGCCCACCCTGGAGCCCGCACCACGCCCCAGGTCCTGCTGGGGAGAGGTCAGCCATCACCTCACCAGCCTGCAGGTCCATGAGTGCCCAGTAGACAGGGCACAGTCCGAAGGGGCATACGTACCCCGGTGAGTCGCCGGTGCCTCTTGGACACCCTCTGGTGTTTTGGCTTCACGGCCAGTTTGTGCCTGGCGGCGCTATTGTCAAGGCGCGCGATGGCCCGGGGAATGGCATCCAGGTTGACGCTTTCGATGGTGCCAGCAGAAGATAAGTGTCTTTTGGGCCGAGATGGTTTTGCTGGAGTGACCTGTAGTGGACAGTCAAGCATCAGGAGGTCTGGGTCAGTCAGTCAGTGACCCACTGGGAGGCTGGACTGGCAGTGCAGGTGAGCACCAAGCCTGGTTTGGGATGTGGCCAGCCCAGGGGACTCCAAGGACATCAATATCAGTGCTGGAATCAAGACGGAGCACCGGGCCTTGCTCAAAGGCGCAAGTGCCTGTTTGGCATGTGGGAGACCGGGCTTTGGTCCCTAGCTCTGCAGGAATTCTTAGCACCACTAGGGGCAACCCCAAGCACCCACTGGGTGTGGACCCAAAACTAAAACTAATATGACGATGTGTTCTGACATTGACATGTGTATTCACGAATGCGATCATTTCACCTTCCAAAAACTGATCTTACTAGTCTGAATTATTTGGGGGCTTCATTTAGATCAGGGGTCAGCAATTCATCATTGGTCAAGTCCTGCCCATTTTGGTAAAGGTTTGGAGGGATAAATCAAGGGCATCGTGCCACACTGTTTGTGGTCCCCTGGGGTCACAAGGGTCAATATTCAGAATTCTGTCATTCTAAGAGTTTCTCATGCTCTGACACCACTGATAAATAGTTCAATTCCCACCTCATACCACAGATATATACCTCAGTTCTCATCTGACAACACAATGGATACCTCAGTTTCCACTCATATCACCGATCGATACTTGTCTTCACCTCACACCACTGATAAATACATCAGTTCCCACTTCACACCCTGATATATACCTTCGTTCCCTACTCACACCCTTTGATATAAACCTCAATTCCCATCTCACATCACTGATAAATACCTCAGTTCCCACCTCACGCCACTGGTATACACCTCAGTTTCCATCTCATCATCAATATATTCCTTAGTTCCCTACTCATACCCTTTGATATATACACCTCAGTTCCCCCCCTCATACCACTGATATATACCTCAGTTCTCACCTCACACCATTGATGTGTACCTCAGTTTTCACCTCACACACTGATATATACCTTAGTTCCCACCTCACACCCTTTTGCAACAGGAATATATCTCTTCCATTTTTGTGGGATGGAGGTCCACATCTGGAGAGCTCCTGGCAAATCCTGGCATGGTGCACAAGGGTTGCTCGCAGAGATACTCAGGGGAGCATGCAGTGCTGGATAAATCCTGGTCTCAGGCAGGAAAAGCATGTGTGCCTTTGAGACCTTTGAGCCTCCGTCTGACCTCTTTAGCTTTGCACCAGTCCCCGCTATCCACAAGTCGAAAAGCACCTTTGAAAAGTACTCAACAAGCATTTTTTTGCAGTATAGGTCCAGTAGAGTGTAACATCTGTGCCCTGGGGTATGATATTTTTTATGAAGAAAGTTGTTTCAGCCAACTCACTCCCAGAGTCTCAAATCACTGAATGCAGCCTGGAGCAGGTGTGTGTGTGTGTGTGTGTGTGTGTGTGTGTGTGTGTGTGTGTATGTGTGTGTTTCTGAACAGTACTGATCTAGAAAGGCATTTTCCCTCGCCACTAGCTACCCCACACTAGAAAGGAAATTTTTGATTTCTTTTTGGCACAGTCAGCAGTGCTCAGGGATTACTCCTGACCCTGTGCTCAGGGATCACTTCTGACGCGACTCAGGATACTATATGTAGTACCAGGGATTGAGCCCAGATTCACTGCATGCTAGGTAAGCAACTTACTTGCTGTACTATCTCTCCAGCCCTGGAAGGCAATTTTTGAAAGGAGTAACGGGAGCACAGCTTGCAGTTCCTTTAATACAAATGCAATCACTGTAAAGGTCTGAGAAACCCTGGCTGGGCCTGAACACAGAAGCCACACAGAATCCAAGGGTTAAAGTCACCCACATTAGCAGGTCAGCTTACATGGCGAATGTTCAGCAGAGGGCGCTACTGGTCCTATCTGCTCCAGCCAGCTGCTCCCAGGCCCAGAGGCAGCCAAAGATAAGACCAAGCCTCCTCTGTGTAACTGCTGCAGAGTCAGTGGGGCTCAGCCCATGGGTTTGCTTTGTTGCAAACCACGTTCCATATTTATGCATAAAAGATTAAGAACCCAGTCTGAGCAAAATGGATGCGCAACAAACACTAATTCATGGCCAGAAATACGAAGGAAGGCAAAGTGATTCTAGCTCCTGATCTCCCGGCTTTCCTTGATTTCTGGTTGTCTGTGTAATAATAAGTGTCACATCCTCAATTCTGCTTGAGGAGCGAGGCATTAAGCAGTTATTTCACTCCTCTCCCAGGGACCTGAGTGGAAGGAGTTAGAAGTGAATGAGATAGGCGAGAGACTCAGATAAGCACTGCGAGCAGGGTTCTACACGCAACGTTTCTAGTTATTCCTAACATGTTGCTTCGTGGTCTGCCTGGATTGCACGGTCTCAAGCCACCCCAGGAGAAGTTGGCTGCATACTCACTGGCTGCACTGCCTGCCGGACCCCAGGAGGGCTCCTGGATACCTGGACTTAGGGAGAACCCAGGCTTTAAAGGAATGCAGAAAAGTGAAAAGCCAAAACTACATCCAACTAGATTAAGGCAGGGTTAGAGAGACAATAGTAGTAGTAGTAGTAGTAGTAGTAGTAGTAGTAGTAGTAGTAGTAGGGAGGGGTTAAGGCATTTTCTTGACTGCAGCTAATCCCAGTTTGATCCCCCAATTTATCCAGCATCACCCGATTCACTGATCACCACTAGGAATGACCCCCCCCCGAGCATGACTGAGTGTGTTACCCCCAGAGGCACTTGCCTTGTCTACAGCAAACTCCAGTTCAACTCCCAACATGACAAAAGGGTTTCCTGAGCTCTACCAGAAGTCACCCCTGAACACAGAACCAGGAGTAAAACCTGAGCACTGCTGGGTGTGCCCCCCCCCCCACCAAACAAAACAAAAATGTAGATAAATGCTCAGACTTTGGGGTCATCTGTCAGGAGAAACTTAAGACTGGGTGCCCTCAAAAGTTTGGGAATATCTTATCCTAAGGCTTAACTGTGCCTGGAAGGGGTAAATTTAGGGAAGCCCATGTGTGTGTGTGTGTGGGGGGGGAGCTGGCCCTTATCCAGAGCAGGGTTCTGTACTGGCAGGTGCACAAGGAAATGCCTCCAACACCCACCTCCACCCGGGAAGCATTTGTCATAAGATCCATAAGAAACGGATGAAGGTAGTACTTATGAATGGAAAGGTGGGCTTCTTCATCACCCAGAAGAAAGCAAACAAGCAAGAGGGGGGAATCTGGGAGGCAGCCCAATACCCGAGCCCCCACCCCCCATTACCTTCTCCTCCATCTCACTTCTGGCTGCTGGCGGATTCAGAGGACTCAGCGAGCTGGACGTCTCACTGGGCTGGAAGAGAAGAGAGGGCACTTGCGTGAGACACAGGCACAGGAAGTTCTGGGCAGATAACCAGGCCCCAGGGTTGCCTGGAAGGGCCTCCCTCTTCTCCCTACGCTCAGCAGTCCCCGAGGGGCCAGTGCCAACTCAGCCTCCTCCCGCACTCCCGAGGCCGGGCTTGCACTCCAACCTGGGGTCTTGAGGGCTGTTCCTGCTGCTCAGAGGTCTGGGAGCTGCTGGGTCCCACCGAGGAAGCAGAACTGGAAAGGTGAGCAGCCTGAGGGATGCCCCCCAGGACTCACATTGTGGTTTTTTTCTTTTTTTTTCCTTTTTTCTTTTTGGGGGTCACACCCGGCGATGCTCAGGGGTTACTCCTGGCTCTGCTCTCAGGAATTATTCCTGGCAGTGCTCAGGGGACCATATGGGATGCAGAGGGATCAAACCCAGGTAAGCCACGTGCAAGGCAAATGCCCTACCCACTGTGCTATTGCTCCAGGACCCCACCACCACCACCACACTGTGGTTTTTAAAGACTCATTTGAATGAGTCAGACAGAAAGCTTTATTAACAAGCTGGATAGATAGTACAGAGGGTGAGGTATTTGCCTTGCCATGTGCAAACACAGCTGACCTGGATTCGATCCCTGGCATCCTGTATGGCCCCCTGAGCCCCACCAGAAGTGATCTCTGAACACAGAGCCAGGAGCCAGTCCTGAGTACCGCCAGAAGCAACAACAAAAACAACTGTAGCATTGTAGCACAGTCCTCCCGTTGTTCATCTATTTGCTCTCCATTGTGAGACTTGTTGTTACTGTGTTTGGCATATCGAATACGTCACGGGTAGCTTGCCAGGCTTTGTCGTGCAGGTGAGATATTCTCAGTAGCTTGCCGGGGGGCTCTCTGAGAGGGGCGGAGGAATAGAACCCAGGTCAGCCGTGTTGGCCGTGTGCAAGGCAAAAGCCCTACCTGCTGTGCTATCACTCCAGCCCAACAAAAAACAACAAGAAAGAATTTTTCATCAGACCAGGAGCAGGAAGACTCCAGAGGCCTGTCAGTATAGTGTGGAAGAATATTACATGGTAAAGAACATTAGAGTAAGGAAGTTTGCAAACTGACTGTGAGAGAGAAAAGTTACATCCCAGTGCCTGCCCTGACAGCACCCCACCATGTCACTCACATCCCAGCACGGGTCACCCCTTAGCGCGGCTTCTCTAGCCATCAGCAAGGGCACCCTGTCCTGGCCCAAGAGTGCAAGCCGCCTGGTCAGCTCTGCATGTTTCCCGCATTCCACGAGGGGGACCTTCCATGCCATCTGCTCTCAGTGTCTCTCCTTGTCCACATTTGCTCATCTCCCATGTTTAGCACCCGCTCACTAAGCAACCTCCCCCCACCAACCCCAGGCCTTGAACTTCACCAGCAACAGCAGTGACATCCAGAACAGTCGGCAGAAGCTGTGGGGCAGCCTGGGGGGGGGGGGAGGTGCCACCCCACCTCCCAGCCAGTGGTATGGATGCCAGGAGTACCCAGGGTGGGGTCAGATGCCCACTGCTCCTCTTTTTTCTCACTTGGACCCACAAATCACTTATTTTTTTAATGACTTCTCCAAAAAACTTCACTACCAACAAGAAAACTTCATCTCGGAGGTGTCCAGAGTACTTACCTCCACTTAAGAGCTGCCGGAAATAAAATCTGAGTTCAGATATCTTGGCAAGTAAACCAAGAAGTAATGCCTTAGGAGTGAGAGCCTCAGACGCGCCATAACCATGCTGCCAGACTCCGCACCTGGCTGTTTCATTCAGGGCACCCCAAGGGTGGTAGGTGATACCCCATCCCCTAAGGGACCCAGCCCCACCAGCTGAAAACCTCCAGGACTCAACCTCCGCCCTGCTCACAGCCGATCTCCACATGCTCAGACTGAACCTCACCCACACGTGAATCCGCAAAAAACCCAGGTATGAGGGATGGGTGACTGAAAACTCTAGGGTCAAAGGAAACGGGAATGAGTGCTCTCCCCCACCCTTGTCTCTCTCTATTCCCAGCAACTTGGTAGTCATGCCTATAAGCCATCTCTGGCTGGTGCCAGGTAATCTCATCAACGGCCAAGATCCAGAGACTCATTATAACTCTCTCAGAAGAGGGCATAAAACAACTAGCTATAGCCATGCTACTAGACCCCATGCCAGGCTGTTTTATTTGGGGTACCCTGGAAGAGGGCAGGTGGGGCTCTATCATCCCCAAGGGACCCAGCCTCAGCCACCAAAAACCTCTAGAACTCAACTGCCACCATGCTCACAGCCACTCTCCACACGCTTGGACTGAGCCTCACCCACGAGTGAACCTATTCCAGGACATCTCATACAACACACCACTCATATTCCAAGAGTAACACACTACATTTGATGGGGTTTAATGTAGAAGGCAACCAATCTTAGAGGAAAATATATTTTTACAGATATATATGTATATATGATATATGTATATATAAAGGCTCAACCTTTAACAACATGTTAGTGCTCTCTTATAGAAAGACTTAATGGCCCCTGGGTGAAATACAACAATCTTCACATACTTTCCTCTAAGGAAACTTTTTGGGAGCATTTTCAGTGGTTTATTAATAACTAAAATATAAAATAAATTATTTCGGTTCTGCTTTGGGGCAGGGGTTGGGGTTCGGAATGGAAACATCCAAAATATGGTGGTGGGAAGGTGTTATGGTGGTGGGATTGGTGTTTGAATATTGAATGTAATCAAATATCGTGAACTACTTTATAAAAATAAAATTAAATCACGATCACGATCATCCTGTTGTTCTTCGATTGCCTCGAGCAGGCACCAGTAACGTCTCATTCGTCCTAGCCCTGAGATTTTAAAAAGTGCCATACTCAAGGCTCTTTCAGGGTTAGGAAAATGAGACCCATCATTGTTACTGGTATTTGACATATTGGGTACATCACGGGGAGTTTGCCAGACTCTGCTGTGTAGGCAAGTTACATTCAGTAGCCTGCCAGGTTACCCACCAACTGCCCTATCCCCCCCCCCCCCCCCACCCCCTCGGCGCCGTGTAATCCTATCAATGGCCAAGACCCAGAGACTACAAAACCCAGCTCCCGGAAGAGAACAGCGCAGAGTCTCCTGCCCCTGTGCCTGGCTGTCCTCTCCGGGCCCCACTGGAGGGGGGGGTGGGTTGAGTTTCCCTCCTTTCCCCAAGCAGAGCCCCGGCAGCCAAAGACCTCCAGAACCAGCCATCTTATTATCTCAAAATAAAATAAAATAAAAAGAGCAAAGCTTCAGGCTAGGGAGACACCTCAAAGCCTGATAGGTCAGGCCCTGAGTTCAATCTATATGACCCCCAAGTTTCAAGGGTATAGTCCTGTGGACCCCGACCTTAGTATCCTGGGACTGACCCCTCATCCCTGAGAATGCTGTGGAGCCCCACACCGGAAATGACTGGAAGATGGAGAACCTCCCCCAGAGAACTTCCTCTGGGGACCCGCAGGGCCTTGGCTTTTTTGCCCCAAGGCCCAAGGGCAGCCCCCTGCAGCCACTGCGGTTCCAGGTCTGCTCAGAGTTCTTGACAGAGTGTCAAGACCAAAGGCAGGTGGGCCGGTGCTGGAAGCATGTCACTGACTTTCTGGACATCCAGTAGGTCTGACTGAGGGGTCAATATTATGGAGCACCTACTTCTTTTCTTTGGGGGCAGGGAGTCAAACCCATCTGTGCTGAGGGTTTGCTCCTGGCTCTGTGCTCAGGGATCATACTAGGCTGGGCTTAGGGAACCGTATGGGATGCCAGGGATCAAACCCAGGTTGACTGCAAGACAAGCATCCCGCCCTCTGTACTCTCTCTCCAGCCCGTCTTTTTCTTTCTTTTTTTTTTCTAATCAAGTGCAATGCACTGGGGTTCTATGTAAGTCCTTGGTATGATTACTAAAAGGCAGCAGGGTTTCTATAACACTTTGGGGGTGGTTCACATTCAGCAGTGTTCAGGGGTCACTCTGGCGGGCTCCTGAGCCCTAGGGGTGCCAAACCTGGTCCATCGCCGATAAGGCAAATACTCTGGTGCTGTGACTCTGGCCCTTAGAGAACACATTAAATTGCAATTATTTTTCCTTTTTTTCCCCTGGTGGGTATTAGGGATGGAACCCAGGCTCTCTCATCTATGGGATTAGCACTTTACTCCTAACAGGATCCCTGGCACCCATCAACATCTCCCCTCCGACCCAATTTAGCCACCCACCCTAGAACACCGATTTCTCTCTTATTTCCCTTTAGATTTGTCCAAGGTGACAAAGGACAAGTCCTGGGGGGAGAGAGAGAGAGACATGTGAGAGCCAGCTTGTCCTCAGGAACACAGCATGCAGAGATCAGTTAATTCTGTGGTCATAAAGACAGTTGAGTTACAGGTAAGTATGAAGCCGACAAAGAACCAGAGGTAGTACAGGGGTGAACGTGCATGCCTGGTGTGCAACTACCCCCAGTTTGATCCCTGGCACTACAGTAGTCCTTTTCCACCCACTGCAACACACACACACACACACACACACACACACACACACACACACACACACAGACAGTCACTACAGAGCACAACCTGGAGTCCCAGAGCATTATAGGTAGCTCAGGTAGTCCCTGGCATCAAAGATCCAAACAACAACACATCCTCGGGCCTTGCACTGAACTGCCCGCCCAATTGGCAAAGAACAGCCAGAAGAGGCTCCAGGGTTCCTGTGCATTGCTTGAAAGAACCCCCCATCCCCCTTTTCTTTTCCTTTTTTCAACTCCCAGTAGTGAAACAAAGGCTGAACAAAGATGCGCCGTGAAGGAGATTGGGGGTAGGGTGCTATTATAGCTGGGTGCTGAGGCCAGGTTAGACTTTCCAGAAGAGACAGAGCCCAGGTCTCAAGAGTGATGGAAAGTATCAGGGAAGAAGGAAGAACCATTCTCCCCTCCACCGATGAGCACCAAGACGCCTGTCCGGAAGGGTCCTCCAGACTACACGGCTGCTCCCTGAAAAGCTCCTCCCATTTTCTCAGTCTACTCAGTGTGGCTGGGAGCCCTGCCAATTATCCTCCCCAGAAGATTCCCCATCCAAGTCCCTCCCCCGGGATGTGTACCTGGTTCTCAGAGTCGCAGAGGATGACGTCCTGATGGGTCACAATTTCTATGGGACTGGTCAGGAACAGGTCCTCTTCTAAGCTCGCGTCCCCACTGTCCGCCTTCTTCATGGGAACAGCCTGGGGTGGTGGCTGCCCAAACTTGATGTTCTTGCCCAACTGTCGCTAGAGAAAGAAAGAAAAAGGTTCTAAAGCAGGGAAGCAGCACCCCGTACCTGCCACTGGGTTCCGGCAGAGCTGGGGGCCCCATATGGTGTACTTTGAAACATGACTGCTTTCTAGACTAATCGCCATGCCAGACCACCCCAATGCAGTCCTGCAGGACGTGAGTGGTTCCCGCCTCTGCTTTCCCTTCCCCCGCTACATGCCATGTGCTATCCCATAGAGCAGCCTCTTTCTTTGGACAAGCCAACATTCCAGGGAGACCATTTTTTTTTTCTGAACCAACAGTTGGGACAGAGGTTACCACCACCACAACAAAAAATTTTAAGCAACTATCTTTAGATAAAAATTCCTCTAAAAGTGCAATAATTGTAAAAAAAAATAGTTACATGAGATGCGGGCACCATGGGATAATGAAACCCCTGATGGTTGCTACAACAAAACTTTCTGAGTCCTTTGAGGATGTATTCCCTTTGGATAGTTATGTGTTGACCACTTTCCTTGCCAACTTGCACATGGCGAGGTTCTAGCGGGTACCACTACCGAGGCAAGAACACTTCACAGCCAGTCAGACTGCCTTGCACAATTATAAAGTGGCCTGGATGGTCCAGTCCTGCCTCTAGGCCTTGACACTGGCCTTGCGGAGGTGAGAGGTTGGGCCTATGGGGGGCTTTACTAGGGGTGGGCGGTGTAGCTCAAAGGAGGGAGAAAATGAGGGAGGGTAGAAGTCAAGGAAGAGAAAAGGAATTTGGGATTAGAGAAAGGCCAATTTTGAAAGGAACTTGATTCCCCGGGAGACAATCCATAAACATAATCATTAAGGAAGGGAATAAATATTGAATGGGCTGTGGGAGAGAAAATGAACAGCATTCTGAAAGAGAGAGGTATAATGAGAATCTGGAGATCTGCTTAACGGGATTAATTATGTGAACCACAGCCTTCATGCAGGCCAGAGGCCTCCAGTGCCTACTTGCGGGCAGTGTGGTTAGAAAACTCCTCATGGGGGTGCCATCTGTCCTGGGCATGACAGGTTGCGAGTGTCACCCCTGGCCTCAGGCTATATGCCAGGAACAGTGCTCGTCCAGAACCCTCTCCAGACACGGGTCCCCTGCTTCCAGCCGAGAATTACTGCTAGGACCAAGAGCTTCATAATCCTTTAGGTTGAGACAGCAAAAATTTTATGCTCTGATATCTCTCTTTAATGTGGTGAATACTTAATCCCACAGAGCTACAAAGAATCTCAGCATTACACTTGATTAAAAACAGGCCAGAGGGTCAATGGTGACCACGTCGTGATGGAAAGAATGAGCGGTCCCAAAGTCTTTGGACTCGGGTCTCTGGGAAAAGAATTTTCCGGTTTTGTTTTTTGGGTTACAGCTGGCTGTGCTCAGGGCTTACTCCTGGCTCTGCACTCAGGAATCTCTCCTGGTTGGGCTCGGAGAATGATATGGGGTGCCAGGGATCAAATCCGGGTTGGCTGTGTGCAAGGCCAGCACCCTTGCTGTTGTACTATGGCTCCAGCCTCTGATATTTATTCTTTCAATTTTTTTTTTGCTTTTCTAGGGTCACACCCCGCAGTGCTCAGGGGTTCTCCTGGCTCTGCACTCAGGAATTACTCCAGGCGGTGCTCAAGGGGACCCTATGGGATTCTGGGGATTGAACCTGGGTCGGCCACATGCAAGGCAAATGCCCTACGTGCTGTACTATCGCTCCGGCCCCTGACATTTATCTTTACGAGGGTACAGCCCACTGTGCTGGGGGGTGGAACAGTGCAACCCAGGACTGAGATCAGGACTTTGTGCATGCGCTCTCCCCCTGGCTTTGGGGTCATTCTCATTGTCCTCCACTGGTTCCCATGGTTTGACATGGCCCGTTCTTCTATGGGGCAGTGACCAAGACTCTCGGTCTGCCTTTCAAGCATCGGGCTGAAGTTCCCAGGTCAAAGGGATCCCTGGAGGAAGAAGCCCCTTTCTCCGTTTGAACTCAAGGGCCGCCACCCCCACTCCTCCCCGCTGTCACCCACTCCTCCAAAACTGTACCTGGCACACCCCCACGACCCCGCCTTGGCTTTGCAGGGTGGACACCGAGATCACAGAAACATGAAATTCTGGAGTCACAGACTCCCCACCCCACACACCTCCCCCTTCTACCCCTGGGGCACTCCCCTCCCGGCATGCCAAGTCAGGAGCACAGAAAGACGAGGACTTGTATTTGCTCTGCTGGTATTTCAGCCTGAGCCCCATCTCCCTGGCGCCCCAGGAAGGGAGCACATCGAAAGCCCAAGGTCAGCCAGTGAAGTACAGTCTGAGCAGCCTAAAAGGGTTGCAGGGGGAGAAGGCCCCAAAGGGGCGTCCGGGAGAAACCAAGTGAGCAGGCAGCGGCAGTTAGTATCTACTCTAAGCAAATCAGTGAGCAGCCACGGGTTAGAGCAGCCGATGGAGTCAGACACGAGGACACGGTGTGACAAAGGGCACAGGGCCAGCTCACTCTGCTGCCTGCAGGCAGAGGGACAAGAGCCTGGGCAGGAGAGGGTGGACGGGTCCCTGTATCCTATGGGGTTCCTACTGGTGTCTCAGCTCAGCCTGGTTTACCAGTTATCCCTGCTCTCTGAGTGCTGGACATGAATGAGAATAGTTGTAAATCCCCTCAAACCAAGACTCCTATTGTCAGGATCTGCCATCCACCAGCACCCCTGAATGATGAAGATGGGGTTCTTTCTTCTGCTTAGAATGGAAACAGTAATTCTTCCACATGCTTCCCAGGAGAAGCTTGGCCTCAGAGTCCCATGCCACTGAGCTGACTTTGGTTCCCGTCACAGAACAGAATGAAGATACTCCACCTTAATGGGGGCGTTTCTTAGACTGCTGATAGCAGTTTCATTAGGACAGCACCTTGGCACTCAAGAACCAAGAGAAGACCGGGGAATCACGGGCCAGAGTGAAGTCAACACACAAATGGGAGGGCTGAGGGGGCTGCCAGTGGAACTGGAGAATGGGAGACACAAGCAGGTGAAAAGAAGGAGAGCAGTGAAGCACATGGGCCAAAGCAGGGGAGTGGAAAGGAAATGTTGAGAAATGGCACTGAGAAGAGAGAGAGAAGTGAAAGGGGCGGGGGACGGAATAAGCCAGGAGAAGAGATCAGGAGGCTGAAGGCAAGTACATCCACTGAAGCGAGGAGGGGACAGCAAGCAGAAAGGGCAAGAGGGAAGGGAGGGAGGGAGGGAGGGAGGGAGGGATGATGTGCGTGTGGCCATCCAAGGATGGATTTATGTCCCAGGGATGGTCATCCCGGCAAAAGAAATAAGGCTGCTGTCTTCAGGAATGACAGACGGGAGTGACAGACAGCAAGCATTTCCCTAAACAGCTGCTTTGAAGTCACTACAGGGAAAACACTGCAGTCTGGTGGCTGGGGGTTTCATTAGAGAAGGGGGCGTGGGGGCCCAGGAGGACAGAGCACCGAGGATCACTGTTTAAGGAGAGGACCACGGACTTTCCTCCCAGGCACACGGGCAGCCTACAGAAATGAAATAGCGGGCAAGGACAGGGCAGGGCTCAGGGTTCAAGGCCACAGGGATGGACTCTCAGAACCTTTTTTAAATTCTTTTTTGGTGGTGCTGGTGATCCCACTCAGGGCTTCAGACATGTGAGGTATGTGCTCTACTGAGACACACACACTTCTGGACCAAAATATTAGGTGGTTTCTTTTCTTTTCTTTTTTTTTTTTTTTTTTTTTGGCTCTGGGGATCAAACTTAGACCTCACACAAGCAAGGGGTAAGTTTTTAACCACCAAGTTATATCCCAAGCCCCTTGGGTTCCCGGGTCTCAAGGCACCTGCTTGTTCTCCCTTGCCTGTGACTCCTACTGCGAGTCAGCCCCGCTGACTCAGCGTCTTCTCATTTGAGGCATATTATGGGCACAGAGATGATCACTGCTGAAGCCTATCAGGCAGTTTCTGGTATTGTGTGAACTGAATACAGGGAGGAAGGTAGCTTTTGAAGGGAAACTTTAATTCTGCCCAATATTGTCAGAAAAGGAACAGCAGCTTAAGCAATTGCCAAGATCCAGACTATTGAGATTGGACTTCACTTTTCCAAGAAATAAAGCAATATCACCCTTCTACCTTCCTCTTCCTCTTCCTCTTCCTCTTCCTCTTCCTCTTCCTCTTCCTCTTCCTCTTCTTCTTCTTCTTCTTCTTCTTCTTCTTCTTTGTTTTGGTTTTGGGCTGCACCAGTGGTGCGATCAAGGGACCATATCTGATGGCAGGGATTCAAATTGAGGATGCAAGGCAAGTGGCTTGACCCCGTTCTATCTCTCTGCCTCCTGTCCCCCCCACCCCACCCTTGTTTTTTAAACACCAAATCTCTTTATATACACCATCGCTCTGACCCAAGGAGCGGAACTCTGCCTCTGCTGGATGTCCCTGAAGCCACGGCTATGAATGGAGTTAGTGTTGAGATGGGAATGTGAGCTCAAAGAGACTGTATTTTATTCATTCAACTTGGGACCGTTGGTTGCAATATGGCTGGCAGGAGAACGATGGTAGAAACAACCATCCATATTGATGAGGCTGTTTCCTAGGGGGTGGAAATTCCACGCACATCATATTCGGCACCTCACACACTGTCCAGGTTTAGATTTCCCCAGATTTCAGAACTCGTCTGCAAAAACTAAGTGGAGGAAAGAGTTTCTGTCTTCTTGGGTGAACTCCAGAGAGGTCCACTGATAAAATAATTTTTTTCAACCAAAAGGAAAAGTAAGAGTTAAGGAAACTGACTCTGAAGGTGGTGCTAAAAGCTGGTATTTCTTCTCTGTGTCCTTGAGAGTGAGCTTGATAACTGTCAAACTCTTCAAATGCATGACTTTGGCATTTTTAAGTGAAATGCAGCTCGGTGGGGGATGGTACCTTGCTGAAGATGGAGTGTTCCCTCCTGTGCCAGAGTCCTTGGGCAACCAAACTAAGCATTTCCTACCAAGGGTGTGGCACCATTCTAAGGACTGTGACACATAGGAGTTCTCTCAGAAGTTGGTTACATGTGTCACAGCCTGGTCTCAACAGTCACCTTCTCTGACCCTTGCTCTGGGCAGACATAATGAAGTTGACGTGTTTTAGTTCAAATGCAACTAAGTGTGATGTTCACAGAACCACCAGAAACTCAGGCAGGTGCAGAGTGATCCCACAGAGACAGCAGGTTTCAAGAATGGGAAGCACCTCTCAGCACATCACTACCTGGTGGGTCCCCTAATTTGGGGGGGAAATGAGGAACATAATAGGGAAGTAACTCCACCTGAGGCCAGTGGGCCTGGAATGGCTTTGTATTTCCCCAGGGCTCAAGGGACAGCTGACTGGCATGGACAGAGTTCTTAAGGACACCATTGTCCCTGTAACTGCCCGGTCCGCTAACATTTTGCTCTCTCTGCAGAAGTCTCCCTTGTTTGTCTGAGGTCAGCCTGTTACCCAGAGACGCTCACCCCAGCACTATGTGGTGCTGGATATCGAAACTGGGTCTGCCTGAACACAGCCTGCACAGCTCTCAGACCTCTCTTTTTTAAGAATTAAGGGGGAAATTGGATTTTCCTTTTAAAGGTTCAGTTGTTTGACACAGAAAATCTGGCCAGGAGTGGACTCCCTTTGCTCAGAAAAAAATACAGCCTCGTTCACGCTGTATCTGGTCATTCTGTGCTGGTGGAGACACTAGCTGCTGCTTGGACAACCGTGGGACAGTTGATTACAAGTGAACACTAGAGGGCAGTCTTTTCCCAGTGCAGGTACGACAGGAGCGGTTGTGGGTTTCCACAGGGGGCCGGGAAAGTTCCCTAAGTCAATGAGAGGACTTTTTTTTTTTTTTTTTTAAACAGTACTCCAATAGAAATTTTATTTCCAAAGAATATCTTCATATTGATGGCTGACTGGCTTGCCAGAATGCTTCTCCTGTAAATGAATGTTCCCCGTTCCTTCTCTTCTGCATTTTAAATAAACATATGTACACAAAGACAGTTTCAGACATACAGAAACATACATGCTTCTGGCGTAACTAAACACCCTCATTCCATGCTGGCATCTACGAGAGGGCGGTCTTGAATGGTGCTTGCTAAGCATCAATGCCCGCATAATGTTATCATGGAAAAGTGCAAAGCATTCATGCAAGGTCGTAAAGTACACTACTGTTTCTGTGACTTACCAGGAACATACTGCTTAGTCGACTGAAAAATAAAGCACAGTCCTTTCGGGGTGATACAGTTATTTCTCAGGAAATATATATATTTTTTAAATCACATATTCTATGATAATGGTCCCCTTGTCCCTCCTCCTTGAAGAGCAAAATCTTTCATTTTATAGTTAAACGACAACAACTCAATGATAGGGTTATAAGGAAGCTTCTGAATTCCTGCAGCGGAAGCAAAATTCTGCAGACCTTGCCCGCACAGATAGTGTCAAAGGGTACTCTGCAATGAGTTTATCTTGCTCTCCTCACAAGATGTGTCTCTTGTGTTACATCACTCACACGATTCCTGCTGGACTCAGGGAATTCCTGAGCTATTAAAATTTTGCCTTCAAGGATTTTGGGTGCTAACCATTTATTAATGATGATACCAGACTCCTTAAAATAACGCCTTATTAAGAAAAGAAATAGTAGGCACTTTTTTTTTTCATTTTGGGTCGCACCCAGCGATGCTCAGGGGTTACTCCTGGCTCTGTACTCAGAAATTCCTCCTGGCGGTGCTGGGAGGCCATATGGGATGCTGGGAAGCAAACCCGGGTTGGCTGTGTGTGTGTGTGCAAGGCAAACGCCCTACCAGCTGTGCTACTGCTCCAGCCTCTGCAGGCACTTTTTAAAAACTGTTTCTGTATTTTCAATGTTGAAGAAATAATGTAAGATTGACAACTCCAAAATCAGTTCTGGGAGTGGCAGAAGCAACTGGTATGGTGTTATGGAGCAGATATCACTTAAGACAACAGACTAATTTTTTTTTAAATGTCAAGTTTAAGAGCTTCTTGAACACCCTTGCAAATAGGGCTGTTTCCTGGATTGAAATTTATAAGTCCCTCCTCTTAGAATGGGGTAAATAGCAGGCAGCAGGAAGAATGTTCCAGAAACCCCAAGAGAAGGAGGCAGCGGGTCTGTGTTTTGGCGGTCTGCTCTGACTGTTCCCTGGGCTCCAGCCCAGGCACTGACAGCCCGCCTTTCCTTCTGAGTCTATAAAATAGGTGACAGCATTGCCCGTAAGAGCTAGAACTAAGGATTGGAAGCCAGAACAGAAAAAAAATGGGCATTTGAAGGAAATGCTCAGGTCAGCTCTGAAGGCAGGGCTCTGGCTTGCACCAGGGTGACAGGGGCTAGAAAGATCTGGGCTAGATCAGATGTGAGTTCCAGGGTGCAGCCTCTTCGCCCCACTTGCCATATGCTGTACTTGGCTGAGTGCATAGACGAACTGGTCAAACCCAGAGACAGAGCCAGTGTTCAAGAAAACAGAAAGTTGCCTTTCAATACCACACTTCCCTGGGTCAGCAGGTACTCAAGCTGGCTGTTCCTATCTCCCCCCCTATCCCCAGCTCCCACTCACTCACTCATTCATTCAATCAATCAGTGTTTCAGATTTGGAGATGGAAGCCCAGCGTCCCGTTGTTCAGATGGCCTGTTAAGTTCCCCTGACTCAGAGGAGACCTGGCTTCAGCACTTCTCTCAGTCAGTACCTCGCATTCAGACAAAGCACCCCCATCATCACATATCGGGTGCCCTTGCCTCTCCTACATTCCCTGAGACTTCCACAGCCTCAAGGGAAGAGTCATTTTTATTACACTGGGTTACTCCCACTCTCCCCCAAACAATCTTACGGAGAAATCTGCGATTAGGTAGCCAAGAGGGAGGTTAAAAAGTGTCAAGCCTTTGAGACAAGGTGACTCAGGGGGGTTAGGTTCACAAACAAGAGATTAATAGAGAGTCTCCCTGTTCCTTGTCCAAGTAGGAGCTCTGAGGTAACCGCCTTGGGCCCACACCCTCAGGCCCACACCCTCAGCTGACCCCTGAGGGGCCATTTCCTCCCATCCCAACCCTGCAGCTTCTCTCAGGTACCCACCCTCATGATGGCCGGCTACAAATGAGGGGAGGATTTCAGAGAAAAGAGAGGGGTATGCTATGCAAGGGGGTACAGTTTATCTCTCAGGCAGACAAGAAAATTGAGTCAGGTTCCGCAAAGCAAAATTCTCTCCCCCAGAACTCCTCCCTAGGAGTTCCCAATCCATTCCTCGAGGCCACACCTGGGAGCTTCCCCACAGTCTCCGACCTCCCACCTGTCTTACCTGAAGAGTTTTGACTTTGCCCACGATGTTGTCCTGTGACATTGCTTGAACTGTCTGCTCACTTTCGGCTCCCCCATCAGGGATAAAAATACTGTCATGGGAAAATGCCCGGGTTCCCATAGAATAGTTGAAGGACCTGGAATGCAAACCACATGCTTCATTTCACTAGGATGACAAGACTTCTTTCAGCAGTTCAGTTCCTCGCACTTTCTGCAGGGAGGGGGTGGGGGTGGGGGGGTCTCCATCCACACCCCTGGTCTGTGTCCTATTCTTCTGGGGGTCAGCTAAGGAGCTCAGGGAGCTGGACAGGGTCCTGCAGGCACCGGGGAGGGTGTCACCAAGTCAACCTTTCCGAGCCACTCACAGACACTGCTGGTGTGGAGGGCCCAGACCGGAAGGCCCATAGGAGGAGCTGCCCCTAACGCCCGTTTCCTGCCATTTTGCTCCCATTTCACCCCCTAAGTCCAGTCAGCCACACCTTCTGCATACCGTGAAGACCCAGATGGCTCATAACATATTTGCCTCTAGTGAAAAGTAGCATAGTCGAGACACTACACATGGTTTGGGGACCAAGAGAAGAAGGAGACTCATGTTAGGCAGTGCTGACGGGATTTCAGCCCACTGAGGGCCTTTCGGGAGGCAGGTGCTCAGCAAGGAACAGTCTCCATGGATAAGGTGAATCCCAGGACTGGGGGATCTTATCTTGATTTGACCTGATTGGAGTGGGGGTGTGGCCCACCAAGGCAGACTAAGGGGCTTACTCCTAGCTTGGTGCTCTGGGAACATTTCCAGGGGGACTCAGGGGACCATATGGGGTGCCAAGGATCAAAACCAGTCAGCCACTTGGAAAACAAACTTTTTTTTTTTTGCTTTTTGGGTCACACCCGGTGATGCACAGGGGTTACTCCTGGCTCATGCACTCAGGAATTTTTCCTGACAGTACTCGGGGGACCATATGGGATGCTGGGAATTGAACATGTGTCGGCCGCGTGTAAGGCAAACGCCCTACCCACTGTGCTATCATTCCAGTCCCTGGAAAACAAACTCTTTAACTCCTTCCTTTATTTCTGAGTCTCTGGGTCATGGCAAAGCCTGGCAAGCTACCCGTGATGTATTCAATATGCCTAACACAGTAACAACAAGTCTCATGATAGAGATGTTACTGGGCCCGCTCGAGCAAATCGATGAACAATGGGAGGACCGTGACTGTGGATCATGGCCATTGATGAGATTATATGGTGCCAGGGGCAGTTTGTGGATGTGACTGCCAAGCTACTGGTAAACTTGGGAGATGGGGGGAGGAGCCCCATTCCCACTCTGAGTAGGCTTGGAGATTTCAGTCACTCTTGGTATTTGTTGTTGTTGTTCAATATAAAAAATAAATTTTTAGGGGCCCGAGAGATAGTATAGCCAGTCAGTGCATTCTTGCACAGATTTGATCACTGGCACCACCCATGGTCCCCTGAGCCCTTCCAGGTGATCCCTGAGTACAGAGTTAGGAGTAAACCCTGAGTGCTGTGAGGTGTAGCCAAGAAAAAAAAACCAACTGTTTTTTCAAGTTAATAAAAAAGTAAATGAATAAAGTCTTGTGGTGAGGGCTTGTCCTTCCAGGACCAGACTCAAGATCTGACAGAGTGAGGGAGAGGCAGGCAAAGGCAAGAGCAGAAGCCAGTGATGCCTGTGTCAGTCTTGGGCACTCTCTCACCACTGGAAGGAACAGCCCTGAGGGCTGCTCTGGGGGCTGAACAGCATCCCATATACGCAGGAGGCACGTTTCCAGGCCAGCCGCACACCCACAACCTCGGGGACAGTTCCACTCGGGGACAGTTCCCAGAAAGTGCAGGAGAAGAAGAGGGGACTTTGAGGGAGAAACTGCAGGAAGTGCTTCTGAAGTGAATTACAGAAAGGGTGGCAGACAGGGTCCAACCACGACTAGACAGGTTGGGAAGACTGATTGCCCAATGATATCATCCAATTCGCCTAATTATAGTCGGTAGCATAGTTAAACACACACACACACACACACACACACACACACACACACACACCACCACCACCACCACCACCACCACTATCATCATCACCATAAAAACCCCATGATGGGAATCTGTGTCTAAGAGGGGAGCTCCTATTCGTGAGCTCAGAAATCATCCCTGCCACCCCCAATCCCCCAAATAGTGATGCAAATACTGTGCCAGAGAGCTTTCCTTTCATGATCTCATCACCAACATCCTGTTCCCGAAGAAACTCCAGGGGTCAATCACCTTTCCTAAGGTGACCCCAACAGCAGCCTGGAGTGATAGATTCAGCCCCCCTGGAGAGGATCCCACTCCAGAAACACACGTGTTTTAAATGGCAGAAGGTCTTGGAAGATTCCTTCCCCGGAGGGACAGTGGGTGCAAATGGGGGTGTCTGTGGGAGGGGGAGACAGGATGCGGTGCCATATGGGCCGGGACACTGCACACACTGACGAGCTAGAATACTGAGCGAGATCCAGTACCGCAGCCACCCACTCTACGAAAGCTGTGGCATTTCTCCGAGAAACAGGAAGGGAAATGAAAACATAATTCTCCCTCTGTTCTCAGGGCTTCCATGACCTATCTTACAAAAGAAAACTAAGGAGCTATGGGTTAAATTCATTCATAGTCATGAAACCAGCCTGGAGAGAGAGGAAAGGGGTTAGGCACTTGCCTTGCATCCTGCAGACCCCAGTTAGAATCCCAGCACCACATATGGTACCCGCCCCCCAGGCACCCCCGGAGTCACTCCTGAACACACAGCCAGGAATAGCTCCTGAACACACAGCCAGGAAGAGCTCCTCTGCATTGCTAGGTGTGGCCCCTAAACTGCAAACGAAATAAAGAGTTATAGAACCAAACTTAATTAAATAGTGTTGAAATATCTTTCTCAGGGGCCTGACGGTGACTGGGATGGGAGAAAGCAGAGGCTAGCTTCATTTCTCAAGTATTTTAACACATTTATGTCCAATTTCAATTTAGATGTCTGAGACAATGTTGCAGAGCAGCACAGCTCTGTGTGTGTGTGTGTGTGTGTGTGTGTGTGTGTGTGTGTGCACCTTTCATCCAGTGAGACTGAATACTGCCCCACCTTCAAAGTCAAACTTGCCAAGATCATGAGGGCTATCTCCCTGCCTTCATTATTTTCCCCAGGAAGGCTAAACACTGGCACTTTTCTGTTCTTTTTTGCTTCAAATAGTCCTTGTTGTCAACCGAGATTTAATTACCATTCTCCCCATCTAGATGATCATATCAAAAACTTGAGAAAAGAAATAGTCACACTAGCAATAGTAGGAGTAATAATTAATATAGTGTAAATTAATGGTGGCTAAATTTTATTAAGCACTTGCTATGTACCTTGTATATGTAGCTAACCTATTTAATATACTATCTAAATTCTTTTACTATATAATATTTAAATCTTATGTGGTAGGTACCATTTTGAAGGCTATTTTATTTACTTATTGAGGGCTTGAGGCCATATATTGGAGTATTTTATTGATTATACTTTACTATCTAAATCCTTTTGCTATATAATCTTTAAATCTTATGCAGTAGGCATATTATATTTACATTTTATTTTATTACTTTTTATTTATTTTATTATTAATTTATTTTATTATTTATTTTATTACTATTTTATTTACATAGTACATTGTATGGCTCAAAACCCTAGCTCAGTAACTACTTCTGGCTCTCTGCTTAGGTGTCATTCTTGTGGTGCTCAGGGGTCGAACTAGGGTCAGCTACAAGCAAAGCAAGTGTCTTTTTTATTAGTGAAACACCATGAGGTACAGTTGTAGATTTACAATTTTTTTGTGCTTGGGTTTCGATTATACAATGATCAAATACCCATCCCTCCACCAGTGCCCATTTTCCACCACCATGGATAATATCCCTCCCACCCCCATCCCCCCCATCCCACCCTGCCTCTGTGGCAGGGCAATCCCTTTTGTTCTCTCTCTCCTTTTGGGTGTTGTGGTCTGCAAAAGAGGCATTGAGTGGCAAACATGTTCAGTCCATAGTCTACTTTCAACATGCATCTCCCCTCCTGGGAGGATCCTCCAAACACACTTTATTTGGTGCTCCCTTCTCTATCTGAGCTGCCCTTTCCCCTAGAATGCCTGGCTGGCCTCTAAGCTATGAAGTAATCCTCCTGGTGCTGATCTCAGCTATTCTTGGGTATTCACCTCATATTTTGTTACTTTATATCCCCCAGATGAATGCAATCTTTCTATGTCTATCCCTCTCTTTCTGACTCATTTCGCTTAGCATGATACTTTCCATGTTGAACCACTTGTATGTAAATTTTATGACTTCATCTTTTCTAACAGCTACCTAGTACTCCATTGTGTAGATGTATCAAAGTTTCTTTAACCAGTCATCTGTTCTTGGGCATTCAGGTTTCTTCCAGTTTCTGGCTATTGTAAAGAGTGCTGCAATGAACAAACAAGTGCAGATGTCATTTCGACTACACATTTTTGCCTCTCTGGGATGTATTCCCAGGAGTGGTATTGCTGGGTCAAATGGGAGCTCAATTTCTAATTTTTTGAGAATCGTCCATACTGTTTTCCAGAAGGGCTGAACCAGTCGACATTCCCACCAACAGTGAAGGAGTGTCCCTTTCTCGCCACATCCACGCCAGCATCGGTTGCAAAGCAAGTGTCTTAACTCTGGCTCCCAACTCTATTTTACACATGAAGAACTTGGGCTTAGATATAGTGAATGGTTCGTCATCAATGAAATAACTGAATATGTGTCAACCTATTTATGGTTTCTGTTTCACTCACTTGCTTTTTGTTTTGTTTTGTTTTTGGGTCACAACTGGTGATGCACAGGGGTTACTCCTGGCTCTGCACTCAGGAATCACTTCTGGTGGTGCTTGGGGGACCATATGGGATGCTGGGAATCGAACCCAGGTTGGCTGTGTGTAAGGCAAATGCCCAACCCGCTGTGCTATCACTCCAGCCCCCTCACTTGCTTTAACTGGGTTTTACTGCTAGTGTTTTCAGCCACCCCTGGCAGTGGTGGGGCTGACTCCTGGCTCTGCACCCAGGCCATGGTCAGGGAACCATGTGCAGTGCTGGGGTTCAACCCAGGTCTGCTGTGGGAAAGCACC